GTGGGGCGACTTATGGACACTTAGGCAGGATAAATGTTGGTTTTATTGTAAGCTTATTGGCATATACCATGCATATGTATGGGGTTATTTTTTTTACAAAATAAAACTGTGTGGCATTTGTAATACAGATAAAGTAAGGTTTGCCCTGGCAGCCACGTGTATACATGCTAGGCTCCTTGGAAGGAACTTGATAGTGTGGGGGCGTGACCTGGGCAAGTGTATCAGTCAGGGACTGAAGATGGGCGTGAGTTGGGGGATAGACTAACAGCTAGTCTCTGAAATGAACATATTTTACAGAAAATAAAAGTTTTTGAATTAAAATTATAAAAACAATAAAAAGGAGCTCTGAAACTTTCTTTATTTTCAGAAGCTATGGAAATCTAAACTTGCCACATTTTCTAGACTTGCGTGGGCTTTCTTGGATATACAATGTATTTGGTTCAGGGGCTGTATGACAGACTAGGTAAGGTCATGATGGGGCTTATATCATAAGGACATCATAAGGATAATTTTATTATATTAAAAATTTATGCATGTTCAATAACTAAACTTACAGCCTTCTTTCTCATGGCGTTGTGTATCCATAGCTTTACTTCTCCTCATTATATTAGTTTATAGCAGATAGTAAACCAATAGTATATATTCATAATTCAAATGTTCCATGACAGGTTTTTCCGCTGTGTGTTGGGAATTGGTTGAAATCTCACAATTGATGATTGCTTCATTACCAACGAACAATCATCGAAAAAATTGGTTAGCGTCATTTTTCAGATTTTCCTACCAAGGTTGTTATTGTAGATATGTATAACATGATGCAACTTGCTACTTTAAAGTGATGAGTAATATATCATGAGCATAAACTTTCTGGAGTCTTCAAGAAATATTCAGTCATGACTTTTCAGTTAGTGAAGTGAGTTTTCTAAGAATTAAACAAGTTTTCAGGCCCTGACAACTTCGAAGATATGTTCCATCAAGTGTTTCAAACACTAAAACAGTAGTTCCAAAATCGTTTGTGTTCGATTATGAGAAAATGTGATCGATTGCTTGGTCGTTTGGTCACCACGACCAATCTTCGATTATTTCAATTAATCGGAACACCACTAGTGTTCTGGACACATTATAGGTCCTACGGAACATCACGAAAACGTTTGTGGCCAAAGCACCCCACCCCTCTCCACCCCCGTTATAGACGTGCGTAATGTATTTGTGAATGGACTCCTTTAGACTGTAGACTGTCGTACAGACCCTGAAACAAATATACCCAATATAGCCCATGCAAGTCTAGAGTATGTGGCAAGTCTAGATTATAGCACTTTCACTTTCTGAAAATGAGGAGTCTCGGGGCTTCATTTTATTATATTTCGTAAAGATAATTTAGAAACTTATTTTTTAAAATATGTTTATTTCAGTGGGTAGATGTTAGTATATCCTTTATGTAAAGCGTTGTCTCACCCCATTCAGACAATTTATATATTTTGCTAAGTAAGAGGCAAGGATGTTTATTAAACGAGCAGTCAGTTTCTTACATACTCAGACCCCGCCCCGCCCGACATCCCTTTAAACTACCTTTAACAACATTGCATCAGCACAGACCACGTGTTTTCATATGTCTGAACTACGTGGGAACTGAACCCGACAGTCGGCTTCAAGACAGGAAGTTTTTTCCACTAAGCCTTGCCACCGCCTCTGGCGAAGTCTGTGATTACGTAACTGATACACTTAAATAGTGTGATACACCTACGGCAAATATCCCATTTACTTTTGTACGTCACGGTGATACCAACTGATAAACATTCACTGCTATATATACATTGCATAAGTTCTGTTTTATTCAGATTCACTAATATCAAGGGAGACAACCGACGTCGTGTTTAAACAATTACGTTTACTTTTCTTTTGTTCTATATATTTGTAATATTCCGTCATAAATTATCCAATGAGTATCGATGTTACACACTACAGACGCTTTATTAGAGTTTTTTCAAATTTTCATTATTTTAAAGTGAAAAAAACCCCCACATACACAAAAGTTAGGTGTTCAATGTTTACGAAATACACCATCCCTAGTTATTTGGTTCTCTACAGCATTGCATCTATTTCGCATTGGATGTCATACCTTATCATATTGTTGTCGCAATAACATGAATAACTCTGATCATATGCTGTGCAGTGTGCCTATTTGTATACAAGCGCACGTCGACACTTTATGCCTGGAGGAGTTAGGTCCCTTGTTCGCGATCACACATTGCTGCGGGAAAACTTTGTTTCAGGGTCTGTATGAAAGATTAGGCAAACTTCATCCGATTCACTTATCAATTAGCTGGGGAAAGTTGATATTTAAGAAACCTGAAATTATGTGGCTGATTTTATTTTTATTTGCTCTTGCGAAAAGTTCTGGGTGTCGCTCGGCATATGATGAAGAAAAGATATGCTTATGCAACATGATTCGGTTGATGTTTAGTGTTGCACAATAAGTATGGTGTATCTTCTTTCAGAAGGGTTTCTTCTTATTATAAGTCGTTAGCATTGTCCATTTCATAAATTATCTATAGCATGTATAAAGTTATCATGTACTTAAATGTTGTGTCTTACTTACATTCTCCTAATTGTGTATGTACCTTTGCACCAATGCTTCAAAGGCAAGGCAAACGGACAAACAAAAATACTATGTAAGTACTTCGAGTATTTTTATTTCACATTATTTCATTTTATTTCTGCTTCAAAGGCAGGACAAACGGGGAAATATAGCTATTTCGAGTATTTTTATTTCACATTCTGATCTTCTAATTTTGTTGCTACGGTTGTTCGAATCCAAAAACCGAAGAATAGAGTACATTCACCTGTTTGCTCTGTTCTCTCACTTGACATGGTTCGGCTCGCTTACAGACACGTACAAACAACGCTCAAACACACCTGGAACTGTGTTTTAACAGATGTTCCACTTTGTTTCGTTCAAGTTCTCGAAAGATGATATTGCCCAATTAAGCACATTTCTCATTTTATGTTTCATGCATCTGTAAGAATGATAATGAAGCTATCACAGAGCATCAAACTATAAACACAGCATATGACTGACTTAATTAAAAGTACGACATTTGTGTTGAAGGGATGAAAGGAAATTCATAAACGGCGACGTATTAAATGATAAAACCAAGTCTTTCGTCGTGTTTCCTAACCCATATACACAATTTTGTTATAATTATGCATGATAATTTAATAATTGAATAAAGAACAGCAATTATATGCATGACACCATTTTTGTTAAGTGCATCGGCACGTGTCACTGAGGCTTATTTATCGCAAATACATGAACACTGTCAACTTTCATTTATTAAAGCATTAAGGCTAACATACTATGCTCTATTTGTGTTCCTTCCACAGTGCAGAAAGGCATGTACAGACCCAAAAATACTGAACATATATTTTTTACTGTATAAAAATAACAATTACGGTATTAGCGTATTATAGCAGGCTAATATATGCTCTATTCGTGTTCCGTCCACAGTGCAGAAAGGCATGTATACAGACCCAAAAGTATTGAACATAATATCTTATGTACTGAACCAAAATAACAAGTACTATAACAGTGTCATTTCAGAATCAAGGTAATATCCGCATAATTATCGAGATTATACATAGAGGATACTAAACGACATTCCGTGTAATACCATTTCTATTAAACGAGTTAATGACTTGGTAGCGAGTTTGATGCTAAATCTTTCACGAGTTTAATAAAAAAGGTATTTCACGGAAACGAGTTTAGTATTCTGTTTATTACTCTCCAACATAAACTGATAGAAACTGCCTACTTAGTGTGACAGCTCTGAGCTTTCCACGAGTCAAACAAGGTCTAATGCCACTGTGACAGATCTAGAGGTATTAGCATTGTGACGTGATAACTATAAACCATTATGACGTCATATGTCTAGCGGTATTACACTAGTCTAATATTGCTGTAAAAATATTACACTGCAGTATCTTCCACGGGCGAGTAATAAAGTCAATATGAATATAGTTCATATTTAGTGTATAGGTATGAATGTCCATACATATCTGCGTGCGTGTGCGTGTGTGCGTGCGTGTATTCTCTACGGGAGATATATTCTTATATTCTCAAATTTCCAAATTTATATTTTTGACTGGTAAGACCGTTTGTGTCTGTTACACTGTATTCTATTCGCTTGAACAAAAGAAAGAGTGTCCAAAAATGAGATTGTCTACTAATCAGGGCCTAGATTTTCGAAGCTCTCTTAGCGCTAAGATAGTCGTAAGTTAATGTTAATGTATGGCACTTACGACTATCTCAGCGCTAAGAGAGCTTCGAAAATCTAGGCCCAGCCTTCTAAATATTACTCTGTATGAGGACCCGTTGTAAGAATAGCAAACATGTACTTGTTTGAAAGTCAAAATACAGTTAATTAGGATAACCTCCAAATATAATTGGACAGAATAAATGTTTTTCATTCTCCTGTTTCGAAGTATGTATCATGAAGATTTTTCCTAACCAAAAGCAGTCTTACAATAGCCGAGTCGACTCTCGCCTGTCACCATCCAGATCCCTTTTTTAGTAGATTTGCCAGCTGCTTCATTCAGTAGTATTGATGCTTTCAAAGCGTGACAAAGAGCGGCGACCTTATTATGTAGCCCCTGCGCCGTGTCGGTCTACACCCTCCTATAATGTAAACTACCACAATTAGAGATCTAATTCATCACCTTTATTCCCCGATTACAATGTAGGTCAGTTCGTAACGAAGTCGCTTCGTAGGTCTTGTTGCAGGTTCACTGACTCTATTTCATTCATAAATTACATCGTAATGAGCCTTATCAAGTTTACGAATATATCCCTCTGCGTTACCCTTTGTGGAATCGGTGATGAATTTCTAGTTCTAACTCGCATCGAGACAGACAATGTACTGTAACCGAAATTCCAAGAACGGGTACTAAGTCTTGCAACGCTGTCCTACTTTTAACTTCACGTCAAAGGTCACTTCCGGTCTGTGGAACCAAAACAAAATGGAGGTTTCTCCAGGAAGGGATGGAATGACCTTTACTTTAGTGATTTTCTGACACTCCTTGACCACTGAAGTCTAATCGGTGAAAATGGGGAAGCTTAAATGCTTCGAGATTGTATTCCCGGACCAGAGATCCGTGTTTCACCCTGGCGAGTGCGTTAACGGGCAGGTTGTAGTGGAACTGAAAGGCGATATGAAAATGAGGTCATTGCGAGTGTTCATGCGAGGGGTTGCTAAAGTTCACTGGACGGAATCGCGAAGTACGGGAAGCAGATTGGGGTCTTATACGGAACATTACAATGCTGAGGTGGAGTATTTCTTCAAACGACAAGTTCTTTTTGGTGGAGGTGAGCGCGTCATCTTGTTAATCGTCCATGTTGTTGTCTGTACGTTGTGTTGCAAAGCCGTATTGTGAACGTCTGAAATACCTACCTCATCGATGTGTTTTATTTCAAATCCGTTTTGTTGATATCCAGAATGTATTCTTATTGCCCAAATTGTATTTGTTTATAAATTTGATATATAACGTGTAGTTGAAGACTTGTACTTAAGAGAAAACGAAAGATGGCATGGTTTGATGAAGTGTGTTGCTGATATCTACTGTGGACAAGATGGAAAGGTGTATTTAAATAGTTTCTCACTCCCAGTGCCATCTTCCATGAATGGACACACTAGTATACTAGATTGTGGCTAAAATTGCAAAAGGGATAGTGTCACAGTACCTCCCATGTTCTCCATCATTGTGTCTTGCTGAAAGCGGCGTAAAACTCACTCACTCTTCACTGTGTCCTGTATCTTGCCCAACTAGTTACAGCACTTTATATATCCCCAATATTGTAACACATATCATTATTTCCCAACAAGCCACAGCACAATGTCTAATATCCAGGTCTATAATAATATGTCTGTCTGTCAAGTAAAAACGTTTGTAGAACATATGTAGACTTGTTTTTGGAACAGACTCCATAGACTGAGACCGAAGGTCGTGGGTTCAATCCCCGTTCGATCCCGCGCCATACCAAAAGACGTTTAAATATGGTACTTGTTGTTCCCTGCCTGGCACTCGGCATTAATGGGTACAACAAGGACTGGTTGGCTTGGAGTCAGTATAACAGTGGCGGATCCAGAGGGGGTGTTCAAGGGGTTCGAACACACACACACACACACACACACACACATTCAAGTTAATGTTTTGCAATGGCGGAGCCTAGGTGGGGAACCACCCCCTTTTGAAATCTTCTGGATCCGCCTATGAGTATAATGTGTCTGAGTGGGGTAGTCATGCTTAGTGCGGCATGGTATCTCAGTGAGCTAGCACCATAAAACCAGCTTAAGCATGTGTTAAGTCTGGGCTAGTACAAGCAGCCAAACATACACATACACACACATGCACGTCGTCATATGAGTGAAATATTCTCAAGCATGATGTTAAAATCCAATTTCACTTCACCCACCCATAGACTGTAGTTGTAAACACTTAGTAAACAAGATCAAGAATCTGCAAAAAAAATACAAGTACAGAGGTATTGCACATCCAATTCCCAATCTAGATTATTTCGTACTGAAAACGCCAGTTATTGAAAATTCCATAAAGTCATCACTGTGGATTTTCTCTATGTCACCATGATCACTATTCTTCATCTCCATTTGATCTACCATATATCATTTATATTAAAAAGGGCACCTGTGAGATGGGAGATACATAAAGGGCCTAAGCATTGTAGATAGGACTGAGCCAAAGGGAAAATAATGTGGCTCAAGGACTGTGAGACAGACTTAATAACTTGGCTGTATCAAACCCAAATATGCCTTCATTTGCATGGGACTATTGAAAGTTGTTTGTAATATCTTTACACATTTGGTATTCAAAGTCATATGTGTTAGTTGGTATTTTTGTTTTTAGCTTCAGAATTACTATGCCGGAAAATACTATTAGCTAAAGATTTCCTTAGAAGCACTTGAAGGAGTCCATAACAAATATGGGTGTCATGGCAAAGGCAGTATGAATAGCGTCCTGATCTGACAAATCCGCTCAAGATTTCCCAGTGTACTGTAAGACTTTGACTGAAGTTGTTTTATGAATGGAGTTTGCTGTTTATAAATCCAATGTCATTTATAAGAAATATTAAATCTGAAATGTGTGTATAATTTTATTCCATGGGTTCTGTGCATTTTCAATGGGTCAGACAGACATCTGAAACTTAAGGGACCCAATGTCCTGGGACTTTGATACACCATTCGTGAACACTGAACAGGTGATGTTATGTTCCAGCCATCTTATTAATCTTGATGACGTCTTTGGGGGACAAATTCAACAACATTATAAGACCGTCTGATACTCCTTGTAAAACTCATCTGCTTGTGAGATGACAGTTGATTATTGTAATACCATCATGACAGTTGATAATTTCAGAAGTATTTCAGTGATGGAGTCAGTGATTAGCTTTAGAATCATACGCTTGCCATGGAAACACGATTATGTCAACATTAAGCTGTGATAATGTTCATTGACTGCTAATCATGCTAATTGGAACTAAACCCTGTTGTTCAGTTATCTTAAAGGGGGAGTTTGATGTAGTGATAATGCAGATTAAATGCATGTTGACATGGACATGTACAAGTACACAATAGTGTTGTTGTCGATATATGTTTGGGGTGGAAAGTAAGTTTTACTGTATAGCTGTTTATTTGTAGCTATTATATTGAGTATGGTTTTTATGCTGCTTTTATATAAGCAATTATCCATAAACAATCTTACTTTCTTATAATATTGAGTATGGTTTTATGCTGCTTTTAGCAATACTCCGCCAATAACACCAATAACAGTGAGTGAGTGAGTATAGGTTTACACCACTTTTAGCAATATTCCAGCAATATCACGGAGGGGGCCCCTAGAAATGGGCTTCACACATTGTACCCATCTAGGAAATCAAACCCAGGTCTTTGGCGTGATGAGTTAACATTTTCACAACTAGACCGTTGACTTTTATAATTGAAAAAGATGACATATGGCAAAATATCAGGCAGGAGTTCTACAACCATTTGTATGTTCTACCTGTGTTTATTATAACAATGGCCTGGTTGGTCACAGTACTGGAAACAACAAATCAATAAATTTGTACTAGATAAGCATGGTAAGACCATAAAATACATATACACCAAGTGTACCATGTTGTGTACTGAATACACTCAACAGACAACATGACAATATTCTTCTGTAGTTATACATCAGGACTGCGTGAGCGAGTAAGTTGAACAGAATATTGATTGTGTCGCGGCTGGATGTGTCAAAAAGATACAATTTTTTAGATATTTCACTTTTATGAAACGTACAGCAGAGCTGACCGCCTCCGTGGTGTAGTGGTTAGAGCGATCCGCCCGGAGAGCGGAAGGTCGTGGGTTCGATCCCCGACTGCGTCATACCAAAAGACGTTAAAATATGGTACTTGTTGGTCCTTGCCTGGCTCTCGGCATTAATGGGTACAACAAGGTACTGGTCGGCTCGGAGTCAGTATAATGTGTCTGAATGGGGTATTCATGCTTCACTGCGGCATGGTATCACAGTGGGCTAGGACTATAAAACCTGCTTCAGTCTGGGCTAGTACAAGCAGCCGCACATACACATACACACGCATGCACGTCGTCATATGAGCGAAATATTCTCAAGCACGACGTTAAACCCAATTCCACCACCACCACTACAGCAGAGCTACAGATAACGTTTTGGGTCATTGAGTTATGTACTCGCTTGTGTTCATCTCAGTTGGGTATCCTAATTTCCCTTTGAGTAACCAAATAAGTTGTACTCACCTCACTCAAACTTAATTGGGTATTTTGCCATTTTCCTTTAATTAAAATATAATAAAGTTTAAATGTTAGTGTTTGTTATTTATATTTGATCTATAATATGAGAAACGATAAGAGAAGACTGCAAGTTGTCAAGTTCATGTCCTGAAATAGAACCTCTCAGTATACCTCAGTTATTTTATCTATTAACTGGTACGCAAGCTAAGATTTGACATTTTTGTGTGTACGCATGTAAGATCACATTTATTGAGTATTTACAAAAATTCAAGTGTACTTGTACGCAATAAACTTAATAGGAATTGAGTTTTCACATAAATATTGGTGTAATTTACTCAGATACACAGCTTATCTGTACCTCTGTCACAGGCAGGTGCAGGTAAACCAAACATCATAATCAAGGACATCAGGGATGTAAACCCATGATCACATACAGAGTTGTGTCCCTTGTGTGTGGCAATGAAACTTGGAAATTGAAGGGAAAAGAAGGTTTTTGTGAAGTCTGTCTTGCAGATGAACTTTTATCTGTGTGCATGTATGTGCATATCAAACTTACTTTATGAAAGTTCAACACATTTGCAGAAACGTCAAGCCTTTGAGTGTTAACATTGTAAAATTTGGCTCTACTCTTCAACTCTTCTTTCCAATTTTGAAATGTGGAAAATACCTTTTTAGATGACATTCATTGCTTTATTGGGAGGTATACATACAGACCCGGAAACACAATCACTTATTACATGTTTTCCTTCCAGTGAAAAACATCCTTTTGGCTATTTTTGTCTAATTTGAGTAATTACTAATACCACGAACATGATAGATTTTGCTTGGCATTCTACATGTTGTGCAGGGGTTCAAACTTTTTTTAAAAAGCCACTTGCCACAGGGCAAGTGATTTTGAGAAAGTAACTTGTCCTGACTAATTTTCCACTTGCCCTGATTTTATGACATAATTATGATGATGTAATTATGAAAGAAGAAATCAACATGGTATTTGATGTTAATATTTACTGGACTATTTATTGAAAAGTGATAAATAGCAAAGAAAGATAACTCGACTTTATTATCATTGCGAAAATGTAATAGCTACATTTTTGAGCAGATATGAAATTAAATCCAAGTTTATTTGCGGTTTGAAACCATAAGTGGAAATTATCTAGTAGCCCACGGACAAGTAAGATACCATTATTTGATTGCCCGAAATGAAAACTAACTTGTCCCGGGCGTCGGGCGATGGGATTTTTGAACCCCTGTTGTGACTGGTGAATAAATAAACAATCATACAATGTAATGCGTAACAACCTTTGTTTTATTGCATCTAATGCTTATATATATGTCATAACTTGGTTGTAACCATGCATGCTTGATACTGTATGGAAATCTATGTTAGAATGTCACTAAATTATGTATATAAATGGAATATTCAGAGAAGTTGTTATCCATTGAGTTGAATGTTTTCATATCATTAACATAATAAGAATTCATAATTGTATTCATTTGCATTTACCTAGAATTTGATAACACTTAAATAATCATGTGTTGGTATTTGGGTTTTTCCTTTTTTGGCAAGGGGGTGGGTGAGAGGGTAATGGGATTGAAATTTAACTTTTAAGTTATTGTCAGTAGGGTGAAAGATGAAAAATATAAAAACAGGAGTGAAAGTTATAACTGCCAAATGGTAAAGAAAAATATTTTTCTTATGTTAGAATTTATCATAAAGCTTGAAAGTGAATGAACAGATACCCTCGCATAAATCGCATGAAGGTGTAATGATGAAGTTTTTGTGGCCTTCACTGTTTGATGAAGCCTTACAGTTTGCCGTTTGGATTATCAGACAATGTTTGGCAGTGATATACAGTGTTATACAGCACCAGATAGATGCTTTCACTAAAGGTGTAACAATATAGGTCGTATGTCCTACTGTAATATAACACTGCATGGATCAGCCCACATATATATCTCTAACCTCCTCTATCTGTCCCAGCAGTCAAACATAATGCTGTGTTTAATAACTTATGTACCCATAGGGATTATAAACTAGAATTAGTCTCTTGAAACCTGAGCTTGCCTGATGTAGACTTTGTTATATACTGGCTGCTGTGATATGGCTTTAATATCGCTGACTGTGGTGTTCTATTAGTTGTAACATATGTTATAGCTGGGATTAGACTTTCTCAGTAAAGTATCGATTCTAGTACTTTTGTTTGGTTGAGTCCCATCCCGGATTTGAACTCCACCCTCAGAGTCGGGCACCTAAGTGCCAGCATTTGTAATCCCAAATATAACATGTTACATTTGACCACTTTCTAAATGGCATTGTGTATTCATAACTATAATATGGTTGGTTAGTTTTTAACGCAACTCTCAGCGATATTCCAGCTATATGGCAGCGGTCTGTAAATAATCGAGTCTGGACCAAACAATCCAGTAATCAACAGCATAAGGATCAATCTACACAAATGGGAATCGATGACATGTGTCAACCAAGTCAGCGAGCCTGACCACACGATCCCATTACTCACCTTTTACGACAAGCATGGGTTGCTGAAGACCAATTCTAACCCGGATCTTCACGGGTACCAACAACTATTAACTTGCAGTATGTATGTGTCTGTGTTATCAGGTTTCTAAGTATTTTTGACCATTTTGCAGAAGTGTCTGACGGAAGAGACACACTGACAGAGGGCCGCCATGAATTCAACTTCGCATTTGAGCTTCCAATGGGGTAAGTAGGAGCCAGTATCATGAGTATTGAAAGTAATTCTGTTGCAGTGTTATTCTCAGTTTGTAAAACTCCAGTGTGTTATGCCCTGTTCATTTGAACTGATTTTAAGGACCTGTTAAATTGTAATACTCCGTGTTTATGTCCAACACAGTTGTTATAAGACAATGGATTATGCCTTGCTAAACAGTATTTCCCCAATGGCCTGATTCCCGTAATGATCCAGCTGCAATTGGAGTGCTTCAATGGATTATGCCCTGTTCAACTGAAATATGTACTTCAATGGACTTGACCTGTTCAGTTGTAATGGACCAATGGATTATGCCCTGTTCAACTGTAATATTTCAAATCATAACACTCTTTTTAATTGAAATTCTCCAAGTGCTTATGTCCTGTTCAGTTGTAATGCTTCAAGGAATTAGTCCCTGTTAAATAGTCTAATAATGTCTAATAATGAGTGAGTGAGTTAATATTTAACGTCACATCGTCTAATAAGGAGTGAGTGAGTATGGTTTTACGCCGCTTTTAGCAATATTTCAGTTGTGATGCTTCCATGGATTATGCCCTGTTCAGTTGTGATACTTCCATGGATTATACCCTGTTTAATCAAAGTGCCTCAGTGGAATGTTTGTGTTCACCTGTATGTGCAACCTGCTTCTGTTGTTTCAGTGGTATTTCCACATCATTTGAGGGCAAGCACGGAAGTGTGCGGTACTGGCTGAAGGCCGAAATGGACAAACCATGGTCCTTCAACCACAAGACAAAGAAAGCTTTCACCGTCATCAGCCCCATCGATATAAACAGACCAGAGTACCAGGTAGGTGCCAAGAAACAGAGGCAAACAATATATGCAATGAATATACAGGCATCCCTCGCCTTAACGTGGCCCTTGGGGTCCATGGATGACCACCCGCGTTATAGTAACTATTACGTAACGCGGAACAAAGGCCAAGTAAAATCATATTTCCGTGGACATATCAAAACTGCTATTTTGTGTATTGTGCCCAGTCAAAAATATATCGTATTGTTGGAGGTGAAAAAAACAAACTTTGTAAATGAAAACAGATGTATGTACATGAAACTTGCAATCAAACATCACAAAACATGATAATTCAATTGTTGTTCCTGTTATTCTACCTGTTATTCACTCGGCTGATGGCATGTCTTTATGATAAAGTTGTCTTTTACAATTTATTACGATATTTCGCTGTTCGTCTGATTATTATTGAGAAAACACTGCATGTTTTAGGCATCTGAAAAACATGGATATGTACGATAAATACTGTTAATCCGCACTGAATTTGGTGAATTTTCCGCAGCGGATTTGTTGAAGTGCTATTTTCGATGACGTGAAGATGTGTGATCGCTGGGCAACTTTTCTTTTATGGGAGCCACGGATTACCCCGCGGTTTAACCTAATCCATGGTATCACGAAGAGCGTTATTGCGAGGGATGACTGTATAGGGTCGTTTGTTTTTTGTGTAGATAGCTAACTTGTTTCTTGACAAATAATTTCAGATATCACTGTAAAATTTGTGATTGTGTTGACCATGTTTGACAGCTGTGGGAAGCTGGGTTGTTCAGGGATATGGAACTTGTGTGTCAGATTGTAGGAGAGAGTGAAAGCTTGGATCAGTTAGTATTCAGTACAAGTTTGACAGAGGATATTCAACAACAGTTTTCATATCATCTAACCCAAATAACTTATTCAAATAATGATTATGGTTGGCCACTGATCATATTTCCTGTTAATATGGTTAAATATGTTGGACCAGGAAAACGTGCATGACTTGCCTGCTCGTTAGGAACAGGCCCTGATCTTCTTGTACAAAAGTAATTTTTGAGAAATAAGGTTTAATTCCTCGTACCCTTGGAGATTGAGAGGAACTACTGCACTATTGTTTCAAGCACATTAGTCCTGGCTAGATACTGTGTAAGTTTGTGTATGACTTGTGACGTGTAAACCTGCAGTAGAGACTTGTACATCCTGTCCAGGAACCTTGTTTCAGACTCAGGTGGAGAGCAGTGTTGAGAAGACTCTGTGCTGTTGGTTGTGTATGTCAGGACCAATCTCCATCACAGCACGAACCGATCGCCGTGGTTACTGCCCAGGTGGGTTTTACATACTGCATTTCACGTTTTTCCCCGTGGGATGTGGAGAATAGAAGGTGCAGCCAGGTCATGAGAGGATGAGGTGGTAGGGTTGTCAACATATATTTGTGAAACCCCAGTGGTATGGATTATTGCACATGGTATCAACCTCTGGTTTGTCCAGACTTGAATATTTACAGACGTAGCTGGAATATCACAGACTGACTGACTGAGTTTAGTTTTACGCCGCTTTTAGCAATATTTCAGCAATATCACGGCGGGGGACACCAGAAATGGGCTTAACACATTGTGCCCATGTGGGGAATCGAACCCGGGTCTTCGGCGTGACGAGCCAACGCTTTAACCACTAGGCTACCCCACCGCCCCACAAACAATTTGAGATATGGGAGGAGGGAGGGTTATTATGTTCATGGTTTGTCTGCCAGTTATTGACAGCCAGGATGAAGTTCTTCAGGATCTTTATCCAATGTCCTCCTTGGCAGCAATCGTTGATCTGACCATATCGATGCAGAGGCAGACCCACTAATTTGAACCGTCTTACGAACTGAAAAAGTGAGCCCACATGGGGAATCAAACTGATCTTCGCTCTGAAGAGTGAACACTTTAACCACTAAGCTTCCCCACCACCCCTAAGGGAAGTTGATTGGACATGATGGTCAAAACCAGTGACTAACTTTCTTCCATGTCATCATGCTCTAATGATGTGGAATGTTACTAAGCCACTGTTCCCCACATGGCTACAATGTGTGAAGCCCATTTCTGGTGTCCCTCGCCGTGATATTGCTGGAATATTGCTAAAAGCAGTGTAAAACTAAACTCACTCTCTATCTACTAAGCCACTGAATTATCTGACCTAAGTATGATTATTTATCTACTGCAAGCATAAATCAGGAATGTTGCTGACATCAGGAATGTTGCTGACATCAGCATAGAACATCTAAAAAATATTGAAGAATATGAATATAAGAAAAATAATTTTGCATGCTACCTGTAGTGAGTGAGTTTTAGTTTTACACCGCTGTTAGCAATATTGCTGCAATATCACAGCAGGGGATACCAGAAATGGGTCTCACACATTGTACCCATTTGGAGAATTGAACCCAGGTCTTCAGTGTGATGAGCGAACACTTTAAAAACAAGGCTACCTCACCTCCCCTGCTACATATAGAGACAGAAAGGTTTGTTCTGGTATAAGCAATGTAAATATCAGAATATATGCATTGTAAATAGCCCCATAGCCATTGATTGAAATATCTTATGCTAGAGACTACATGTACATGATATCACTGTTTTGTTTTTCAACAGGGGAATCAATAGCAATATCGGCTGAGTTTGACAACCACTCTTCTCGAACAGTTATTCCGTACGCCACCCTATACCAAACACAAGCATTCTTTGCTAGCGGGAAGTCTCGAGTTAGGCGGACTAAGTTCACCGTTTTGACTGGCTTGCCTGTTGCCCCTGGCAACCGAGGAAGCTGGGATAGCCAGTTGTTGAAGATACCAGCCGTTTCGCCATCAATCATGAATTGTTGTGTGATGAAAGTAGATTACTTTGTTAAGGTAACAGTTCTCATCATTCCATAATGTTGAAATACTGCTGTTTGTCGTGATTTCTCCTGAACACATATTTGGCTTCTTACATTTAAAGTTTCTCATTAAACTGCGCCATATGAAGTTGGACCAGATTATGAATTATTAAGCGCTTGACTTGAGTCCCGGATTTATCTAGATTCCATTTGACTAACATCAGCATCTAAACAGATGTAGACAAATTCATGAGAGTGTCACTGTATAAACTTGAATGATACTTTTCCATCTATGTTTATGGACGTAGATTATTGTGATGTGAGTCATGTGGTGTATCCTAATCATCATCTGTTCATGTTGTCAGGTTGCACTGCATATTCCTGGTGCCTACAACTTGACCATGCATCTACCTATCGTCATCGGAACAGTCCCTTACCGCAGAGCACAATCTTACCGCTTCACCGAGTCCCGATTCTACCGAGAAACCCAGGCTCAGTTTGCCATGGACTTCCTCCCTGTCCCTCCGCCCTACAGAGAAACGATCACACCACCACCTCCATTTGAAGGTAATGAGTGAGTGAGTGAGTTTAGTTTTACGCCACACTCAGCAATATTCCAGCTATATGGCGGTTTTGAAGGTAATGTATCTAATGATTGGCTGTATGGCTCATGATTAGTGTCAATAACATCTCGTAACATATGTTATGTTAAGGAGATAAACATCACGTGTTGGCCAATTTTGAGTATTTGAAGCACGGGAATTCATTGGTGTTAGACAGAGGTTTCAAATGAAATATTCTCATGCTTAAAGTACCCAGTAACACCCGGAAATTGGCCAACACATGATGTGTATCGACATTGTAAACACAAATGTAAACCAAAAGGCCCACATGGGTTTTACTGTATGCACTCATTGAGTGTCAACAGCTGGCCGTTTCAGCTGGTTCCCATGGTAGCATCTGGAACTGCTCATTTGTGACGTCATTCTGACTTTACGTCACAATATGATTTGACTGACAACGCAACAATACAGTTGTGTGTGATATTTGTACAGGTCAATATGCAGTGAATAGTCTTGTAATTTCTGGGAATCGAATACCATTCAACCAACCAGATTAAAGAACACTGTGACTTTTGGTTTACAATTGGGATTACGCTTTCTCTTTCCAAGGGTGGAAATGACGTTAAAATCACTTGCCCCTGATAATTTTTCCACTATAACGGCCGTTTTCTTGTTGATTTTTTAAATAAACAACATAATTAACATTGGAATATCAACTGGACACCGGTACAGTGTGATATACAAATTTGCTTGCCCGACAGAAAAAAACACTGGACTTGGGCATCGGGCAATGGGTTATTTCCACCCCTGCTTTCGCATACAGATTCTTGTACTTTCGTCCCATCCCATTCACATTTATATCTGTGGAGATCCAGGTTCCCTTTTCGCAAAGAGATCGTAGCACTACGACCATCGTAAGTCTATGTTAAAGTATGGGCGTCTCAATCACTAGATTTCTCTGGTCAACACCTCTGTGATGTAGTAGATAAAGTGTCTGCTCAGAGAGTGGAAGGTCAGTGGTTTGGTCCCTGGTCGTGTCATACCATATGGTGTTAAAATGTGGTACTTGTTACCCAGCCTGGCATTAAATTTTTTAGACTCGAACTGGTCAGCTCAGACTCTGTAAAATGTGTCTCACTGAGTGTCCAAGTAAAATGGCTGCATGGTGTATCAGTGACCTGGCACTTTATAACAGGTAGCCCCAGCCAACACACATTCAAGCACACATACAAGCACACTTTACCGTTAAGTGCAATCATCTTTCACCTCAACTCATCTTCAGACAATTGAAGGTCTTCAATTATGAATATGTAGCAACTTGAAATAGAAGCAGTCATAAAATCATTGCCTAAACAGTCAAATCAATATGTTTATTACAACTGCAGACCCTCCGACCTATGCTGAAAGTATCGGTGGTGCAGTCAACCTCTGTGACGACGAGGATGACGAACCCGGCTCCAACATGGGAGACCTAACGTTCACACCCATGTACACGTACGTGTGCAGTCAACCTCACGACTACCGCCCCCCACCAGCGTACTCAGAGGTACAGGTAATAGTAGTTTTAGATCTGCATCTCCTGGCTGTTGTTTGCTGTAGAACTGGCTGCAGGTACTGTCGACTCATGCATGGGAAGCAGGGGACAACCTCTTCTTGTAGTGCTTTGATCTGGGTGACTCCATCAGTAACATATTTTGGATTTATTTATCTAGTCTGAAGCTGTCTCTCAAGTTGGTTTATGTCTGTTTTCCATTTTCCAAACTACTGACCCTAAACACATAAAATCTTATAGATGCATGGATGACAAGCAATAGTTTCTCTGAACCAGTTTACCACCCTTTGAGGATTTTAAAGATGGCTGCCCTGATGGCCATTTTGCTGCATTGTTTATCAATTTCTGTATGTATCAGCATGAAGTTTTATGCATAATATATCTTGTTTGGGGTATTTTGCTGGCATTTCACCTTCTCAGGAATTTATCAGTCAACATTTCTAAACCAAGATGAAATTATGTAATTATTATCACATCAAGAGTGTCACTGAAATCGCTCGTAGAATTTTGATCAAATTATGAACATGTCTACCTTTGAAAGTATAAGGCAAACGGCGGACATGGGAAAAGTTAAACGAAGTCTTTACCTTAGAGTTTGATTTTGTACCTAACTCAAATCAGTAATAAGTAAAGATGATAAAGGTTCTTTGACTTTGGTGATTTTGAAATGAGTTCACCCCCTCTACATTGTTCCACCTGAAGAAATCTGTGAGCCAGAAGTCAGTCTGACATCGGTAGTAGGTTCATGAGGACGTGTAGCTGTTTGTTCTGGAACAGGGACAAGGACAGATTTGGGGTACTGAAGCATTGGCATTATCAGCATAATCCCCTTGACAATTTGGGTTAAAATTCAGGGATTTACGAGTTTTGTATTTGAGGGTCGCTGGGACTCATACTCTTATTTTCAGGGGTCCTGGACAACAAAATGGGGGTTCCAGACACTTAAATATTATTATTAATACTGTTATTGTATTGTGTATCATGATCATCACGTTGTTACAGTAATTAAATGCAAATAATACTATAACCCAGCTAGTAACAAACTCAGTGATAACTTATTGTCACTTGATTGGAATTTTTACAAAAAGTATTTGGACTTTTTCAGCCTCCCTGTGGACGCGCTAGTAAATTTTGTCAATTTTTAGGCGTATAGGGTGCAGGAATTCGCATCCTGTAAATCCCTGAAATTGGTCTTCAACAGCCCATACTTGTCATAAGGTGGGACTAATGCTTATCCATGCTAGGTTATTTACAGTGTACTATCATGAAGCTGTATTCTACCATGACATTTAAGTATGTTCGTTTTTTGATTGGCTGTTACTAAAAAATTAGAAGTGAACATTTTTCAATAACCACTTCTGAGAGCCTTACAAAGGTAAACAAACATGTCGTCTGAAACTGTTACGTTTGACCTCAGCGATTTCTTTGATGTGTTTGGATCGGATATGGAGAAAATATTGACCCAGCCTGGTATGTAAGTCGAATCACACAATCACTGCTTCTTCATCTTTGATGGTCTTTTCAAAATTGACGACAGTCAGGTTGTCATAAATAACTACTTTCGGAACTAAGCAAAGCTGACACGCATCCAGGACAGCCACGTTTCGAAAATGGCACGCGCCACGCGTCAATGACGTCAGAACGAAGGTCAAACCAGACGAATCTATTTTTGAAGTTAGAGGGGTGTTCCTTATTACATAACTCATTCCATTAAAGTTGTCCATAACATAAGAAGTAGAATGCCAGTACAGATGTTGCAACTTGCAATGTATTTGAAGAAAACTTCGTTGTGGAAATAATTAAAACATTTGACACTATGTAAATTGTTTCTTTTTCCTGTTTCCCCAGTATGGGCGAAACCATTAAGAAGGCTCTATCCGCAGTAGTGTAAAACACTACGCAAGGGTAATGAGTGCATATTTAAAACGCGTTTTATTCATGGTGCATATGTCATGGTAGAATGGAGATAATCCTATTGAGTTTACATTTTGGAAGTGATTATACAGTAGAACGTGGTTATAACCAACTCCAAGGGACCAAGAAATTTAGTTAACTATATCCGTTGTTCGTTATTCACATTTGACCGCCATCTTGGATTGTAGAGGCATGTATATGCTGCAGCTACAAATCTGTATTCATGTACACTGACATAACATTAAAATTCTGAATTTATCATTCACAGACATTAGCTAGAACATGTTTAACAATCACAACAATCTCAACAATATATAACTTAACTGTGTTTAACAAAGTCCACAATTTTGCTCTGCACACCACGTCTTGCCGACTTCATCTTGGTGATTGGCAGCTCTTAACTTTTTTGGGCGGGGCCAAAATCAGTAGACACAGATTTTGCAAGAATAGATTCGTAAATTCTTAATAATGGAACTGAGAGTGGATTTTTGAATGCCAAAGTCGAAAGCGATGTTTGTCTTAGATTTTACACCTGAATCTACAGCCTGAATTATCTGAAGCTTGGTGTCAAAGGTGATAGCTTTACTTTAGCCTGCCATAGTGACAAGAGTGAACTGAAGACCTGTATGCCAGTCAAGCTTTTAAACACGATATGTTTGTTTTGTTAATTAATTAATGACCATCAAACAATGTTGATTCGCCGCCAACAAGGTTGATGTATACCGCTAAGTGGCTGAGCTGACACTGAGTGAGTTCGCTAATCACGTCGTTAATTGGGTCTTGGGGGTAGTAAGTCAGTTCGCTATAGCCGTAAATTCGCTACTCACGAGTTCGTTATTCGCATATAATTTTAATGATATTATAATGGACTATTGACGGGACTTTTAAATTTGTTCGCTATATCCGTTTGTACGCTATATCCGTGTTCGCTATATCCATGTTCTACTGTAGTTGGTTTAACGCTGCTAAATGCTTCATTTAGCAGCGTTCAACCAACTATAATCACTTCCCAAATGTAAACACAATAGAATTATCTCCTAATTAACACCTTCCAAGGGTCTGCTAGCATTGTAAAACTGCATTGAATTAGTCAGCTTTAATGGATTGAACCTTATAGCCTGCATCATGTTGTGTAAATTTCAGTATTTTCTGTTCTTTGGCAGAAATATATTAATGAACTGAGGCATTTGTAATTCGTCCAGGTTAGAATTTGTCTTCAGTAACCAATGCTTGTAACAGAAGGCGACTGACAGGATCCACTCATCAGGCTCGCTCACATGGTTCATGTATGTCATTGTATCTTGTGTGCATAGATCAATGCTCATGATGTTAATCACTGGATTGTCTGGTGCAGACCTGTTTATAAATTAATTAAGCCACTATAATATAGCTAGAGTATTGCTGAGAGTGGCATTAAACAACAAACACTTGTTCTTACACAAAAATGTGGAACAACAGATCTGGTTCTAGTTACTGAGGCCATCCATTACTCTCTCTGGTTCTCATCAGCCTCAGGGCGGTGGGGCAGCCTAGTGGTTAAAGCGTTGGCTTGTCATGCCAAAGGCCCGGGATCGAATTCCCACATGGGTACAATGTGTGAAGCCCATTTCTGGTGTCCCCCGCCATAATATTGCTGGAATATTGCTAAAAGCGGCATAAAACCATACTCACTCACTCATCGGCCTCAAAGAGAGGAAGAAAATACAAAGCCCAAAAGAAACCCCTTTTGAAAAAAAGGAGAATTTGTGTTTTGTATGAGATATGTGAAAAAAAGGTTTCTTAACCTCAGAAGTGTTTTACTTGATCGAAACAGTACTTTCAGGTAATTAGTTGTTGAAAACCTACAAATAATAAACAAACATGATCTACCTCTCAGCTTGATCTGTATATATGTGTCTACATGTTATGTTTGTACATTTTGATGGTGTAGAAGCTTCTGCATACTGATGACTGATGACTTATAATTAAATGTGACAATTAAACCATGTAAAGTAGTTGAGAAGTGTCCTATGTTTTAAATTAACCATATATTTGTGTTGAGTTTAGATGAGACGAAACTGATTTAGAGTTATCTCCCTTTGACTCTAGTGTCCCAATTCCTACTGCTGCAATGTAATAGTCTGGGCAAGAAGAACCAGGACTGACAGTAGTTTGTGTTTAATTTGGATGAGACGAAACTGATTTAGAGTTATTTCCCTTTGACTCTAGTGTCCAAATTCCTACTGCTGCAATGTAATAGTCTGGGCAAGAAGAACCAGGACTGACAGTAGTTTGTGTTTAATTTGGATGAGACGAAACTGATTTAGAGTTATTTCCCTTTGACTCTAGTGTCCAAATTCCTACTGCTGCAATGTAATAGTCTGGGCAAGAAGAACCAGGACTGACAGTAGTTTGTGTTGAATTTGGATGAGACGAAACTGATTTAGAGTTATCTCCCTTTGACTCTAGTGTCCAAATTCCTGCTGCTTTAATAAAATAGTCTGGGCAAGAAGAACCGACAGTAGTTGTGTTGCTTGATGATAGAAGCAAGTAATAATGCCTCTGCTGTTGAGGACATGTCTGAATCCCTTTATCGATATTGGAAGGTGTAGAGGACACTTGCTTGTAGAGGTCAAAGTGTTGCTTGTCATTAGTGTTGGGAATTGGTTAAAATCTCATAATTGATAATTGGTTCATTACAACCGATAAATCATCAAAAGTAATTGGTTAGCGTCATTTATCAAATTTGGCTGGTTATGTTTGTTAACGCACCAAAAATGAAGAAAAAAACCATGTAGTTCTTTCGAGTGTTTTGTAAATTGCACAAAATGCATTTGATAATTTTACATCTTTAAAGGATGACTAGTATGTTAGAACCATAAATATCCTGGAGTCTTTAAAATAAATCCAATCCTGACTTGGAACAAACGGGTAGTGCTTATGAAATGTAACAGACAAAACCAACCTTGTGAAAAATATTGTGGAAGCAAACCAGTGTTCCTAAATTGTTTGTGTTCAATTATGACAAAACATGATCGATTGCTTGGTTGTTTAGTCATTGCGACCAATCTTGGATTATTTCAATTAATTGGACCACCACTACTTGTCATGCTGTATGAATCAGTTGTGTATACATACATATCAATGTGGATGTTTCAGACGGATCCCAACCCATTAGCCCACCTGGAGAACATAAGCCTTGATCCCAGTTAACCCCTCGCTGTGATCATAGTGGGTTCCACCTCCTCACGCTTGTGGCTGGACATTTTGACCTTCACACAAGAGCACAGATCCAAGGGACAGAACTTGGATCATGAAGGATCCTGCATGCTGTGTAAGCAAAAGGATCACACTGCACACATGCACTTTCGAAGATGGCAAGCATGTTTCCTTATTTCCGTAGGTGTCAATATTTCTGAGCCATGATCATGTCGTGGTTCTGTGATGTTGATACCACTGGAAATGGGAATGATACACCATTATTACGGTTAGTCAGTTGTGGATATAGTGCCAAACATGACCAGATGATTCTACTATAATACACGTGTAGAGTTGTAGTGTTGCTGAAGTAGATGACATCTTTAGAATCACAATTTAGATGACCAAAGCTTGCTTGTTGAATAGCCTTATATTTGCACAACGACATTATTGTCTGCAAGGAGCATCCATCTCTATATTTTATATATGTTTTGTAATATATTGTTTCACACTTGTAATATAAACTTATAAAAAAATCAAATGATTGGAAAAACTATTAAAGAATATTTTGATTTTCTTGCTGCTTTTTATACTTGTGACAACACGCCAGTGTTCAGATGTATGAAGAGTCTGGACTCTTCTAGTCAATATGAAATTTACATAAAAAGAAGAATTTACAAAATGTATCAAAATTAATTGTGTAGATATTTGTTTTGTGCAATATTTAAAAAACATGATTGTCTCCCTTTTTAGAGAGTGTCCTGAAGATAGCAGTTTGGATAAAAAAATCTTTGGTATGGAAGCAAATCGTAAAAATTGTGATAGATATTGCAGAGAAACTTTCTGTTTTTTACACTTGATTATTGTGATTAAATGGCTATTAATAACCTTAGTTTTCATTTTCAGCTTGCAATGAACTGAAGCATATATGCTGTGAAAAAGATATTCTGATATCTTAGAAGCACACACATTAATTATGCTTTTTGATCTTAATAAAATTGACTCTCCCGTTCCAAAAGATATTGCCCGAGAACGAATTATTTGCAGAGGTTGGGTTTGCCTTATTTTTCTATGTCTTATAAAAATTATTCCCTGGCAAATATTTCGTATTGATTGTTTTTGATAATATGCCTTTGAATATGTGCTTTTGAAATGTTAATTTCTTGCGTAGCATTTTTTTTCCCCTTATATTAGTAGAGCTGTATAAATAGTATACTGATAATATATTATGATGTTATCTCTATGTATAGATGAAACAGAATCTGTCTGTTGTAGCTTCAGATTACACAACAAAGGTCTTCCTATGTCTATTTTGGAGGTTTTCTATGAATATTTATAGGCATGAAATTTAAGCAGAAATTTCCCCGCTCTTCCAAGTGCACCTACCAGACTTGTACCGTTACACTGTAGTGCATGACACTATCTTCACGGGGACCAAGTGGAACCCGATATATATCTCTAGCTATCTTCACTGAGGCCCATTTTAACCCGATATTTCTCTAGCTATCTTCACGGGGACCAAGTGGAACCCGATATATCTCTAGCTATCTTCACTGAGGCCCATTTTAACCCGATATATCTCTAGCTATCTTCACAGGGACCAAGTGGAACCCGATATATCTCTAGCTATCTTCACAGGCCCATTTTGAACCCTCGATATATCTCTAGCTATCTTCACAGGGACCCAGTGGAACCCGATATATCTCTAGCTATCTTCACAGGGACCATGTGGAACCCGATATATCTCTAGCTATCTTCACGGGGACCAAGTGGAACCCGATATATATCTCTAGCTATCTTCACTGAGGCCCATTTTAACCCGATATATCTCTAGCTATCTTCACGGGGACCAAGTGGAACCCGATATATCTCTAGCTATCTTCACTGAGGCCCATTTTAACCCGATATATCTCTAGCTATCTTCACGGGGCCAAGTGGATCGATATATCTCTAGCTATCTTCACTGAGGCCCATTTTAACCCGATATATCTCTAGCTATCTTCACGGGGACCAAGTGGAACCCGATATATCTCTAGCTATCTTCACTGAGGCCCATTTTAACCCGATATATCTCTAGCTATCTTCACGGGGACCAAGTGGAACCCGATATATCTCTAGCTATCTTCACTGAGGCCCATTTTAACCCGATATATCTCTAGCTATCTTCACTGAGGCCCATTTTAACCCAATATATATCTAGCTATCTTCACGGGGACCCAGTGAAACCTGATATATCTCTAGCTATCTTCACAGAGACCTATTTAAACCAGAGATACTACAAACTATCTTCACTGAGACCCAGTTAAACCAGATATACATCTAGCTATCTTTCCTGGGAGACAGTTAAGCCAGAGATACTACAAACTATCTTCACACAGACCCAGTGAAACCAGATGTAGGAATTAAGGTATTTAGCGAGCCTGCGAACTAAATACGTAGTGTTTAATCTTAATGCAGGATATTAACAATATCCTGCATTAGATCACCTGTACCTCTGATACAATGTTTATGGCTGAAACATCCCAGCTTACAATCAGGCCTACCAAAGAAAACTTTGCAGAAAAACGCCGAAAAGCCCACATTAATCGTGGAAATAGCAACATTAACATAATACCTCGCTACTGAAACAGTAAAAAATCCAGCAACGAAAGACTATGAAACTGCAACATTTTTGTTTCAGTGAACTTTGACCTCTACTGCGCATGCGCATTACGATCCGCACTTCTTTCAAATTTCCGAGCAACTGTGAATCGCCTCGCGTAGAAAAAGTATTGAATATGTCAAAATAATTGCTGTCAATCATTTCATACAAATGGAAATTAAACCAAACAAGTGTGCACACAAGTATCATGATGATAAATGCCAATAACACAACAAAAATGATATAAAAAGGGAATGTAACTTTTGTCCAAGCTGGAAAATGTCAACATGTGGTTGAGACTTCCTCTTCCATGTACGCATTCGCAAAATCGAAGTTGCAGGCTCTTCGGTTTTTTATCCAGTTTTAGCGATTTAAAGTTGCCGGTTTTACTGTTTCAGTAGCGAAGTAATATGTTTATGTTGCTATTTCAGCGATTAATGTGGGCTTTTCTGCGTTTTTCTGCACAGTAGGAAAGTTTTCTTTGGTAGGCCTGGTCTCTGGTTTTACTGTTATAAAGTCCCAATGGTTCTGTGTTAGACAAAAGATCATCTCTACCTCTGGTACAGTGTTTATGGCTACATAATCAACTAGTTTACAATAAGGTCTTGGTGTTTCTCTGCTCTTACTGTAATAAAGTCCCAATGGTTCTCTATTAGACAATAGATTATCTACACCTCTCATACAATGTTAATGTGCAATGCTTTGCTCATATGGGATTATCACTCTAGTCTGATTATTGTAGCACAGTGCAGTTTCCCCAATGGTCTACTTGTTGTGAGCCAATAACGAATGGTTCGAGGTTTTTAGAAGTACCTGTTGTTCTAACTCATGGATTTGTAGTTAACATATTTATTGAACCAAAAATACTGCTAAATGTGTGATAATCTTTGAAATGTGAGCACCGAGTATTCTTTGATATTTGAATCCAAATACGTGGATAGTCACTATATATAGTCCATTATCACCTTTTTGAAACTTCATGTATGTACATTGAATATTATATATTCGGATATGTTATTCACGTGCTGTTAATTCATTGATTGGCATTTACAGACGTGGACACATTTGATCAATATTCAGTTTTTCAACTCAACTTGTCCTTGGGTCAGCCTGTGAGTTGTACTGTTGAACATGTAATGAGACTCGGAAGAGTCAGTATCTCACAGAATGCTGAGGAATAGTCATGCATACCTTTTACTTGCAGATGACATTCAATGAAAGTTTCTGAAATCCACATCACCAAGTATTATTTATGAATGCAGGGTTTTGTCCATCGTTGTCCACTTGTCCATAGTTCAGACTTGTCGCTGTGGACTTTCACTTTGGACATTAAATCATTGGCAACTTGGTGGCTGATCATTTGAGGGACTAGTTAGGGTGACCTTTAGTCCCAGAAATAATTATTTGAAGATCTTGATCTAAATAAATAAAATCCAAAAGGATTCTTAATGTAAAATGAATTAGAGTTACCAAACATTTTAGACTTGTGCCGGACCCTTTTTTAATTTAATCTCCAGGGTCTAGGAGACGAGAGACTAGTGAAAATTATGATTAATTTCTAACCCTGCTATATATAAGGTACTGAATCCTTGCTGTACCTATGTAGGATTCATCCTAAGATGTTCCTGAATGCTGTTGGCCAGCAAGCCATGTTATTCACTCTTGTCTGCAGGTTTAGCATATCTTCATGTTGTTCCATCTCTGCAATATTTTTTCATTTGTTCATTAAAAACTCGGCAAAAGTTACATTTTCACCAATTTTCTTCAAGACATATCACTCCATCTAGCCCTGCATTTTATTACAGGAGATGAAATTAAGCAGCATATTTGGAATTTTTCTTTCCTAATTTATTAGGTTGTTAGATGGTTTTCTTATACATTTGTTTCCAAATTTGTATAATATGGATCATTATGGATCTTATTGGTGTACTGGCATGTGGTATTCCTTCAGTTTGGAAGAAAAGGATGGAAGGATTTCCAACTCATTTTAGTTTGGAAGAAAACAATTGTTACTAACTTGTTTTAGTTTGGAATAAAAGGAAGTGCATCTGAAAGTATTTCTTTTGTTTAGGAGTGTCTAACATGATTGTTGACTAAACCAGGGCATAATGTTATTGACTCTTTTACAAAGTTATGTTGTTGTTTGATCTTTAATGTTAAAATATTTGTTGTCTACAGCAGAGATGTTGGAATGTTTTGTATCCAAACAAAACAGCTTTTTCAGGATCTAGGTGTGTGTGTCTTGCCTTAAACAGTCCTACAGCTTTGTTTAAGTCGTGTATATGATGTCGATATGAATATTAGCTTTCTACCTGAACAATATGTATTTGTTGATCTGCTTATATGGTGGTGTGTAAACTGAATGAAATATACAGAATCTCAGAATTTAGTCATGTAACTGAATAATTTATTTATTGGTTGTAGAAAACATTCTTTTGATTGTTTTCATTGGTGCAATGGCCAAGGATGTGTTGCAATATGTTTGGATGAACTCAGTTTACGCTATTATTTCAGCTGATGATCGATAAACTTTCCTTGATTTTGTTTGCAGAGAATTTATACTTCATTAGGACTCCATTTGAAACACTTGTTAATGGATCTGTATCATGAGTCATTGTGGAGGGTGTTTGATCAAATGCAACCTGACATTTTGAAAAATTAGTAGTAGCCATATGAGTTCAAAAGAAGGAAAGTGTCCCTTTGATTTTGTTTTTGGTTTAATCATGTGCATATGCTTCACATATGTGGGTCCCGGGGCTGACCTAGTGACATTTTGTATCATGAATCACTTTTAGAAATTTTGTTTTTTAGTAATGATCTGTTTTATTTGACTGCATCAGTGGAACAGAGTTATGAATGATACGTCACAGTCAGCATTATCATCATCTTTGTGTTCAATATGTGAAAGGTTGATTTACTTTTAAGGTATTTGGTTGTATTTGAATCAGCTCCTCAGGTCCAATGATAAACATACACTCTTGTATGACTGAGGGCCTTATCCTGTGACCAGGCATAATCATAATAAACGTCATGTTCAGATAGTAATTGTTCATCTTATTGTGACACTCATAATCACAATAAACGTCATGTTCAGATAGTAATTGTTCATCTTATTGTGACACACATAATCACAATAAACGTCATGTTCAGATAGTAATTGTTCATCTTATTGTGACACTCATAATCACAATAAACGATGTTCAGATAGTATTGTTCATCTTATTGTGACACTAATCACAATAAACGCCATAATCACAATAAACGTCATGTTCAGATAGTAATTGTTCATCTTATTGTGACACTCATAATCACAATAAACGTCATGTTCAGATAGTAATTGTTCATCTTATTGTGACACTCATAATCACAATAAACGTCATGTTCAGATAGTAATTGTTCATCTTATTGTGACACTCATAATCACAATAAACGTCATGTTCAGATAGTAATTGTTCATCTTATTGTGACACCCATAATCACAATAAACGTCATGTTCAGATAGTAATTGTTCATCTTATTGTGACGCTCATAATCTTATTGTGACACATCTTATAATCACATAATCAAATAAACGTCATGTTCAGATAGTAATTGTTCATCTTATTGTGTTCACATCTTATTGTGACGCTCATAATCACAATAAACGTCATGTTCAGATAGTAATTGTTCATCTTATTGTGACACTCATAATCACAATAAACGTCATGTTCAGATAGTAATTGTTCATCTTATTGTGACACTCATAATCACAATAAACGCCATGTTCAGATAGTAATTGTTCATCTTATTAATGTCAGAATCATATAATGACAATATATATTTTGTGTGGACAATAATGACAATATATATTTTGTGTGGACTATAATTATTTGACTTCTTCTTCGTACATCGATCTTTTGTAAACATCATCAAGGAAGATCTGGAAAAAATCTGTCAGTGAACTGCATATTTGAAATGAAAGAACTGAAGATTCACTGTACACTGCTAAATGCATCTGCAGTAATGTTTCTGTTCCACATATCTTCAAGTAAACCCTCAAAACTGAGGTCAGATTAAAAGTGAACTGTGTATTGGAAATGAAAGAACTGAAGATTCACTGTACACTGCTAAATGCTTTTGCAGTATTGTTTGTGTTCTACATATCTTCAAGTAAACCCTCAAAACTGAGGTAATAAGTTTCCAATCGGTTGCTACTGATAGTCGGCAGACAACAAAACAATTTCCTGTATTTAAGGACTATCAGCATGTTTATCTTGTTTTTTTCTGGTATGATAGGCTTATGGTCTTCACTCTGATCTTGTTATTCCCACATCCAGTATTTCTGTAGTCTTGGATTAATTGCTTCAGATCCTGACATGTATTTTCTTACAGCACATGTCAAATTGGCATGCAATGAAACTTTCTTTACATGAACCTCTATTCATATCAATTGCCTATGACTGGTGCTACCTTTTGTAGAAGACATTTGTTATCCGTTCCCATCTAATTCAGGTGTCATTCATGTCTACACCTTTCTACATGCTGCCCATTTTTGTATTAGAGAAGCATTTTCATAATACCCATGAAGTTCTCGTCAAGATTTCCTTCAACTTTTCTATTAATACATCTTGTACAACACCTCAGTGAGTGGATTTTTTATGAATTGGTACATATTTCAGTATTGAAGCTACTTGTCCATATATGTGATATTTTATGATAATTATACTCATCTAAGGATAGAGAGATGGTTTTGGAATACTTACATAAACCCTTTCATTCATATGTTCATTTTGTAGTGAGTGAATAAAGTTTTGTGTCGCTTTTATCACAGCAGGGGATGCTAGAGATGGGTTTCACACATTTTACCCGCATTTCACACATTTTCGCTTTGGCACTTTAAACACAAGGCTATCCCACCACCATTCATTTTGTAACTCACCACCTCTCAAACTGATGGTTGAGACGTTAGACATCACTTTAACTTATTTCATGTTTCTATAAATCTTTTTTGGGTGACACAAATCTTCACATATTCATGAATGAAGTAAACAGGGAAATGTGTGTAATTCTTTATGATATATACAACTGTCAACACATGATGAACAATCTCCACTGCACAATATAAACGACAACCCACATATGAAACTTGAAGTTGAAAAAAAGAACTCTAAACACATGATAATAAGTGATATTAACTTAAAAATGCACAAACCTCAATAATGTTTTTATTTAACAAAAAAACTGCACAGCACACTGTAATGCTTGAACTTATATTTAAAAAAACATTGCACATCTGCATAATAAAAAATACATTATAAACTATAGTTGAGAGTAATGAATGAATGGTCATTTCATTTTCTTTTCATTTTGGCATACCGGGTAATTGCAAATCAACTAATGAAAGTACTGGCAAAAGGCTTTCTTGTAGTTCGGACCACGAGGCGCTGTTTGTGTTTTTAATGATTATTTATATGCTTGTAGATGTCGTACTGTATACATGTCCCTTTGTAAGGTCTAGTTACTTCACACAATTTGTTTTGTTTCTAACACATTTTTAGCATTTTCAAATATTAAGTAACATTTTCATCATGGATACAAAAAAATATTTGACTGTGAATATATTTATTTATATCTAGCTGAATCTTCTTCAAGTCATCCTCGTACTGTGCGAAACTATACCTACCATAGTTAATAAGTTATGAATATGTTTGTATTTGTGATTGTTTTTGTAAATAATATGACAAAATAGCAAACGGATCCATTACTTCTGTATATACCATTGTATCTGACATACTAAAGTCCACGACACTGGATAATGTTGTTATTATCAACCAGGTTCATAGTGCATATATAACATTTGATCATATTGTGGCCAATTTCCATGTAAGACGTTGGGAAGCTGATAGGTGATCTCCAGTATGAGCTCGGCTGTAAGGATTTGCCATCATGCTGATGTCAGAGGTGTGGCTTGGAGACTGGATATGTTTTTGTCATTGTTTAAAGCCTGCAATATTTTCCAGGGAGCTGAACTGATATCTTAGTATGCAACCAATCTTTTTAAGGGGGAATATCAAGCAATAGTGTGTTTTTTTGCTGCAGTTTGGACTGGAACTTTTAAAGATAGTAACTTGAGATGTTCTATGGATTATAGGGAAGAACATTTGGTAACATGATCATAGGAAACTGAAGGATGGTAACATGAGGTGTTATATTGATCACAGGAAACTGAAGGATGGTAACATGAGGTGTTATATTGATCATAGGAAACTGAAGGATGGTGCCATGAGGTGTCATATTGATCATAGGAAACTGAAGGATGGTACCATGTGTTATATTGATCATAGGAAACTGAAGGGTGGTATTATGAGGTGTTATATTGATCAAAGGAAACTGAAGGATGGTAACATGAGGTGTGATATTGATCATAGGAAACTGAAGGATGGTACCATGATGTGTTATATTGATCATAGGCAACTGAAGGATGGTACCATGAGGTGTTATATTGATCATAGAAAACTGAAGGATGGTAAAATGAGGTGTTATATTGATCATAGGAAGCTGAAGGATGGTAACATGAGGTGTTATATTGATCATAGGAAACTGAAGGATGGTGCCATGAGGTGTTATATGGATCACAGGAAACTGAAGGTGTGATGAGGTGTTATATTGATCATAGGAAACTGAAGGATGGTAACATGAGGTGTTATATTGATCATAGGAAACTGAAGGATGGTAACATGAGGTGTTATATTGATCATAGGAAACTGAAGGATGGTAACATGAGGTGTTATATTGATCATAGGAAACTGAAGGATGGTATTATGAGGTGTTATATTGATCATAGGAAACTGAAGGATGGTAACATGAGGTGTTATATTGATCATAGGAAACTGAAGGATGGTATTATGAGGTGTTATATTGATCATAGGAAACTGAAGGGTGGTAACATGAGGTATTATGTTGATCACAGGAAACTGAAGGGTGGTATTACGAGGTGTTATATTGATCACAGGAAACTGAAGGGTGGTATTATGAGGTGTTATATTGATCACAGGAAACTGAAGGGTGGTATTATGAGGTGTTATATCGATCACAGGAAACTGAAGGGTGGTATTATGAGGTGTTATATCGATCACAGGAAACTGAAGGGTGGTAACATGAGGTGTTATATCGATCACAGGAAACTGAAGGGTGGTAACATGAGGTGTTATATCGATCACAGGAAACTGAAGGGTGGTATTATGAGGTGTTATATCGATCACAGGAAACTGAAGGGTGGTAACATGAGGTGTTATATCGATCACAGGAAACTGAAGGGTGGTAACATGAGGTGTTTTATCGATCACAGGAAACTGAAGGGTGGTATTATTAGGTGTTATATTGATCACAGGAAACAGAAGGGTGGTATTATGAGGTGTTATATCGATCACAGGAAACTGGAAGGGTGGTATTATGAGGTGTTATATCGATCACAGGAAACTGAAGGGTGGTAACATGAGGTCTTATATTGATCACAGCAGAGACCATATTATATGGTCTCTGATCACAGGAAGCTGAAGGGTGGTATTATGAGGTGTTATATCGATCACAGGAAACTGAAGGGTGGTAACATGAGGTGTTATGTTGACAATATCATCTGACTGATTAGGTTCACACAATGATGGGATATTGACTATAAGAAACTGAAGCATGGGAAGATAACAGAGTTACATTGTCTATAGGAAACTGAAGGATGCTTACCATGGGAAAATGAACAATGGAAAGGCAAGATACAGCTGCATTGGTTATAGGAAAGTAAATGCTTGAAATGACAAGATAAGATTGAGATTTGTTTAACAGACATAACTGAATAATCAAAAGATGCCATACATTTACATTGGTTAAAAGAAACTGAAGGATGCTTATTATAGAAGGCTGAACAATGGAATGACGAGTTTTGTTTACACTGGTTGTAGGAAACTGAAGAATGCCTGTTTCGGCATTCAAGCATTGTTAGCCACATTAACAGTTCACCATACTTTTTGTATGGCGTTGTCAAATTTAAAACATTTTTGGTTTTCATGTCACATCTGTGTGCATGAAACAATATAAGTGCTATTTTTGCATGAGCCTCAAAGCTTCTGCCAGTCAGTGCAATCAAGTACATACCATCACACACCATGTCATATGAATTTTCACAGGATCTTAGTATATCGTGATTTTGTATGTGTGAAATATTATATTTATTGTTATTTTTATATATTGATATGTGTCACTGCGTTTCATGTATCTCTTGTTTAATTAGAGTTATCTCCCTTCCCAACTATTTCTTTTTCTTTTTATTACCAGTGTGTATTAGTTGTATTTTGGTACGGCACGGTATTTGTGATTATTGTAGCAATTGAATGAATACAATTCAAATGTAGTTAACGCATATCCTTTGTGTTTTTGGTAGGAAATAGTGTGGGTTTTCTATAGTTGAAATATCATTGAAATTCTTGCCTGGTCGGAGGGGAGATAACTCTTTTTTCCATGCTGTGATGTGAAACTTGCTCATTATGTTGGCAATGTTTGCAAGAACACACAACTGGGGTATGTTTGCAGTATGACTACACAACTACAAGATTACTGTAATAGCTTTTGACAATTCACCTTCAAATATACACATCACTAATATGTGTATAAATACAGTCAGCCCTCTTTGAGCAATGAACTTTTCAGTTCTACAAAAAGCAGTGGATATATATCTCTGTGGTGCTACCACTAAGGCAATGTATCCATGAATGTATATGTATTAGTTGTTAACCCATATATGGTATGGAACCATTTGACTTAGCCAGTGCACCTGGAGTTAAAGTGTCTACCACTGTCTCCCGTGCTGTACATTGTGATGTTCACACAGTGGAACAGTAGTGCAAGTATTCCCGGTTGTGTGCCAGTGTTATCGTCTGCTCATGTTGTCAAGTATAGGGCCACACAATGCGGCTGTCATTTGTGTTGTCAAAACATTTTACAAGGAAAAAAAAGAACTGAAAATAAACTGATAGAAACCACAGATTTGTTAGTTGTTTATCAACATCCAAGTGAATACTGACTGACTGAGTTTGGTTTTACGCCGCTTTTAGCAATATTCCAGCAACATCACGGTGGGGACACCAGAAATGGGCTTCACACATTGTACCCATTTGGGGATTCGAACCCGGGTCTTCGGCGTGACCAGCCAACGCTTTGACCACTAGGCTACCCCACCGCCCCTCCAAGTGAATAAGGAATGAATGCTACATAGTGTACAGTTGTTTTGGTTGTCGCAGAAACATGCAAACAACTCCATGGGGTAGCCTAGTGGTTAAAGCATTCACCCGCCACACTAAAGGCCCGAGTTCGATTCCCCACATGAGTGCAATGTCTGAAGCCGATTTCTGAAATCCACCGTGGTGATATTGCTTGAATATTGCTATAAGTGGCATACAAGCAAACTCACTCACTCAGCTGATGTGAAGTAATTTAAGTAACACTGATGCTGTGACCTGGTATCATCACTAGTCAGGGGCGTAGCTACCATTATAAAAAACAGCCCGGGCTTACACATGATTTTTGCTAAAGATCACCATGAAAGTTGGGCAAGCCCACAATACTATCTAAATATAAAGCTTTGTAACCTCTCGGGCTTACACGAAAAATTTGGCTTGCTAGGTGCCTGCTAGTGGATACTGATTCTGTTTTGTTTTAGGCAGAACCATACAATGGAGGAGAGATTAATTTTAGAAAGGGTTTTGTCAGGTTTACTTCTAGGATTATTTCTATTTAGGGTATGCATAGCTTTATTTCATGGACTGAAGACCAGTGGTCTCAAGTGGTATAAAGGAATACTCCCAGGGATCTGGTGTAACACATGCACCTTTTGTGACAAAGTGCTGTTTGGCTATGCACCTGCCATCTTGGTAGATTCCTAAACTATCTGACCAGGAAGGGTATACTTTACCTATAAACCTGGAAACAATCTATTCAGTATACAGGCCCAAGTACAATATGAATGCATAGTGTATGTATCTTATACAGTCATGTTGTACTTGGGCTTGTGGCCTTTATAAATGCATTCTTCTTGTAACCTGGACAAGAGGTATTCTACTTGTATGAAAACCTCAACATACACTTCTGTTGGTAAGATCATAAACAAGGATTACCGGGAATCAATTGATGCGAAAATAGATACATTTGACCAAAATACCTCTTCCAGTGTATATACCATTTATTAAAAGTAGGGGATATTGGATTTACAAGATTGATAAAATGCAAATGATGAATTAAGTCAAGGAGGAAACAGATGATGAAGAGAAATTAAGGGAAAATGTGACAATTTGTTCCATTCCTTTGGAAATGTTTCATCTGTATGGATATATATTACTTTCATATGCATTGGCATTGGCGAGAGGTATGCTGCACAATGGAATACCCCCTACTTTTTTTCTAATGGTATAAGACAAACACCATCCGAATTATGAAATCATTTGGGGAAAGTATTCTAACTCTAACATTCTTAATAAATTCCGGAAATCCTGTTCAAGTGAAACTTAGTAAGGTTAATCGCTCCTCAGGTGAGATTGCTGGTAAATTAATCAGTGATGTCAACTGGCCAGATTGAAACATTCCACCACAAAAAAAACTGTGATGCTGATTGATGAGTTCTTTGTTGTCAGTTGGCAACAATAGCAGTTCTTTGGCCAGGTGACATACTGCACCGTAGACAGGCCCTGCTCGTAAATACCTCGACTTTTTTACAAAACCATTGGTGCATCCACCTGCTAATCTGCTGGACAATGTGAGCTGTGACTTGTGTAGTCAAAGCGTTCAACAGCCGTTACGTGTCAGATTTTACACGTGTTGCCCCGTCAGGCCGGAAACAATGAACGGTATTGATGTGTCTTCAAGGAAATCACCTTGTGTACACGTTGTGAGCAACACGTTGTCCTCCACGACTCGGAAGACTCTCTCATTATGGGAGATTTAGGATTTTACGACTTTCACTGATCTTGCAACAGATTCAGTAGGATGTTAAATAACGTGTAATTAGGATTGCGTAGCTGTCACAATATATAATAATGGTAACAATAGGCCGTTGTATCGTAATGGATTTCCTCTCCGTTTGAGTTTGTTTCTGTACTTTTTTTCCTGGCAAATTTAAGTTTCATATGACATTATTATCTTGTGTTTCTTACCACATATTATATATACATGCAGCTTTTTTGGAAAGACAATATGGTAAATATAAAATTGAAAATATATTTTCTTGACAGCGAGAATTCCCGATGTGCTTGGTCATGGTGATCGATGAGGTCCGTCAAATGAGTGCATTGTACTGTTTTATAAATAATGTGATTAACACGTATATAGTAGGCATAATGTCCTTTGCTCATATCCCATAGTGCACAGTTATAGCGTTAATGTGTGCCACAGGCTGGTACTGTTTAATCTGATTATCATGACTTCATAGGACGATTTTCTGCTGAAAACACAGGGGTCAAATTAAACATGGAGAAAATTTCAAATTTATCATAACATTGTACGACAGAATTTTAGAAATTCTGTCTTTGAAGTAATAAAGTTTCCATGGATTTATGTTGTAATATTAGATATAATATAAAGTATATAAAGTAATGAATTAATATTCCACTATATAAAGTGATATATGGCTATTACACTACAGAAAGAGATTCTTTATAGTTCTACTATATAAAGTAACCAATTAGTATTGCACTATCTATGGTAAAGAATTAGTATTCCACGATATGAAGAAATAAATCAGTATTCCACTATGTAAATAAATGAGTGAGTATTCCATTATATAAAGCAATGAATAAGTATTTCACTTTATAAAGAAATTAATTAGTATTCCACTACCTAAGGTAATGAGTTAGTATTCCACTATGAAAAGTAATGAAGAAGTATTCCATTATATAAAGTATTGAATCAGTATTCAACTATACAATTAATCAGTATTCCACTATATAAAGTATTGAATAAGTATTCCACTATATAAAATATTGAATAAGTATTCCACTATATAAAGTATTGAATCAGTATTCCACTATATGAAGTATTGAATAAGTATTCCAGTATATAAAGTATTGAATCAGTATTCAACTATACAATGAATCAGTATTCCACTATATAAAGTATTGAATAAGTATTCCACTATATAAAATATTGAATCAGTATTCCAGTATATAAAGCAATGAATCAGTATTCCACTATATAAAGTATTGAATAAGTATTCCACTATATAAAGTATTGAATAAGTATTCCACTCTATATAATATTGAATAAGTATTCCACTATATAAAGTACTGAATCAGTATTCCACTATATGAAGTATTGAATAAGTATTCCACTATATAAAGTATTGAATAAGTATTCCACTATATAAAGTATTGAATCAGTATTCAACTATACAATGAATCAGTATTCCACTATATAAAGTATTGAATCAGTATTCCACTTTATAAAGTATTGAATCAGTATTCAACTATACAATGAATCAGTATTCCACTATATAAAGTATTGAATCAGTATTCCACTTTATAAAGTATTGAATCAGTATTCAACTATACAATGAATCAGTATTCCACTATATAAAGTACTGAATAAGTATCCCGCTATATAAAGCAATGAATCAGTATTCCACTATGTAAAACAATGAATTAATGAAAATCTTCTCAAATATCTTTACTTTGGGCTTACACCTCGGCCAGACCAAAGGCTTCTAGAGCTAAGATAGGTCGAGAATGTAAAGGTCCTTTTGTTGTTGTTCTCTTGTATTGGGCCTTTTCTATTGGTACAATTAAAGGTCCTGAGAGCGAATATGCTACGTGCATGATGATTACGCACGACCAAAAAAACATATGTTTCTAACTTTTGAAGAATTCTGAGGACATTGATTTCATGGAACCACCAAATTTCAAATTTTGAAAGAAATGATTTTCGTTTCTAAAGATAAGAGTTTGCGTGAAATGACTGAAAGGTTTTCATATGACGTACAGCCACGATTCTCTCCTATAAACCAGGTTGTACTAAATACACAGACAAATATGTGACGAAAATCTGTTTAAAAAAGCATTAACATCAGAGATATTTTGTGAAAATGTCATCTTAAAGTATCGTTTTTGTTCCTGCGAATTAGAATTCCGAACTTTGTTAACCCTAAGTTAACATTATTATATACAAAAAGAACGTTTTTCTCCAACTTTAGAAGTGACCGTTATGCTACCTTGTCCAGGATTAAAATCAGGGAATATGTTTCATTCGAAAATTTATCGGAAGTATTCAAATACATAAAGAAGAAAAAGATATTTATATGTGAACAGTAAATACCGAGTGTGATATGATGGAAGTGTCCTGTATGACAAAACAGGTAAAAGGGGGAATAAGGAAATTGCCATTTTTGTATTAAAATTTCGTATGAAACAATTAAAGTTACAACTAGTCGAGCATATGGGATGATCAAATGTATCGAAAGAATGTGTCTCACAAAACAGACAGATGTAATTCTTCGTAAAGAAACGCCCGGCAAGCTGCTTAATTGCTGGTGTGGTGTTTAGGAGATAAACTTGATACTGTGAGCTATTACAATTTCGCTATATACCTCTGATTTTCCAACACAGTATGTATATCTCCATTCTACCATAACCACGATATTTTGAATTTAAAAAGATATATCCTGTGTTGGGAAATCAGAGGTAAAAAACGTGATTATATACCTCTGAATGACTTTAATTAACTAATCACAATTCTGTATTTACCGAAGTCCTAATATTCACTCTCTCGGTACATTCGGTTTTCTGTGTACGTTTGATATGGATGTGTACGTGTAAAAACATCAGTCATACGATGTTATCCAATTCCAAGTTCTTAGGTTCGGAATCTCCCATCTCACTGGAGCTCCTTTTCAATTTTAAAGAATTTATCTTTTTGCTTCCACAATGATATATACTAGTATTCAGAGACTAAGTGTTAGTCTAGTCCATTGAGTATGGCAGAATTACGGTTGTGAGGGGTCAGGGTGTAAATACTTACTTTTTAGGCAAAGTGTACGAGTAGCTTACATGCTTATCGTTTTGCGCCAACACCCGGTGTCCTCATTGTTTTTCAGAGGTCCATTCATACACTTTCACAGATATTTTACCCTTCACACCAAATTGAAATCTCTTTCGTAGGATAGTCGGCACTAAGTGTTCTTTTGCAATGATGTTTTTATGACTCACTATCGAATCGTCATTATAACTATTTTCTCTAAAAGGAGCGTACATCCTTACCCACCGGTTCATTCGTCACAAGCACTTACAAAGGACAGTCAATTGTTCACCCGAAAAAAAGGGGAAAATTATTAATGTAAATTTGACTGACTGACTGACTGAGTTTGGTTTTACGCCGCTTTTAGCAATATTCCAGCAATATCACGGCGGGGGACACCAGAAATGGGCTTCACTCATTGCACCCATGTGGGGATTCGAACCCGGGTCTTCGGCGTGACGAGCCAACGCTTTAACCACTAGACTACCCCACCGCCCCTAATGTAAATTTGAGAATTGTACTGGACATTGTAAGTGCCAAATTTGGAAATATCTTAGAGATATGTACCATAAAACATTTTGAAAAATTTACAAAGGCCAAAAATGATGTAGCCCAAATCGAAACAATGCATTATTATTATAAGGATTAATGTTCAACGCGAGGTATTGTCTTCAGTCGGTGCTTCAGATTACTAAAACTCCACACATTTCCTCATAATCATTTCTCAGTCAAAACCTTAAGACAATGTGTTTTCCCATTGTTAAATGAACATCAGCAATAGTTTGATTAAATATGTCACGCTATAAAATGAAATGCATGTCACATTGTGCCAGTCAATGACGAATACGTGTCAGAACTCTATATACACCATGCAACAAGTATCGTTTAATTTAACCACATAAATATTCTATATTGCTTATGCTGTACATATCCGATACATGAACATCTAATATTGCACTAAAGCAAAAAGCTTAAATATTTCCTGGTTTAAAAGTCCCCCGTGTTTCAAATCAAGTAATGGCTGCGTGGACAGTTCTGCATTGTGTAGTAATCTCCACGTAAACGTTGCTTTAGACGTGGCGATGGCGCGTGGACAACCTGAGTCTCATGTACACACTATATGCATTATTTTGCCACATCATAGATTATTGATGTAGACTTGGAGAATGCCAACCGTATCGTGATGTTTCACATCAACTTTCTTCGATCGCCCCGTCCAGTTGGCTGCTCTCTGATTGGTCTGTTTCCGCACCGCGCTTTCTGATTGGTGGGTTCATCCGTCGGTTCGTGGCACGTACATGCTTTAAAAGGTCCGCTGCTACGGAACTCAGCAAGCATTGTTGTAGTAGAAACAGCAGAGGAAAAGTCAAAAGGTAAGAAGCGAGTCTTTACTTTCCCTCTCTAAACTTGCGCAGTGTTCTTAAGAAATTCTTCATTTGTTTTCTAAATAATTCGTTCGTTTTTGTCAAATGGTTCAGGGAAAATGTTCCAATTTTAAGTAGAACGGGACGATGTCAAAATTAGGATAAGGAGGGTTAATTTTTCTACCACGAGGAAGAAACAAATTACAGTTCATTCCCCATTTCTTCTTTGAATCAGATTTCTGATTATTCCAAATTGTGCTCTTAAATATTATTGCATGATCATATTATTAACAGAAATTCGCTGATGATTTGGAAATAGCGAAACCTCCTTATATCCACTATCGTGCATGTATGTCTAAAACAATGCGATGCTTAATGAACACAGGTCTGTGAACTGTTTAAAATGTCTAACAACCGAACGCAAATACCAGTAGCACTTCTATTTTTACTGCAATGGAAGATTATACGTGTTAGGAAAGGTGTAGTATGTTACAAAGAGTAACGAAGTTACCATTTCTATAAAAATGTTTGTCAAGGTTTTCAACATGTAGGAATGTACATATCTCAGTGTTTGCTGAAATATTCTGTTTGGTGTATTATTCAAATCATGGCGATTGCTAACGCGCGTGTTTTTGACATTCGACATTCTTCTGTAGAATTCCTATTAAGTGTTGACGAATACAAAATTAGAAAAGATTAAATATGCAAGATATGACGGGATGAAGTAGCGACCAAATACGTTGGAAATAAATGTCATTACTATTTGGAATAATGAAACGTGTCAACGTCATCAAATGTCCGAACTTACTTGGAACGTCGTTAGAACCACTTCACACGTGGCAATGTTTAAGGCGTAGCGTTGCGGCAAATTGGCGTGGCAAGTTTTATCCAATCACAAACAGTAGAGGTTATCCTTTACTACCCTTATGTCTCACTGAAGGCATTGATTGGGCAGGGCGTTCATCGACTAGACGTTGCAACGTCGACGCCACGTGTTACCAGAACGTCATTGATCTGAAATGGGATAGTTCTCACGAGGTCGCAGCTCTGGTACATTCTTGTACAGTCAATGAAAACTCTCAATGCATTCGGCGTTCACTCTTGTTAACGATTTGCGATGAATTTGTTTTTAATTTGTTTGTATGTTCTTGTGTCGAGAGGCACAGGTGCTTGCTTGGTGGGCCGACTTGTCTCCCTTAACCATGTATCAATGAACATAGGCTCGTATTATTTATTTACAAAGATTATTTTCAAAAGACTAAGAGTGTCATAGCATCTCTCTGGGGTAAGGAAGTTACCCGACTACACGTTAATATTTTGACAACGTCGTATGTTAGCAGTAAATATGTACTTTATGAATGTTACGGTAAACAATGTCATAAGCGGTTATTGGGCAGCCAGAGTGGCGTAAAACGCTTGGTACATCACTGATTTTCAGTGATCAATCTTATATAATATTCACAGTTTCGCGTTATACACTCAATGGAATCCGTTACGACGTTACGACGGCTGATTCTCTGGCGTTGACGTTCCAAACGTAGTCATTGATAAAGGTCCCTTCAAGGTCAAATGGTCATACAGTTAAATATAGAGACTGTGGAGAATAGATTCCCCGTAACCAATATCCCTATAAGAGCTGATTCTGTTGATCATGTAATTTTGGGAGTGTATCGTACCCGATGAAATCGAACGTTACTCATACGTTTTGGCCACTAATATCTTTCATGTGGGTCCCGATACCGAAAGCATTCGTAGCGTTACGACCAATCTTAAGTTTGCAGTTAACCATAAACTTACGAATGTCTTAGCGCTTCAAAAGGCGTTTGGATCGGCACCCTGGATTCGAATATATGCGATCCGCCAGATTCGCTGGAATAATGCGTTATACAACCAAGAAACCGTTACGTTTAATGGCAGTCTCAGCTACACTAATATGCAAATAACACCACCCACTTTCTTTCCCTCAGCACCAGAATCATGAAACTGCAATTGGTTATCATCGCTGCCTTCGTGGCCACATGCATCTGTGACGAGGACCGTAAGAAACTTAAGAAACAAACCACCATCCCTCATGTGATCACAAGCGTCGCCACCCTGACGTTTGAGATAAAAAACTGGGACGGCGAGGGCGAAACTCTGAGGGGTGACGTCAAGATTGGTCTGTTTGGAGATATTGTTCCCATGACATCGCTCAACTTCGCAAGCATCTGCAAAGGATTCAAGAGAGACGGGGTGAGTATGGTCGAATTATTTCCGCTGACAGTTTGCATACATTCAGGTGTCCGAGAACGCGTCCTTCAACATTGACGTTTTCTGTGAACTTGTGTGATTGATATGGATAAGTAACAGTCCTGAAATGTTCTATATTGTATTGCAGAAAGCCCGCCTTCATTACAAAAACACTCAATGCCACAGACTTGTGAAGGATATGTTGATCCAGTGCGGTGACGTACTCAACCAAGACGGAACTGGATGTAAGTGACAATATCACGAATATTAGATCTGATTTAATGAGATTATGACTGTAGACCTACGACCGATGGGTAGCCTAGTTGTTAAAGCATACACTCATCACGCCAAAGACCCAGGTTCGAATACCCACATGGGTACAATGTGTGAAGCCTATTTCTGGTTTCCCCCGCCGTGATATTGCTGGAATATTGCTAAAAGCGGCGTCAAACTAGACTCACCCACTCACTCACTGTAGACCTACGGCAGGCGGGTAGCCTAGTTGTCAGAGCATTCACTCTTCACGTTGAACATCGGGTGTAACACTACACTGATTTTGTTTCCGTGTCGCTCGTGGCATGGCTTCAAAATATACACAACATATAATGAAATCATTTCAATAATCTTAAATATTACTAGTATTAGGTTTCAAAAATCTACTCAATCTCAAGCTTAATCATGTCGTAAGTTCTCCTTTCGAATAACAATGAATTGTAGAATCATCTCTTTGGATGTTGACATCCAAGTCGTGATTAAAAATCATTTTGTCAAGCAAAGGAACTGGGCCGCTAGCTTGTTTATTGACATGTATATAAACCAATATTCAAACCAATTCTTCATCAAAGTGTTTATATTCTATCATAGCACGCAGCATCTACGGTGAACGATTCGTTGATGAGAACTTCAAGATCAACCACGCTAGCGCTGGTATCGTATCCATGGCCAACCACGGAAAGGACAGTAACGGATCCCAGTTCTTCATCCTTTTCGGCAGGGCTCGTTACCTTGACAACAATCACGTCGCTTTCGGAAAGGTCTTGGAGGGCATGGTAAGTCTAAAAAATATCCTTATTCATGAGGGAGGGAGGAATTTGAACAGTTTTGGCATGTCAGTTTAATGTTGAAAAGTCTGACATGCAGGTTTCAGTTTCTTCTCTCTTTGGTTAAATATACCAGCAAGGGTATGGTACTGTAAAAAGCAAAACATTATCAGAGCGTATCTGGGAATCGAATCAATATTCTTCTGGCAGAGCGAACTGCAGCCCCTTTGACCCACCCGTGGCCCACCCAGTGATGTCCAGTGTTCTGTTCCCTTAGCCAAATGCACTGAATTTGAGAAACGCCACGAAGTTTGTTAGGGACACTTAGATCATTCATACTTCAACCAGTCGTCTTTCAATGCGTCTACTCCAACTCTGTACACTTTGGTTGGTTGGTTGATTGTTGTTTAACGCCGCGCTCAGCAGTATTCCAGCTATATGCCAGCGGTCTGTAAATAATCGAGTCTGGACCAGACAATCCAGTGATCAACAGCATGAACATCTGTCTATGCAATTGGGAAGCGATGACATGTGGCAACCAAGTCAGCGAAGCTGACCACCCGGTCCCACTAGTCGCCTCTTACGACAGGCATGGGTTACTGAAGACCAATTCTAACCCGGATCTTCACGAGTCCTGTTCACTTTTGACGCGCACTGAATCCCTTCAGATGTGTATGAAAAAAATATTTGTCAAAACCGTTGAAAGTTAAACTAATATTGGCGGTGTCACAACATCTCTTTGAGGATGTTTTAAACACAAATGTTGAGAACAGTGGTTGGTACATAGAATCTGTTGACAGGTAACAGATAATTTCCGCGTGCCTTTCTACAACCATTAAATACTACTCTTTTGTTATAGGATATTGTTGAAGACATCAACAGGATGGGCCCATACATAGATAGAGCTGTACCCAAGCAGAAGGTTCGTATCGCTGACTGCTCCGTCGAGGAATTGGCCCAGAAATACGAGCTCCCCGAAAAACTACTCTTCTCTGACGATCCCAGCAGGGCATAAAAACATTATCACATCATCTCATGACGTCATATAACAATAACGTCGACATGACGTCACACAGAAGTAGGAACAACCAATCAGAGATCAGATAGTCTTGATTAGCATCACGTGTAGGTAGTGCATCTGTCATCGTTCAACACTGTATATTGTAATCTTGTTTCTGTTCTGTTAATGTGTAGGACATCAGGGAGCCGATCCACAAAGCGTTCGTAACGTTACGACCTGTCGTAACTCTAGAGTTTATTATAGGCTTACGAATGACGCTTTGTGGATCGGGACCCAGTAAGTCGTCTCTATGTGGATTTGTGTGTATGTTGTACAACCTTTGATGTAAAGGTTCTCTCTGCGGCCATTGTACTTAACCAGCAGTTGGATGTAACTATAGATGTGTGTGTCTGTGTGTGCTCGTTGTTCTCTGTACAGTTTAAACCGTAAAACTATAGCCCGTGTAACAGTTTATCCTTGTGTTCATTTGAATAAACCAGTTTTACGTAAATATGTATTTATTGTTTTGAACGGGATGACTATAGTACATTGATCTGCAACGTACATCTGCTGCTACTTATGCGGACTTACGTCGGTGTTCTAGTATTGAAATACCGCGCCGCAGTTTAACATAGATGCCTCACTCTTATAAGGTATCCTGACTCCGAGTGAGTGAGTGAATTTAGTTTTACGCCGCACTCAGCAGTATTCCAGCTGTAAGGCGGCGGTCTGTAAATAATCGTGTCTGGACCATACAACCCTGTGATCAACAGCATGAGCATCGATATACGCAAATGGAATACGATGACATGTGTCAACAAAGTCAGCGAGCCTGACCACCCGATCCCGTTAGTCGCCTCTTACGAAAGGAATGTGTTGCTGAAGACCATTCTAACCCAGATCTTCAAGGGTTTCCAAGCCGACCAGTCCTTGTTATATCCCCTTATTACCGAATGCCAGGCAGGGTAACATGATTGGATTGTGTATTTGTTAGCGCTGCACTCAACCATATTCGAACTATATGGCGGTGGTCTGTAAATATTCTGGACTAGGCAATCCCGAGATCAACATTATGATCTGTCAAGTAGGATACGATGACATTTGTCAACCAAGTCGACGAGTCTGACCACCCAATTTCGTAAATCGTTTCTTACGACAAGAATTGGTTGCTGAAGACCAATTCTAACCCAGGTCTTCAGAAAGGGGGCCTACAAACATACTGGCATCAATACCAGGAGGCGCTCAGGCAACCCTGTGCTCTAGGGAAACTCAATTCGCTGTACAGTGTTGCGTTCATCAACCATGGAAGTATTGCGAATGGTGGATCGAATCCATGATTCACAGTGTTTTAAAGCGCCGCAACTAGCAGTGCGGTTTGTGCTCCATTGGTTACAGATTCCACATGTCCGGGGTTCGAATCCTGATTCCCCAACTTAAAACGTTGACTCAGTCAGCTCTATAACCGCGTGTTTGAGGGTTTTACCAGTAACGCACACGTGTTTGACTGTATTCATTCACTTTCCTGTAACACATAAAACCGAGTGGCCGTGGTATTACTGAAATAGTCGAATATGATATAAGTTACCCACGTGGTTTGAGTGACCCAGTCATCTAAGGCGCCCCATTTGTTGTTCACAATAGGCCAGGGGTGGAAATAACTTAAAAATTGCTAGTGTACTCCGGTACAGTGGCACATGTAAAATCACTTGCCCTGATAATTTTTCCACTATACAGGCCGTTTTCTTGTTGATTTTTTAAAATAAACAACATAATTAATATTGGAAAGTCAACTGGACACCGGTACAGTGTGATATACAAATTTGCTTGCCCGACAGAAAAAAACACTGGACTCCGGCGTCGGGCAATGGGTTATTTCCACCCCTGAATAGGGTCGACGGGGTAGCGGTTAGTGATCAAAGTGTTCGCTTCCCAGCTTGGGTACAATGTGTGAAGCCAGTTTCTGGTGTCCCCCGCCGTGATATTGCTGGAATATCGCTAACAGCGGCGTAAAACCACATTCAGTCAGTCAGGCAGTGTTCACAATAGCGTGCCAGAAATCTATCATCATGGGCCCGATTACCAGGCGGCCCGAGGCTAGTCAACAACGCACCATGCCACGGGTTTCAAGTGGTACACGTACGTCTGAGACGTGCATCACTCTCTTCTTCAACCTGATTATGTCGTAATATAGCTGAAATATTGTTAAAGGTGGCGTTAATCCTAACTCACTCACTCATTCACTCACTCACTCTGTATCCAACCACGGAAAAGACACAAACGGATTCCAGTTCTTCATCCTTTTCGGCAGGGCTCGTTACCTTGACAACTCTCACGTCTTGCACCTGTTAAGGTTAACCAGTCACAAGAAATATTATCACCTCTTGTCAAATTGTGTTGTTTTATGCCGCAGTCAGAGCTGTTTCATCTTTATCACACTGGTCGAAACATAATCGACAAACCAGTGGTCAAGGTACAATGATGTCAGCATAAGATGACAAAGTATCCACCAAGTCCCCGAGCCTGACCACCCAATCCACTGTGGTCTATTCTAACCCGGATCTCCCCGGGTTCATCATGCAAATGCACTGTTGCCTTCTCGATATTTGATCACCATATGTCATTCATATCGGTGGGGTAGCCAAATAGTTGCCGAAGGGTTTGATTCCCTACAAGGGTACAGCGTATGACCACATTTCTCGTATGGTATTGCTTAAATATTGCGGCGTAAAACACAGAGATCATTCTTTGAATTGGCCGGATACATAAATGTAGTTGATATAGAGGGATAACATACTATTAGTATTACGTGTAATTAAAGGTACAGGTAGGCGAGTGTGAGTGGTCTTGACTATTAACTTATTGTTATTGTGATTCGAGATAAAGACACAAATTTTTGTAGTGAAGTCATAGATGGGTCCGAGGCTTGTATCCAGATAGCGCTATATATGTTTTATGTCGAATTCGAGATAAGCGGTCAAAATAGTACGTGTTTTAAAGTGAAGTTGTCGGGACATGACAGATGGTTCGATATATCGGTCCATTCGAGATATGGAGCTAACGGTGTCCAACTGTATATGTAGGGTTCATTCACACGTAGGGATTTTGTATCAGGGGTCACAACATTGTCCACTGGAGTCAATCGCCTTCTTACGAGTTTCTCCTGTCCTATTGACCCTCACTCAGGAAACATGATGACTTATTCGTGAATATTCCAATCGTCCAGCAAACTAGAGAAACGTAATTAAGATTTAATAGTGTCTCATCTCTGCTGTCTTGTATAAAGTGTTACTAAGACCTTCATGGACTTTTTTATTTTCTTGAACACCTGAATGATGTAACAAGGAACCCTATCAGACATTTTAAAATTAATATTTCGATGCGTCCATTGATGAATGGGCAACATTCCTCCGGGTTCTTTGTCTACCATTTCCCCAATATATACCGCCAATCACAACGAGTGTTTCCTATACTGATTAAATTACTTGCGCAATATAACCGGTTTTACCGGTATTTACCGGTTCAGACATGAAAACGATACGTATTGCGATACGCTGATCGAAAACCGGTATTTTGACATGCATTTGGAAAACTTCGTAACTCTCGAAAATCTTGGGATATTTCCGTTTTTTAATGGTGTGGTGATGAAGATGTTGATGATTGTGGCAACTGTGCTAATGGTGGTGGGAATGATCGTGGAGAAAAATATACTTTACTGCATTGTTAAGTTCGGTTTGAAGTTGAGTTCTTATTTTTCGTACAAGTGTTTCACAGTGTTTTGGATCTGAATGTTTTAAATATTTACTCATTAATGACCAGTGATCTCAGATATGTCCTGACTAGGTCAAGGTGCTGTCTAAAATCTCAGGGCTTTTTTTGACAGTGGAGAAACTAGTAACCACTGTGTTGATGTTAAATTGTTCTTTTCCTTGTTTCATTTGTGCCAAATATTATTTACATTTTTATTTTGTCATGATTAAAAGTTTTTATTAAAGCTTAATCAAGTATAGTGTTTTGGTGTGTTTTGCTTTATAAATCCAGCATTAATTTGATTATAAGTAGTTTTTGGTTGAAAAAACCTTCTTGCAATATATTGGAATACATATCGCAATGTATGCCTTCGCATTGCAATATATCGCAATCTAAAAATTCTCTGCAATACCCACCCCTGGCACACTTAAATGAGCGAGAAAGACACGGTTTCATCCTTACGTTTTCTAACACTCTATCATGAGTCACTGATCCAAGCTGATTTCTGAACTTGATGAACTAAAGACAGTACAAGCGAATTAAGACAGCAAGTTCATCTTGGGTTTGTAAACGCCACTTCCTGTCTTGTGAATGACTGAGGTTATCGTCGCAGCATGAACTATCACAGTGATAAACAATCCAGACCAGCAAGCATGATCACATTGACAACGCCCCACGCCATCGGAATACGACGACACCCAATCAGTCTGTTCAACAGATCTACATTGTGTGTCCAACAGATCTACATTGTGTGAACAGATCTACCTTGTGTTGAACAGATCTACCTTGTGTCCAACAGATCTACCTTGTGTCCAACAGATCTACATTGTGTCCAACAGATCTACCTTGTGTCCAACAGATCTACCTTGTGTCCAACAGATCTACCTTGTGTCCAACAGATCTACCTTGTGTCCAACAGATCTACCTTGTGTCCAACAGATCTACCTTATGTCCAACAGATCTACATTGTGTCCAACAGATCTACCTTGTGTCCAACAGATCTACCTTGTGTCAACAGATCTACCTTATGTGTCCAACAGATCTACCTTGTGTCCAACAGATCTACCTTGTGTCCAACAGATGTACCTTGTGTCAACAGATCTACCTTGTGTCAACAGTCTACCTTGTGTCCACAGATCTACCTTGTGTCAGATCACCTTGTGTCAACAGATCTACCTTATGTCCAACAGATCTACCTTGTGTCAACAGATCTACATTGTGTCCAACAGATCTACCTTATGTCCAACAGATCTACCTTGTGTCCCCTTGTGTCCAAACAGATCTACCTTTATGTCCAACAGATCTACCTTATGTCCAACAGATCTACCTTATCTACATTGTCCAACAGATCTACCTTGTGTCCAACAGATCTACCTTGTGTCCAACAGATCTACCTTATGTGTCTAGTGTCAACAGATCTACCTTATGTCCAACAGTTACAACAGATCTACCTTGTGTCCAACAGATCTACCTTGTGTCCAACAGATCTACCTTATGTCCAACAGATCTACCTTGTGTCCAACAGATCTACCTTATGTCCAACAGATCTACCTTATGTGTCCAACAGATCTACCTTGTGTCCAACAGATCTACCTTTGTGTCCAACAGATCTACCTTGTGTCCAACAGATCTACATTGTGTCCAATAGATCTACCTTATGTCCAACAGATCTACCTTGTGTGCAACAGATCTACCTTGTGTCAACAGATCTACATTGTGTCCAACAGATCTACCTTATGTCCAACAGATCTACTTTGTGTCAACAGATCTACATTGTCCAACAGATCTACCTTGTGTCCAACAGATCTACCTTGTGTCCAACAGATCTACCTTGTGTCCAACAGATCTACATTGTGTCCAACAGATCTACCTTGTGTCCATAAATTACAATGAACAGACCATAGTTCCACTATGATACATTTGGTACAAAGGTTTAGTTGAGTCTTGAATGTTAGGTCCGATCCAACAAAGCGTTTTACAGTGATCTCCACCTATCCTGTCTTACAGCAGGAGATATTCAATTCATACTATAGTCTGTTTGACTTCATTTTCGACCGATGAATTGCTCACTAACACACAATCCAATAATTGCAACAAAATCAAATTTTGCACAGTCACGTGAAATCGACAGACCAACTCTGATGATTTGTCTCATAATTTTGGACACCCGAATAAAAAAGTTGTTTAACAAACGATCATTATTTTGTTGTTACTTTTCGCTATTTCTTACGAGGGGGGACAACTTGCTGCTAGAACAGCCAGGTAATCAAGAAGGCTGTGCAGTGCAATTTCAATTTCACACGTATAACATGCACACCTGGCTGTTCTACTAGCAAGTGGTTGGCTAACACCGGACAGTAGGACCCCAACCGACAGTGGAAACAACCTGACAATCCAGTGACTCTATAACGAGTTTACAGACTTTGTTGAAACTGACAACCTAACGTTAATTTTCTTTAAAGTCAAACGAGACAACACATGAGATCTTTACAAAACTATTTTTTATTCGGATACATGTACATATTATCAAAACATTCACTCCATGTATGACGTATTCTAAAACAAACTAACGCAGATAAAAGTTAGTGCTAGTTCAGCATTCTCAGGAACATTGACCGTTCCACTAATGACCAGACACTATACTACAGTTCTAAAGTTGAGCTCGTCTCTAAGTGAAGCTTCGGCTGCATATCTGACTCATTCAAAAACAACTATTACATATTGCAGTGCGTAGCTGCTCCTAGGAAAAACATACATGCCAGACTGTGAAAGCTATCTGGCATTAGAACTGTTTACGTTAATGCCGACTGCTGGTCACGCCTTCACACAGGACAATGGCAGAACACAGAATGAAACAGGACAAGCCTATAACTGAACTCAAAATGTCTCCCTCCATTGACTCATTTAAAAGTTCCCTCAAAACCCATCTTTTCAGAAAATATTACGATCTATAACTTAACTTTCCAAAAATTTTCAGCCTCGTTCTAGCATAACCTTTGCTTTGTAAAATTTGTAAATATGTAGCGTTTTGAGCATGCCTTAGGTGTGGAATTCAGCGCATTATAAATACACATATTATTATTATTATTATAAACACAGGCACTCGGCGCCAGATACTTTCAAACCAAACATGAATATTTCTGAATTGTATCTCTGTTGCCTTTCTCGTATGTGTTTCACAAGCAGTACTATTGTTGTAAACCATTCAAAGTGTCAGAATTACGATAATTGTACTTTTACTTGACAACTCGTCTCATTCCGGAACAACCCGAATGGCTTTCTTGTAGGTTACGGAAAGATGCGAGTAGAGACAAATACATTCGCCGGAATGACACGAGTAGTTACGAATGAGACAAATAGAGAAGGAATTTCACTCGTCACCGTTCGTCCCTTTCCGTAACCTCCGTAATGACACGAGAGGTCACGAAATGATCTCAAACGGGGGCAATTTGTTGAAAATATGGTGCTGGGTGTTGTAACTTTGGTTGCTTAGTGTATGTCATCGTCGTCGTCTTCGTCATCATGCATCGGCGCGAAGTCATCCTTCCGGAAGTTCTGTGAATCCTTGTCCAACTGTTGCAATGTTACCACGTACTTAGAGCCGATTCCCTCCACTCCGCAGTTGCCGACCATGACGGCTTTCTTCGGGTCACCAGTGTTGTAGCTAGTAATCTCGCCGATCTTTAGAACCATGTCCTGTGGGAAATATCATTATTCAAATTTAGTTTCATCAATAAAAACTTTCTTCTCAAGTCGACAGCTTAAAAAGCATCGTAAAGCTCATTTGAACCGCTATGGCATTTAGATAAAACTTCACTGAACCGTGGAGCCAAACATCCTCTAAATGTGGATTTTGTCCTCAGAATTATTAAATGTTCATCAGTCAACTATTTCCAAATGAATAAATATACAAGTAATATTTTGATCCGACATATTACATCGGATTTCAATATTCATGATATGAGAAGATTCAGGAGCAATCGTTGCTACCTATCCTGGACGAATGAGTGAGTTAAGTTTTATGCCGATCTCGGCAATATTCCAGCTATAATGCGGCGGTCTGTAAATAATCGAGTCTGGACCAGACAATCCAGTGATTAACAGCATGATCATCGATCTACGCAATTGGGTAACATGTGTCAACCAAGTTAGCGAGTCTGACCACCCGATCCCGTTAGTCGCCTTTTACGACAAGTGTAGGTTGGTGAAGATCAATTCTACCCCGGATCTTCATGGGTCTATCCTTGACGAAACCATTGATTGTATTAAACTATAATTAGTTTGATGGTTGTCGCTCCACATAAGACCAAGGCCTGTGAGAGATTTGAAGAAGATTCTTTCAAGATTGTTTCAACAACAGATGTTCTTTTATGAAAAAGGGAAAAGCAATATTTCAGCAATATCACGGCGGGGGACACCAGAAATAACCTTCACACGTTGTACCTATGTGGGGAATCGAACCCGGGTCTTCAGCGAACTCTTTAACTACTAAGCTAGTAAGCTGCCTCACTGCCCCCCGGCTAAGTCGTCTGACGTAAGGATGGCGTCCATAACCTAACTCGATCCTTCTGTTCCGGTAGGCCTAAAGTTAGATAATTATCTTTTAAAAATACTTCATAGGTTCAGATCCTGGAGACAAGCTTACTCACCATTCCTGCAATGATTTTGCCAAACACCACGTGATGGCCATCTAGCCATCTCGCCTTCTGCAGTGTAATGAAGAACTGGGACTTGTTGGTGTCTTCCCCTGCATTGGCCATTGAAACCATTCCGGAAGAACTGTGGCTCAAGACGAAATCCTCGTCACGGAATGTGTCACCATAGATACTGGTTCCTGCAACATCAAAACCATATGAGAAACTAGCGGAGATTTAATGGTTATAATGTCCTGCCTAGACGGTAGCTAGAAATTACTGTGGTCATAGATAATGGCTACAAAAACGTGGTCTCACATACAGGACATACTCTATACCACGACAACATATATCTACAGGTTTTAGCCGTAAAGTTGTAGGTTACTATAAGCATGGAAATATATAGTAATCCTGAGATTTCTTTGTCCTATGTAGTCCATTGTCCTTGGCAGTGTGCGAAATATATAGTTTCCAAATTTTGCTTGCCAGTCGGACTAGCTATGCCTGAAAGTTACTAGCCCACCAAATAATTCACTAGCCCAAAATTTGAATGTAGAAACTAAGCAAAAGATTACAAAAGATAAAAAATGCCATCATTTATCAGGCCACAATCTTGCATGATTTAAAAGTGAATTATAACGTATCAAGTCGGAGAGAGTGATACATTTAAAAAATGACCAAATGCAAATTCATTAGACACTCGGACCAGTGACTGTGGAGATCTACTGGCCCGATTGGATTTTTACTAGCCACGGGCAGGCGGGCAAGTGGCTATTTTGCACACTGGTCCTTGGCCAAGTTCACCGTTATTTTATGCAAGAGACAAGGCTATGTTTGTTTTGCTATGTATGAACTCACCTCCAAGTCCTTGCTTGTGTTCTACGTCTCCCATCTGGACGACAAAGTCCGGGACAATTCGATGAATCCTTGTCTGGTTGTACGTCAAGAATTGCTGCAGGTGGAGAAACACATGTGTATATGTGAGTGTCCTACAGGTGGAGAAGCACATGTGTATATGTGAGTGTCCTACAGGTGGAGAAGCACATGTGTATATGTGAGTGTCCTACAGGTGGAGAAGGCCATGTGTATATGTGAGTGTCCTACAGGTGGAGAAGCACATGTGTATATGGGAATGTCCTACAGGTGGAGAAGCACATGTGTATATGTGAGTGTCCTACAGGTGGAGAAGGCCATGTGTATATGTGAGTGTCCCAGGTGGACAGTGAAGTGTCCTACATGTGTGTATGTGAGTGTCCTACAGGTAGAGAAGCACATGTGTTTATGTGAGTGTCCTACAGGTAGAGAAGCACATGTGAGTGTCCTACAGGTAGAGAAGCACATGTGAGTGTCCTACAGGTAGAGAAGCACATGTGTATATGTGAGTGTCCTACAGGTGGAGAAGGACATGTGTATATGTGAGTGTCCTACAGGTGGAGAAGCACATGTGTATATGTGAGTGTCCTACAGGTGGAGAAGCACATGTGTATATGTGAGTGTCCTACAGGTGGAGAATGACACATGTGTAGAAGTGTCCATGTGTATATGTGAGTGTCCTACAGGTGGAGAAGACATGTGTGTACATGTGAGTGTCCTATATGTGTGAGTGTCCCACAGGTGGAGGTGGAAGCACATGTGTTTATGTGAGTGTCCCACAGGTGGAGAAGGACATGTGTATATGTGAGTGTCCTACAGGTGGAGGAGGACATGTGTATATATGTGTGTGTCCTACAGGTGGAGTGTAATGTGACATGTGTTTATGTGAGTGTCCTACAGGTGAGAGAAGCACATGTGAGTGTCCTACAGGTAGGAGAAGTGTATATGTGAGTGTCACACAGGTAGAGTGTATATGTGAGTGTCCTACAGGTGGAGAAGCACATGTGTATATGTGAGTGTCCTACAGGTAGAGAAGCACATGTGTATAGTGTGTCCTACAGGTAGAGAAGCACATGTGAGTGTCCTACAGGTATATGTGAGTGTCCACCTAGAGAAGCACATGTGTATATGTGAGTGTGTCTACACAGGTAAAGAAGGACATGTGTATATGTGAGTGTCCCCTACAGGTGGAGAATGACATGTGTATATGTGAGTGTCCTACAGGTGGAGAAGGACATGTGTATATGTGAGTGTGTCCTACAGGTGGAGAATGACATGTGTATATGTGAGTGTCCTACAGGTGGAGAAGGACATGTGTATATGTGAGAGTGTCCTACAGGTGAAGACATGTGTGTATATGTGTGTCCTACAGGTGTGTGTAGTGTCCTACAGGTGGAGAGAAGCACATGTGTATATGTGAGTGTCCTACAGGTGAGAGAAGCACATGTGTGTGTCCTATGGAGTGTTTATGTGAGTGTCCTACAGTGTATATGGAGTGTCCTGGGTAGAGAGAAGCACATGTGTATATGTGGTGTCCTACAGGTAGAGAAGCACATGTGAGTGTGTGGATTGTCCTACAGGTATGTGTTTATGTGTGTCTACAGGTAGAGAAGCACATGTGTATATGTGTATATGTGAGTGTCCTACAGGTGATATGTGTAGGAGGTGTCCTACAGCACATGTGAGTGTGAGTGTCCTACAGGTGGAGAAGCACATGTGTGTGAGTGTCCTACAGGTGGAGAAGCACATGTGTATATGTGTGAGTGTCCTACAGGTGGAGAATGCCCATGTGTATATGTGAGAGTGTCCTACAGGTGTATATGTGAGTGTCCTACAGGTGGAGAAGCACATGTGTATATGTGAGTGTCCTACAGGTGGAGAAGCACATGTGTATATGTGAGTGTCCTACAGGTGGAGAAGGACATGTGTATATGTGAGTGTCCTACTACAGGTGGAGAAGCACATGTGTGTATATGTGAGTGTCCTACAGGTGGAGAAGCACATGTGTATATGTGAGTGTCCTACAGGTAGAGAAGCACATGTGTATATGTGAGTGTCCTACAGGTGGAGAAGCACATGTGTATATGTGAGTGTCCTACAGGTGGAGAAGCACATGTGTATATGTGAGTGTCCTACAGGTGGAGAAGAAGCACATGTGTATATGTGAGTGTCCTCTACAGGTGGAGAAGCATGTGTATATGTGAGTGTCCTACAGGTGGAGAAGCACATGTGTATATGTGAGTGTGTCCTACAGGTGGAGAAGCACATGTGTATATGTGAGTGTTCTACAGGTAGAGAAGCACATGTGTATATGTGAGTGTCCTACAGGTAGAGAAGCACATGTGTTTATGTGAGTGTCCTACAGGTAGAGAAGCACATGTGAGTGTCCTACAGGTAGAGAAGCACATGTGAATATGTGAGTGTCCTACAGGTAGAGAAGCACATGTGTATATGTGAGTGTCCTACAGGTGGAGAAGCACATGTGTATATGTGAGTGTCCTACAGGTGGAGAAGCACATGTGTATATGTGAGTGTCCTACAGGTGGAGAAGCACATGTGTATATGTGAGTGTCCTACAGGTGGAGAAGCACATGTGAATGTGTCCTACAGGTAGAGAAGCACATGTGTATATGTGAGTGTCCTACAGGTGGAGAAGGACATGTGTATATGTGAGTGTCCTACAGGTGGAGAAGCACATGTGTATATGTGAGTGTCCTACAGGTGGAGAAGCACATGTGTATATGTGAGTGTCCTACAGGTGGAGAAGCACATGTGTATATGTGAGTGTCCTACAGGTGGAGAAGCACATGTGTATATGTGGCATAATGTATAACCTAGGCCGATGGGTCAATGTGAGACATTAGCTTGACAGTGGGTTCAATGTGTGACATGAACTAGACGGCTTCACACAACTAGACAGTGGGTGGATGTACAACATGAACTGTATAGACGAAATTTAATTCATTCAAATTTGTAAATTCAAAAGTTACTTCAGATATAAAAATAACGATATACACGATATTAGACGGCAACACGTGGTTGAAACTAATACACTGAAAACGATTCCGTGGGACAGACCGCTCAATATACGTAACAAAACCAGGGGAAGTTAGGTCAATATTTTCACAGACAAAACAGGTCATGTTATAGTGTGTCGAAACGTCCAACATGTTTTCATTGCCATATTTCTTTTTCCATTGCCAAAATTTACAAAATTAATTATTTTAGTTCGTAGTATCGTAAATTGCCAACGTGGACGGTTCGTGTGTACACGAGGCAGCCGGTGAACGTGGCATACCGGGTGATCGATGCTGACTTTTGAAACCTCCCATCTGTGACTCAAACCATTGACTCTACCACAATAGGAGTCGACCGGTATGGAATGTATTTCGTGAATCGTGTACTTGGCGAATGAAAACTTTTCGAATACAGATAGCAACGTGCATTTCTTCAGGATAATATGAATACATCACGATTATTGTGACGAATATGAGACCTTAAACTTTTACCACTAACATACAAATTGATTTTGTTCGTGTATAACATTTTATACTTTAATTCTTCAATTAAATCATCGAAAAGACAAGGAGTTTTGTGCAATGACTGTCTAATAATTCTGAACGTCCTGAAATGTCATCATAAATTCCTTAGGTTTACTCTTAAATTCTTCAATACATCATTGAGAAGAAATGGGTGGAGTGTATACAATGATTGTCTAATTATTCTGAACGTTCTGTAATATCATAAGGTACATACATTAATTAATAAATTGGCACAAACAACACACGGGCGAATATGAAATTTTAAAAGAATATATGTGATATGTAATTATTATAAACATGCACTGGCGTGCCGTATATAATATGTCTTGGATTACATGCTGTTTACTTGTGTTCTATTCTCAATTGACTGAACTATTGTCCATCGTTCTATAACATGAATACATTGGAGATGAGGATATAGAGCATGTACCTTACGTTGTTTGAAGTCTATTATTAATTCAACTGTTGTAATATTCGGGACTACTTGAGTGCTGTGTAGAAGTTTCTACAATGTATCCCTTATTCTATACTTCCACGGAAAGACGTAAAATATGAAAGATAGTTATTATACTTCATATATATTATCTAAGTAGATGTCCGAACATTCGTATCAATTGTTAGTTATGTAGACATTCATTTTTACGTTGTATTCATTTTATATAATTAGAATAAAAGACGTAAAAATATGTATTATATACCTTCATTGTTCATTCCTACTGTTAACTCACCTGTTCGAACATTTATAACTAATCGATCACTACTCGATACATCTGTTCATTTTGACATTACATCCATTAAGGTTATAAACATGAAGCTATTCCTTACTTTGCCTCGCCTGTAGCCTTTAGCCAGAGATACAAAGTTGAGCACGGTCATGGGCGCTATTTCCCCAAATAAGGCGACAACGAAACGTCCCTCCAGATTCTCAGTCCCCTTGTAGTTGTGGATGACCATGTCGAAGTAGACGTGTTCGGTGATGACGACTTCATCTGGCCTCCTGCCCTTCAGCCTCCCCACCTTGTGTCGTGCAGCCTGAGACAACGCCAGCACTGTCATCACCAACACCGCCACGAACCGAAGGATGTTGGACATGGTGAGCACTCAAGTCTGGAAAAGAACAGACCCCGTTTGTGTTTGGAAATACCGTCATGCTTTCCTTATAAACATGCTGTTATCAGAGTTACTATGAAATTATTAAACCTTTAAAGATATTTACCTGTACTTCACGTGAACGTTGAAACAGATATACCTGTATTTTTAGGTGAGAGGTTATTAATTTATAGCAGCACTGTCAGAATCAAAGATATCGGTTCATTAGAGAACTCAAGGAATACCTATTGGTACATTCAACAAATCACAAATGATGCGGTGTCATTCTCTTAATGAAAGGAATCTTGTTTTCTCTAACTGAATCACATATATATATCAGTTAAAACTTTCTTAGAGATTAATATCAGAATAAACAGGACGGTAATATTCAAGGTGGTGTTCTGTAACGTAAGCTAGACAAATGGAATGAAACGAGGTTAACCATCTCGTCAAACGCCATAGCGCTTATACATCGAACAAAACCAGAAAACGACTTACATTGACGGTATAATCTTGTTAATTTTATGAAGGTATATATAAATATAGTTCTAAATATACTAAACGTTTAGTTGTAAACCAATACTTACATCAAGACCTGGTTATAATCCTGCTCAGTACAAGATGGAATATATGAACAGGCTACAAAAACGGATAATATTATAATCTTATACTCACAGTGCGGGTATACACTTTGACGGCACGGGACTCTTCAAAGACGTCGATGCCGACATAATGCGAACTAGCCAATCAAAATACGCGTAACTGTGGCAGCGGCGTTTCTCTACGTGGCTGAGTAGGCGTGTCTTGTTGGTGGGCCTGTGTCCCTGGGAAAGACACAACAGATGTGTACCATGCTGTAAATATGTATTTCACCAGCACGTGTTGCACTGGTCCCGTGTCGATGTGTACAAATCAATTATTACATTCTCCACCTTTGTACATGTTATAGTTGTACACTTATACCACGCGGTTTCTGGTCCGACGTGGACAACTATGTTGCCTCAACTCAACACACATCTGATTGTTCCATTGATTACAAAGATACAATTGAAGCAGGGTAACAACGTCATCGTACAAACGTTTGTTTTTTGCGAATCTACAGCCAAATGGTTGGTTGTTGTTTTTTATACATTTATCTCAACAAGTACTACTATGTGAAGGTTGTAATTTGACCAAATTGATCAAATTGATCAAGTAACAGGCTGTTTGGTGCAATATGTACTGCACGGATTACAGCATTGCAGTTCTATCAATAATTTTAATATTTATTTATTTATTTTATTTTATTTCCGACACACAGCATGGACAGTTAAGCTGCGTAATCACAGCGAACACTGTGCACATTTCCTTAAATGCAACTACAATAACGAAATCTCAGAGATTATACTGCAGACAACATTGATAATTGATACTGGACTCTTAAATCAAGTATATATTAATGGTACTTTAGCTCATGTAGACAAGGTTTGCCCGACTCTGTATTTATCAATTGGTTATATTATGTAGAGGTAATCATGTGTAACAAGTCGGACAGATACAAGGATAGAGTTCCTACAAACATGGAAATATTTCATACTATGCTCTAACATCGAGTTCGAAGAACGAGTTGTTTCTCTGCTCCCATGACATCTTCTCGCTCAATACAACACATCCAAATACACTAGTATGGTGGTCTATATTTATTATATACCTCTTATATACCCTCTAATCTGTTACTTAATAAAACAAATCATAGAGTACAGAAAGTAGAACCGACAAGTGTTCAATACGGAGTCTGGGGTTCAATACGGAATTTGACCACGTCATCCGTATTGCACCCCTGTATTTCTATCCTAAGTTTACATGGGTATATAATATATGTTTAGACACACAGCAAAGAAAGATAACATATAGTGTGTTACCGCTGAGGATGGAGACGGGTATCTCTGTCGTTTGAAATGTAAATCTCTTTTCCTCAAGACTGAGTAATGTACACCGAAAACAAACATGCATATGTGGCCAAATCTTTATGAATTCAGTAAATTATCTACATTAAAGACATAAAGACACAAAGCATGTGACGTGCGTCATTGTTCTATTAGCAAGCAGGACTTAAGAAAATGATTCCATAAACTATATCATCTTGATCTCTGATATGCATTTAGAAGTTAGAAGAAAGCATGGACACATGACACTTTTTACAGATAAAATTCACATGGTGAAGGAGTAAAAAATGTCGTTAAGACTGACTGATTGAGTTTTGGTTTTAGGCCGCTTTTAGCAATATTTCAGCAACATCACGGCGGGGGACACCAGAAATGGGCTTTACAGATTGGACCCATGTGGGGATTCGAACCCGGTTCTTTGGCGTGACGAGCCAACGCTTTAACCACTAGGCTACCCCACCGCTCCAAATGTCGTTAAGAAGAATAATGAAGTATGTTATACAAAAAGTATCATGTGAGTGAGTTTAGTTTTACGCCGCTTTTAGCAATATTCCAGCAATATCACGGAGAGGGACACCAGAAATTGGCTTCACACGTTATACCCACGTGCGGAATCGAACCCGGGGACTTTAACCCAAAACACTCACCCATGTACCACCCGTCCCCTGCACGGGTACATCTTGTCTCTGAAATGAACATATTTTACAGAAAAAAAGTTCCTAAATTGTATTCATAAAACATAATAAAAGGAAGCCAAGAGACATTCTTCATTTTCCTGAAACTGTGGTAATCTGGACATTACCACATATTCTAGACTTGCATGGGCTGTAACGGGTATATTTGTTTCATGGTCTGTAGGACAGACCAGGGTACCATGTGTCAAGCCTGTTATTGAAGGTCCACGCACTGATACGGTTGGAAATATATTAAAACCCCAAACACTTATGTACTAAAACCATGTGTAAAGTATTCGAATCATTACTCCACTGGTTCAAGGGACAATGGAATTCTGACTTTTCTGAAGTTAAGTCTCACTCCTCGGGTCACAACAGGCAGCTGAACAAATACTGGGGCCGTGAAAAGAGCGACAGATTGTAAAACAAATGAAGCTACGACTTTGAGATATTGAAACGGCGACCACTGCTGTCCGAATTGACATGTGTATGGGATTAGGGACCAGTCAGTAATTACAAAGGATCGGTTGGATGAAGATGGAGTATGTGGGCGTTAACAACTACAATGCATCCCGACTAAAATGCGAGTCTATCCAACCGTTTCCCCACTCATTCACCACCCTCCCAAAGAAGACTCTTCCCAGAATGGATTTTCGTGAAATCAAGCATAGATTAACAATACCTTAAGAATATTTCCAACTGTAAGAGCCAGTCTCCTGAATTGTTTAATGTCTTTCAGCGACTCACCGATTTTGCTTTTGGGAGGCCTTCCTCTGTTGTTCTTCCTCATTGTCTTCCTCCTGCAGCGTTAAGCAACGATCACTCAACCCTGATCTGTGCAGACATTATAAATATGCGCCACTGAATGTGGTTTAACTGTGCTTTCAGAGGGTATTTCAGTTATACAATAACTAGTCAGTTTCATGGGAGGGGCGGTGGGGTAGCCTACTGGTTAAAGCGTTCGCTCGTCACGCCGAAGACCCGGGTTCGAATCCCCACATGGGTACAATGTGTGAAGCCCATTTCAGGTGTCCCCCGCCGTGATGTTGCTGAAATATTGCTAAAAGCGGCGTAAAACTAAACTCACTCAGTCAGTCAGTTTGATGGGAAGGAAAGTGGTGTAGTTCTCTGACGTTTACCGCGAACCACGGAACAAAGACTGACTGACTGAGTTTGGTTTTACGCCGCTTTTCACGGAACAAAGAGGGATGTATACAGTGAAACTGATACACAGACTAAGGGACGCAACTCATTATTTCTGCGTCTTCAAAATCAATATCTGAACCCAACTACTCTGGGGGAGATTTTGTCTTATTTCCTTCTTATAATCTTACATCTTTGAATAGAAAATGTTCAGAAATATTGCAAACAGAGTAAACTACGTTATCAACGAACACGCGTATAACAGACTGAGTGATATAACGAACTGCTTCTGGTCCCGGGAACTTGCTGTGTATTTTAGTCGAAAAGGTTATAACGAGCTCTCTTGTCTGTTATGAACATATTTTGGAGAAACGAGGTCTCAGGTTGTTTTCTCATAAAATATGATAAATAGGAGCCCAGTGGCTTTCTTCATTATCAGAGTTGCCACATGTTCTAGGCTTGCTCTTGTCGTATTGGGTATCTTTGTGTCAAGGTCTGTATGACTAGTCTTAAGGGAACGCCAGCAAACACTGTCCACTAACACACGTGGTTGTTTAGTTTAAATGACGGAGTGGAACCCACGAGCACGGTGCTAGCAACGTAATCGGGTCGAACCGGGATTCGAAACCACGATCTTAGTGAAGGGACCAACCCTTGCACAGAGAATGGCGGCACATTAAACTGTTAAAGCATCTGCCTCTGTAATTTCGCTATCGTTTTGCCTTGATAGCAAAGTAATAAATTAAATTAAAGTAGCAATCTGTATAACATTTGACTAAAGATATTCGGACATTTTTTCCTAAAACCCTGAATAATTATTTACTACATAATGAAAAGAGTTTTCGATGCGACATATTGAGCCAATAAACTTATATCACGATCCGAGCCAAAATATTTCATCAATGTGGTTCGAACTCCATTATTGAATATGAATATGGACGTCATCGGAGCAGAAACAGTCGCCATGTTGTCAATAAGAGTGATCTCCCTTGTGTCAGCAGACGTAACATCAAGAAGATTACAGACGGTCATATTGTAGGTTGCTTGATGATATGAGAATGGAAGCAGGCTTCAGCAGGTTTGTTTCATGGCTACGTTGGGTATATTTTTAGACGTCTAAAACAAGATGAACTATCTTGATTACTTGCTTCTGTAGCAGATAACATTTAGGGAAGTTGATATAATCTTTTATGTTTGGTTGCGCGTTTTTACCAGAACAGTAAAGTAAACCTGGTTAGAAAAGACGCATATATTTGAACGCTGGTGCATTGACTTGCATGTATAAATATCCCAGAAATATAAATTTACTGGTACAAATCAGCTATTATCTAGATCTACAGCTCAGTAGACCTAACGGTAACTGCTAAGACTAATATCAAATTTCCAAGCCCACAGGAGGATTTCAAAATATTAACTGGTTTTATTTTTGCCACAGTCCCCCTAAATTGCGGAGGTCAGTGTGCTTGTCGGGAAAAGTCGGGGTGATGGAGACGCAAGTGATCACCCCTCCTGTTATCAGTAGTCATACTTCAGTTGTTGGCCTTCCACTGCCAACACCTCCAGATAGAAGTGGAACGAATGGTCTGTATTTCAAATGAAGTCGTACAAAAATGTCACTGAATTTAGGGATATGAAACATGACATATTTTTGTAGCATTTGTGTGAATAATAATTACATAACACAAACAGACAATCAGGATGAAAAACATGCACTCTAGTCTCAAACAATTCTTAAGTTGTTACATTATGTCCAATATATATTTCATGATAAGAACAAATGAAATGAATTAATGAAATGATTGGTCACTACTTTTTACTGTAATACATCAGACCTTTGTATTGGCTGGAAGGATCCCGTAAACATAGATCAAAATGGATGGACAACTTTATCTGTTGTTCAGTTGGCACAGGTACTAAAGAAGTGTTCCCCAGGTACCTTTCTGAATGGCTGGGATGGGGGGCACTAGGGTGCTTGGCTGAATAGGGACTGGAGAAGGATCCTGGTAACCACAGAGAGTCAGAAAGGTCCAAAACTATAAAACTAAACAAAGCTCTAAAGTTCACAGAATTATGTGCAGGGTTATCAAAATTGGATTGCAGTATTTACAAGTGCTCTCAGAATTTTTATATTTTTGGCTGTGCAATGCAGCCGGGACTGAGATACCATGGTAGAACTGAGTGATAAATGGCCAGGTATGCAGGTAGGAAATGTGGACTCATCCCAGTCCTATCTCTCTGTATACCCAAGTGATGTACCCCAACCAGAATCCAAGGTCATAAATTGCACATTGTGAAAACAGACCTCAGACTAATGCCAAACATATATTGCCAAGCTGTATACAGAAAGGTACCCTATGTTCATTTCTAAGTAATATTTACTCAACAGCACAACTTGCTAATATTGTAGTTAGGAAGATTCATTATATTAATAATTAAGATATAAATATTATAATTAACTTGTTTTCCCTGTTATTTATTTTTCAGAGTTATCCCAGAGCAGTGTATCATTGGAGGGAGCTCTGGTAGAACAGGCTGTCGACAACTTGCTGAGTTTGCCTGAAGTAGTGAGTCAAGTCAGTGCAATACAGAAGGACCACAATCAGGAGTTAGAAAGACAACTCATGCAGCTAAGACACCTAGAGGTAGGTAGTCAATGACTGGTCCATCTCATCTAGTGATATCCTATCATGTAGTCCTTCCTGGGGTCTTTCAATATCTGTCAATGCCAGGTATATAAGATGTTAATCGCATTCATAGCTTTCTGTTAAAGAGGATGTCTTTTAAACAATTTCATTTTGCATTTCAGAATGACATCAAAGAAAGTGAGTACCCGGTATTAGTTTTGACAATTCAATTCAAGACTGACTTAAAAATTCGATTCAGGCATGACAACTGAAATATCTTACATAAAAGGCATTATTTGTTTCAAACTTTCAAACGATACATATTACTGAAAAAAAGTTAAACACTAACTTGCTATGCCATCTTTTTTTTTTCATGTCCAGTGCATGATGATCATTGTGATGTCTTATCTTAAATCACATGATAGTGCATTTAAACAGAAACATTAAACAATGCAAGAATGTTAAAGAAATGTTTTTCATTTTATCAGAACTATCTTCATCTTTTGACTTAGACCCCAGGAGATAAAATATAAAATCTCTAATTTTAGGTAATGCGAAACATGGCAGTGTAAAGCAGGAGATCTCCAGTATTGATCGCAAGACTCGGATGCTGGAGGAGGAAGTCATGGAGAGTGAGAAGCTGTGTCAGGCTCATCAGAAACGTAGGTTGAGGTGTAGTTCTCACTTGTCTGAACATTTTGCAACATAATCAGAATTAGGAACCAAACATCGCAAACTGACTTTTCACATTGGTTCATAAAACAGTTAATTGGTGTTTGAGTAATTCACCTGTTTTCAAGCCATATACTGGTAGCATGTAAATAATTGACTTGACAAACCAGTGACTGATATTATGAGCAACAACTCATGCTGTTGGGACTTGCTATCAACAAGCTACTCCATAAGCCAGACGACCCAATCCATCAACTGGCTTCTTATGACCAGCAAAGGTTCATGGGGACTATTTTTGGCCTGGAATTCCCATTGGGGGCATCTCAAGACAAAATGGGGGTTGGATGGTTGCAATCTTAAACCATGCATTTGTGTTTCATTATACACTGATTTCATGATTAAAATGCTTCAATGAAATCACAGAAATGTTGGTGACAGCAGTACAAAACAGCATTCATTGACTCAGTTCCTCACAGGAAGCTGTAATTTGGAACCAACTCTGAAAATGTGTTGAACATTTTTAGCAACCATGCTACATTATGATTTATTGTATTTACAGAAATATATTCATTGGTAAAGGATTGTGAAAGCCTCAGGCATGAACTTACAACAAAGCGAAAAGGTTTTCTCACAGAAACAAGGTAATTAAATAACAAATGTAAAAATTTAATTTTAACTACTGCTACATAATTCTACTGTCCAAAGTCCCAACATCAAAAATTACTCTGTGTAACTGTCTTCCTACACTTAATGATTTAGACAAAATACATTATACAATGTATATGTTCTCCAACCAAACATTCACTTTCCCAACCCTTAACAGTTGATGTGCACTGTCATAAAGAGTTTGTAATCAAACATATTAATCTCTCCATCCCGTCTTATTCTAAATGATTAGTTCATCATGCTAGTACTTATACTTATTTACCATTAGTCTTTTGGTTTTTCTTGTTCGACAGATCTATAAAAACAAGTTCATGAATTTACCAAAACAAGGAAATAAATTTGCTGTAACCATATCTAATCTTGTGGGTAATATTGAATGGTAAATACTGAGCTGCTTATACAACTGAAGAAATAGGAGCATGTAACTGTGGCCATGTGATGGTCAGCTGTGTCACACATCTGTATACTAGGATTACATTAATCAAAAATCATGTTTCCTTTGCCTTTCAGTAAGCATGCATCCTACATTGCCAAGATGAAGTCCTACAAGATGCAAGTGAACAACTTTGAAATGTCACTTCCTGCCCAGAAGAAACTTGTTGAACTGCAACAGAGACTTGAAGATCTGAAGAAACAAAGTATCTACCTTATTTTTATTTCATAATACGAGTGTAATGACTTTAATCAATACAAATCAATATACTAACAAAAATATTTTGGCATATTTTAATGTTGGGAAAGGACCAAAGGTAACTCAATATGCAGGGGCAGATCCAGGATTTTGGAGTAGGGGATACACATTAATCATGAAACCACACACCCCCCGATCCTCCCCTGCAGTAGGAAAGATGAAATAAAACCGTTTTGAAGGGTTGATATAAAAGGAACTAATAAAGTAGATTTATAACATTCATTATTTCAGAAATAACACACTGATTGTTGATGTATGCCACAAAATAACAGTATCACATTGGCATGTGAACAATATATCTTTGGTCTGGCAGACGAGGGTGTCCAAGATTACACACTGTCAGGTATTATCAGCCAGTTGGTACCTAGCAACTATCCAGTCGTCATTAGTTGACTCTTAAAACTAGCTTCAGGTGATGTGAAATTGCTGAGTGGTCAGAAATACTGTGAATAACATAAACATGTTGAATGATTGCTTGTGATCTGCATATTGCCAGAGCAGCATCTGTCCGAGAACATGGATGAGTTTATATCTGTGAGCACAGGCCAAAGAGAAGGTGATATCAGGGAGGAGATTGACAAGGTGAAGTTGGAGACTTGTACGTGGAAAGAAGAGATGCTCCGTAAACAGAAGACGGTGAGATAATTGCAAAGCAACATTAAACAGTAGCATAATATCATCTCTATGCATAAGTGAGTGAGTGAGTAATAGACTAACACTTAGTCTCTGAATATATATAATTTTGATAGTAACAAATATACCCTTAAATTGAAAAGGTACCCCAGTCAGACCAGAGATATTGAATCTGAGGAAATTTAGATTTTCCTGGCTTTAGCATTGCAGGAGTGAGTGAGATAGTGACGTATCACAACAGCGGACACCAAGAATGGGATTCTTATAATGGCAATTATCTTGGATATGATGTTTTTCTACATTTTATCAGTATTTGTTCTTCATATTCTTTTACAGTTAGAAGATTTAAAGCATCAAGAAGAAAAGATCCAAATAGCCACTACTGTTTTACATGTAAGTTTTGAATATTTCCTTCCAGAATATTAAAAAAATTAGCCATAATACTGTTCTTACTCAATGTACAAGGTGTTTCATTACGAAACACATTTCAGAAAATAACTGAACATTCATACAAAGAGTGAATGATGTCTGCAGCTTCTGAAGGTGCTAAATGTAGTTTCAGTGTTCCAACTTACATATCAAATTAGACTTGTAGCAATTTTGTTTTGTTGGTGGCACTCCAGGTCAAGAAAACATTAACTTGTATCATAAGCAGCTTACAGATGAAGTCTACCAGTTAATCCAATTCCATGTTAATCGCAACATCTGTCTAATCTGCAGGTAATCCCATTTACACAATCTGTTTGTGATTTCACTCAAAGGGCATTACATACATCTGGCCTTTTGCCATATTAGTTTCCTCTTCATGTTAATCAGACATCAACATAGTAATACTCTATTCTCCAGGTTAGAATCAATAGGTTCTCAACAAGTAATGCTTAGATCTGATAGGGAAATTCCAGAATGATATATGCCTAAAGAAATCAAAGAATTCACATATTGTCTTTCGTATATGTTTATGTGAAATGTTTCAGAAGCGTAATGCAGCACAGCTTACTCGGTTAAAGAGACAAGTGAGAAATCAAAGAATTCACATATTGTCTTTCGTGTATGTTTATGTGAAATGTTTCAGAAGCGTAATGCAGCACAGCTTACTCGGTTAAAGAGACAAGTGAGAAATCAAAGAATTCACATATTGTCTTTCGTATATGTTTATGTGAAATGTTTCAGAAGCGTAATGCAGCACAGCTTACTCGGTTAAAGAGACAAGTGAGGGAGCAGCAACTCCGACAACGACAGTGGCATAACCAGCACTCACAGCTACAACACAGTATTGCAGAGCTCAACAAGAAGCTGGAAGCGTGACTTTGACTAATACATTGAATAAGAACACATTTTAGTGTTGATGTCCTCTTTTGTTTGAAGGATATTCTATGTGTCCAAATGGCAATGCAAAGAGTCTGATTGCTTGGAGTCTTTGCCATACTTTTGTCAAGGAACTGGTACATTTCTAACTTCCAGTTACTTTAACAGTACTTGTTAAATAACGAGTTGAACATTGTTTCAGAACAGTATGAAACATATCAGTTTCAAATTTTAGTTGTACATACTCATTCAAATACCATTTAGGGTCTGTCCGAATAGAGTTTGACTCAGGATAAACTCAGAATTGGAACCAAGTAAATGGGAAAACAAACTTAACTGTTCTTTTACTCCTACACATGTCACAGACTTTGAATACTAAATGTCCTACAAATACCATTTATTTTGGAAAATAATTAATCTTCACAGTTCATGATTAATTTGACAGAGAAGATGCACTTGAGTTATTTAATTTTTTATTATAAAATTCAGACAGGAACAGCATTAAATAAGATGTGATGACATAAATATAAGTATTTACAAAATGTCTATCTACATACATGTACATTTTTACAAATGAATAATTTGGGGGGAATAACATTCTCTTTGTACCTGATGTATTTGAAAGGAAGATATTTCGTCACAAATAGTTCCCTTTCCATATTGAAAGGGTATTTTTGTCTCGAAACAAGTGAGTTTTGAATATCCTCCTTCCAATGCAAAACTTCTTTGAACAACATGAAAGTTTAGAAGTAAGGAAGGAAACAGCTTTCTCACATAATAACAAACAGTACCGGAAACAAAGTGTTTTTGTACATGTATGGACAACATGGAAAATCGAGATAATCTTTGCTTTTCCTACCTTCACCTGAGTAACTTTCCTTCCTATGAAACATAGGAAGAACTGTTCCTACCTTACAAATACAATAACACAACCGAAATAATAAAATACCGAAATCAAATCACATGACATGGACAACATGGAAAATGAAGATAATCTTTGCTTTTCCTACCATCACCTGAGTAACTTTCCTTCCTATGAAACATAGGAAGAACTGTTCCTACCTTACAAATACAATAACACAACCGAAATAATAAAATACCGAAATCACATGACATGGACAACATGGAAAATGAGAGATAATCTTTGCTTTTCCTACCTTCACCTGAGTAACTTTCCTTCCCATGAAACATAGGAAGAACTGTTCCTACCTTACAAATACAATAACACAACCAAAATAATAAAATACCGAAATCACATGACATGGACAACATGGAAAATAGAGATAATCTTTGCTTTTCCTACCTTCACCTGAGTAACTTTCCTTCCCATGAAACATAGGAAGAACTGTCCCTACCTTACAAATACAATAACACAACTAAAATAATAAAATACCGAAATCACATGACATGGACAACATGGAAAATGAAGATAATCTTTGCTTTTCCTACCTTCACCTGAGTAACTTTCCTTCCTGAAATAATAAAATACCCATGAAACATGGGAAGAACTGTCCCTACCTTACAAATACAATAACACAACCAAAATAATAAAATACCGAAATCACATGACATGGACAACATGGAAAATGAAGATAATCTTTGCTTTTCCTACCATCACCTGAGTAACTTTCCTTCCCATGAAACATAGGAAGAACTGTCCCTACCTTACAAATACAATAACACAACCAAATAATAAAATACCAAAATCACATGACATGGACAACATGGAAAATAGAGATAATCTTTGCTTTTCCTACCTTCACCTGAGTAACTTTCCTTCCCTCTGAAACATAGGAAGAACTGTTCCTACCTTACAAATACAATAACACAACTGAAATAATAAAATACCCAAAATCACATGACATGGACATGACATGGACAACGTGAAAATAGAGATAATCTTTGCTTTTCCTACCTTCACCTGAGTAACTTTCCTTCCCATGAAACATAGGAAGAACTGTTCCCTACCTTACAAATACAATAACACAACCAAAATAATAAAATACCCAAATCACATGACATGGACAACATGGAAAATAGAGATAATCTTTGCTTTTCCTACCTTCACCTGAGTAACTTTCCTTCCCATGAAACATAGGAAGAACTGTCCCTACCTTACAAATACAATAACACAACCGAAATAATAAAATACCAAAATCACATGACATGGACAACGTGGAAAATAGAGATAATCTTTGCTTTTCCTACCTTCACCTGAGTAACTTTCCTTCCCATGAAACATAGGAAGAACTGTCCCTACCTTACAAATACAATAACACAACCGAAATAATAAAATACCGAAATCACATGACATGGACAACATGGAAAATAGAGATAATCTTTGCTTTTCCTACCTTCACCTGAGTAACTTTCCTTCCCATGAAACATAGGAAGAACTGTCCCTACCTTACAAATACAATAACACAACCAAAATAATAAAATACCGAAATCACATGACATGGACAACGTGGAAAATGAGAGATAATCTTTGCTTTTCCTACCTTCACCTGAGTAACTTTCCTTCCCATGAAACATAGGAAGAACTGTCCCTACCTTACAAATACAATAACACAACTGAAATAATAAAATACCGAAATCACATGACATGGACAACATGGAAAATAGAGATAATCTTTGCTTTTCCTACCTTCACCTGAGTAACTTTCCTTCCCATGAAACATAGGAAGAACTGTCCCTACCTTACAAATACAATAACACAACCGAAATAATAAAATACCGAAATCACATGACATGGACAACATGGAAAATAGAGATAATCTTTGCTTTTCCTACCTTCACCTGAGTAACTTTCCTTCCCATGAAACATAGGAAGAACTGTCCCTACCTTACAAATACAATAACACAACCGAAATAATAAAATACCGAAATCACATGACATGGACAACGTGGAAAATAGAGATAATCTTTGCTTTTCTACCTTCACCTGAGTAACTTTCCTTCCCATGAAACATAGGAAGAACTCTCCCTACCTTACAAATACACAATACAAATACAATAACACAACCATAAAATAATAAAATACCATGGGAAATCACATGACATGGACAACATGGAAAATAGAGATAATCTTTGCTTTTCCTACCTTCACCTGAGTAACTTTCCTTCCCATGAAACATGGGAAGAACTGTCCCTACCTTACAAATACAATAACACAACTGAAATAATAAAATACCGAAATCACATGACATGGACAACGGAAAATAGAGATAATCTTTGCTTTTCTTACCTTCACCTCTGAGTAACTTTCCTTCCCATGAAACATAGGAAGAACTGTCCCTACCTTATAAATACAATAACACAACCTGAATAGTAAATTACCAAAATTAAAGGGTTTTTGTTTATGTCAGGGGCAACATGGAAACTGAAGATAATCTATCCTATTCATACCTTTACCCTGAGTAAATTCCTTCCTATGAAACAGGAAGAAGTGTCCCTACATTATAAAATATATGTGAGAAAACTGTAATTCTTCCAGAACCAATTGTGGTAACAAGGTTCATAAATTCTCCAGGATAAAATAATGTTTATTACATCATCACTATGTCAACATCCTTCGAGGAGAAAGTTCCAACTGAAACGTAAATGTTGAAAATCCGAAAATATATAGCGAAACCTGAGAATTAGGTATAAGGTCACAAGGCCATAACAGTTACTTGTGCTCTTGCAATTCCAAACATCACAAGAACAATAATTATCTGTCATGAATAAAAGGCAGTAGGTTGTATCCATGTGTTGGACCCCCTTCATAAACATTTCTTGAAAAAATCATTGACAATAATGAAATAGTTTCAAGAAAAAAGTTGTAATAATGTTAGTTGAAGTTGTTGTTGAAAATATCTGCAAAATAATATATAAAGGATGTCTGTATGATAATATAAATATCCACACTGACAATACTGTTTCAGCAAACTGCTTCGAATGTCGAAAAGTCAATACATATTTACATTTGTGAAAGAAATGAACATTTGTTCTGATGCGTTCCTGCATGAACAGAAATGAATATCTTGTGAAAAGCTTCATATTTCTGCTTTCAGATGTAGTGAACCTTTTTAAACTGATAAAACAGTGTCTGGCAGAGAAACTGTTTGTTGTAACATGAAAGTCCTCTTAGTTGTCTTCATCAGCAACAGCCTTAGGGTCAACATGGTGACAGGGATACTCCCCCCAGATCTTATACTGAGAATCGCCTTCACTCCAGTATCGCTTGATCATTTGACAACGCAAACACCCACAGTTCTCTTTCCACTTCCTGTGTGCTAAGGCTCCATCACTGTTGGCATCACTACTGTGCTCAGATCTACGTGGTCGTCGCTTATGTTTAACTGGTGCTTTGATCATTAGTGGAGGAATGTCTACCTGCTTTTTCCCATCTTCCTCTCGGGCAGATTTCTGGGGGCTTTCATCAAGATGGTATAGAGTGTGTTTTCGGAATTTTCCATGGTTTCCAATGCCGCCATTCTCATGTTTTTCTGTGTGGATGGTCTTCTGAAAGGCAATGACCTCGTATCTATGTTTGCTGGGTATAACGACTGGCTTGGACTGAGGTTCAAGGGCAACTTCATTGTCAGGGGAAGCTTCTGCAGGGGATGCGTTGGCCTGGATTGGTCCTGGGGAGCCTGGGATGGATGGCAGGCTTGGAAGAGAATGGGCAATCCTGGAGAAATGGTCAGGGTACAGCTGCAAATATATTAATTTTTGGATGAAAAATATTTTTACAGCAAAGCACTTAGAATAGATATAAAAGAAATCCATGATATCACATCTCTTCCCACTAAGAGTGATGGACCAAATTTGCTTCAAATATATATGTATATTTTACTAAATAAAGATTTTATAAAACCCTATGTGTTTACATTGAGAGCTTATGATCAGGAGGTGAATAATATAATTACACAATGTCATTTAGAAAGTGGTCAAATGTAACATATGTTATATTTGGGATTACACTTTCTTAGTAAAGTACAGATTCTAGTTCTTTTGTTGGGTTGAGTCCCATCTGGGTTCGAACCCACACCCTCAGAGTCAGGCACCTATTCACCAGCACACAAAGTCAGCCGCCTAACCCGCTCAGGGACAGCAACTTCCATAGTTACGTGAATTTAGATTGTAATTACAAGCTATCCTTAACTCTATTTTTACTAAACTTAATGCAAACAGAGAAATAAATTATATATCCACTGATGCCATAAAAATAGTGTCCTGTTATTTTCACCTCTATCATAAATGTCAATATGCTGATAACAATATATATTTATTCACATGTAGTTACAAAGCAGACTGTCCAGACCCAATTGTTTACAAACCGCTGGAAACAGACTAGGATTATTGCTGAGAAACAGAAAGCAGTGCTGGCTTATTCCTTGCACTAAGGTGAGTAATGACAAATGTGTGAAATAGTTTGATGATCTGGTGTGTTACTTACCCTGAGATGCAGTGTCCGCAGAGGAGGGTCAGTCTTGGCATGGAGTGACCTCTTGGAGTTGGAACTGACTGATGGTAGTTTTATGGTCTCTATAGACTTGGAGCTGATAGAAGAAACATTAGTGTCCTCTCTATCCAGTCTCAGGTGAGCTAGCTGTAAGACAGGAAACAAACAGCTGGAATGGAAAGTATTTTGTATACACTCATTGCTTTAGTTTTCCAAGGTACACCTGTCATTGAATCCCCCAAATGTAATAATATGGCTCTGATTGTCTTTTAAATTCAGATCTGTTGTTGATTTGAGTTAAAACGGAAAGATGCCTACACAGAAGGTCATGACAAACTCACATTTCACATTAAGACCAGTCATATGTCATGGGATTCGATTTCACCTTCATTTGCACATGTAAACAAGAGAATTCGAAATATATTATTTGTTCAGATTGTTTGGCCCAGTATTTCAGATGCCTGGACAGTTGTTTTCAAATAGAATGGTCCACTCAATATGAGGGCTTTGTACACTTTTAGTAGTTCTTTTCAACTAAAAACCTTAGGGAGTATGTATTTTGATCTTATGAGAAATGGAATACTAACTGCAAATGACAAACTTGCATGAAAATTACAAGGTTAACATTTCAGACACTATGAATTCATTCAACTTGCTGAATATATCTCTTTCTAATTAACATAATTGGACAGTTTTCTTACAGTCGCTGTTCGGATATTTGATGATTTCATTCAAGTTTCTGAATAAATTTCTAAACAATTCAACTATAGTACTTAACATATATCCATCTTCAAATATCTTAAAAGAAATTACTTTTCTGGTTACTGACCTTGTCTGTTTCTGCTTTCTGGACTTTCCTTTTTATATTATCTTATAATTACAATATTTCATAAATCCAAAAGTGACTCTTCAGGGGTTGACTGCAAGAAGTATATTGAACTCATTTAAGACTAGTTGTTTATGTGACAAAATTTATATGGTGTTGAGTCCTGTTCCACACAGCAATCTTTGCACTACTACTATTGTAGGGTAATGTTGAAGTATGGAAGTTATCACCTTAGCCCTACTACTATTGTAGGCTAATGTTGAAGTATGGAAGTTATCACCTTAGCGCTACTACTATTGTAGGCTAATGTTGAAGTATGGAAGTTATCACCTTAGCGCTACTACTATTGTAGGCTAATGTTGAAGTATGGAAGTTATCACCTTAGCGCTACTACTATTGTAGGCTAATATTGAAGTATGGAAGTTATCACCTTAGCGCTAAGATCACTTTGTGGAATGGTGCCCTGGAACAAAAGAAATGATTGTCTCTCAGATTTTCAGAAGTCTCTGAGTGGTGACAGTCTAACCCTTTATTTCATTGTACAAGAAACAAAGGCACTGGTTTGGTGGCCTACCTTGGGTAAAGTTTTCTTGATAGGGTAGCTCTTTGGAAATTTATCCTCGAAGGTCTGCAGTGCTTTTAGTCTCTCCCTCTGGAACTTGAACCTGTTGACATATCCTCCTCTCCGGGGGATTTGTCCAATTGCCCTGGGACTATACAGGGTATCTAAGGGCTGCTCTGGTGATGTGTCCGACATCTTGGGTTATGGAGAACTGATCTTGAAGAGATCTTGGTAGTCTCACATTTTCCGTGGGGGAAAAAAATGACCTTACAATTATAACTTGGATATTAATTCCAAATGGTTCCCAAACTCATCTATGTTGAAGTAATGCTGTACTTATTCCAAGCTAGTTTCTCGTTGCTTGTGTATATCCAAGATGATTAAATCACACTGTAGTTGTCATTTTGAAAGGTCTAACCAAATGGCAGCTGAATAATCCAAGATGGCAAATCTGCACTCTGCCAGTTACATTGAGTGTCAGAGGGTAGGTAGAAACAATCTGTGTGGGCCATTTTGAGAACTGGCCAGCTGGCACCATTAACATAAATCACTGGGTGCAACACCATACCTGGATAATCCCTGGACAATCCTCTCAGGAACCAGTCATGTTGTTAGTCTGGCTTATGCAAGCATGTTCAGTGTATGCTTCAGAAAATGCCTCTTATTTCACAACACCAATTACTTCTCATGAACCAAACATGTCAGGTTTTATGATCACGGGATTACTTTTAGCCCACCTGATTGAAAACTATGCTATTATACTATGGTGAGTGAGTATGGTTTTATGCCACTCTCAGCAATATTCCAGCAATAGCACAGCATAGGACACCAGAAATGGGCCTCACTCTTTGTACCCAAGTGGGGAATCAAACCTGGGTCTTCAGTATGACGAGTGGATGCTTTAACCACTAGGCTACCCCACCACCCCCATAATACTGTGGACAACATATACAACATTTTCAACATGACACCAAGATTTATTCAAGAGGACTGAATTGAATTTACAAAGTGATGACCTTAGTCATCATAGAAAAAGACCCATTTACTTAATTAATTTTAAATTTGGTGTTCTGTTAGTAGTTTGACTTGAAACATGTTTTGTCATGACTCAAAGGCTGTGATTCAAACCTATACACAAATGGGGTGTGGTCACGTTGCCTTTACAGAACTGTCTTTCGATGCAAGGCAAAGCAGTATTCAGGTATATTCCATGAAATTTCTCAAAAGCTTGACTTGTCATAGTTCTTATGACTGTGACTGATTTGGTTTTACATATTCCAGCAATATCAACACCAAGGTGCCCATGTTATGAAGACTTTAACCATTAGGCAAAAAGTATTGATGGAGACAGTCAAAAATTAATGGAGACAGTTAAAAAGATACCCTTTGAAAAAATATTTCAATTTTTGAAATCCAGATTTGAATTTCCCACTGTATCAGTCAGGTGGCCAGAGGTGAATTTCCAAAGAAACAAGTCTACTGTGCAGGGTTAGGGTTGTACACTTATTTGATGCTGAAATCAATCTGCTGAATATATTAACCTCCCAAGAGGGGGTGATATTTGTTTAGTATTTTTGTTATCATTGTCAACACTTTGATAAGTTAAATTTAGTTCTTCCAAATATCGAATGAATAAGGTTGTTTGATAATTACTATAAGGCACATGTTTATTCCAGTAGTAAATTCCAGGATTAACCTTTGACATCACCAGGTACCATGGCAGTTACAGTCCTGTCACTCAAGGGCAGATAACGTCTACACTGTTGAAGAGTAGCCAATTGAAAATCAATGGGATTTTTTAAAGTTTGTGCTCCATCCTTTAAGTTTGAACATAATGATGTTTTTCAATTTCCTTGAAATGAATATTCAGCTGTGAACAACTTTGAAATAGCCAGGCTGAGGAAACTGAACTAGATGAACATATATGACCATCAACAGATTTGGTGTTAGGTTTGGTCCTCGTTATTGCACCTGTCTCAAAGTGTTGACTACATATGCAGGTGAGCTAGTATTGTGGCACTTCTTCGTAATATTTGTTTTGATAAAGCAATGTGATGAGTAGCAAAACAATTAAATCTTATGACATGCAAAATATTTGCAGAATGGTGTAAAATGACTAAATGGATGCCCACTAAGTGACCTTGGGTCGCTCAAAAGTGTTATATTAAATATCCCCTGACTGACAACTCATACAAAGTTTCATCATTACAGAATGTAAAGAATGATCATAAAGAGTATGTAATCTTAACCTCTTGGTGCAGCTTACATACTGAGTCATAATCCTACAAGTGATTTTTTCCCCATTTGTTATTTTCAGTGACCTTGACCTTCATTCCAATGCCAGAATATTTGCAAGGGCAATCCTGAATGGCTCGATATAAGCCTGACTACCATTCTGATAATCATTTCTGAGCCATGCTGACTAAAGGAATGGGATGGGGCTAGAAATATCCCACACCCCTTGTCTGGCTTAGATTATTTACAGACTGCCTCTTTGACACAGACCTGAGGTGAGATGGACCTTCACATAGTGTTCAAGATTATTGCACTTACTTAGCAACCTGTTGTGTAGGTGTTCCACTGCTGGTACTAGTCTGAAATAATGCCTGGCCTTATAGTGGTAGCTGACTGAGATGTCTTGGGTCTTAACATGAATACCCAACTTGAACACATTATACCGACTCATTCTTTTTTTCAAACTACAGTCAGCAAAATTCAGTTTTGATATATCACAGCAGGCTGTAACAAGTCTGGACCATACAAACTCTTGGTTTATAGCAGGAGAAACATCAGCACACCATGACACCAAGTTTCACCACTCAATCCCCATTAAGTCAGCTTTTGTGACAACCATTGGAAACTACATGGGACATTTTGGTTAATTCACTAGCCTTTTTCAGAATGGCCTCTCCGGTTGAAATTTAAGAATTTGATTTAAATTCTGTGAGCGAACTTGCAGTGCAAAGTTTCAGCTTCACTTGAACTCTCAGACATATACCACATAAGTTCACAACCAGTAACAAACAATAAAAAACCCATAAAATAGATCATTTTTAATCATTACCTTAAGAATCTTATGTGAATAGTATACAAATGATACACTTTGGCAATCATAAACATTAGCATGTTTCATAAACAGAAAACATGAATACATCATTGATCACTTGTGCAAAACTAAAGTTTTAATCCTTTGACAGGCAAAAGAAATGTTGATTACCAACAAATAAATATGAAACTGATTGTAATTTCTAAATAAATGTACACTTTCAAGTCATATCATCTATACTGACTTATCTAAAGTTTAGCAGACTCACTTCATGGACCAGCATCCTTGTCATGGCCACAGTTCTGAGTGAACACAGATTTCCACAAAGTCCAACTCAACATCGTCTTGTTCACTTCCCTGCTGCAGTGTAACACCACGCTACGATGAAGCCCTCCGACACAGAGACTCCTGGATATGCATGCACTGCTTTATTGGTGTTTATAGATTCTTAAATAGTTCAAGAAACTTAATTTAAAGCCCCTGTCACACTTTTGTGTATATCAAGTACTTATGAGTTCCTTAAAAAAGTTTCAATACACAGCCAGTAGTCTCAAAATTGCGAAATGTTTTGATTACTTTGACGTATGTGTGATGCATATGTAGCGTATAAATAACAAATTCAGTGCATCCATTGCATATGAGGTGTGTATGATTTGCATAACACTATTTTTCTTGCTGCAAATAGCTGCATATGCAGTGTGCATACTGAGCATATTTTCTGGACACACCCAACTTACGCCGACCGCTTTCCAAACGTATTCCGGATTTATTAAAATAAATAATGCTTCCCACTGTTTTCATTACCAGTGCAGATTCCATAGCGTGACAATCAACCTTTTGTTTTCATGGACCATCCGAAACGCCATCTTCAGTAGGTCTGTTCACCCTGGAGTCTAGAGGAGCCATCATATTTATACAAAATCTTGAGTATACCCTGGATGTTCAGTAAGTACGCTGTCTGTGCGTTTGTCATAAGTTTCAAATAAATACAATGCGCTGCCTGATTGCAGATCAAACGGTACTAATTCGTGCAATAAGTTGGCATTCGCTATGAGTTAGTTCAGTGTGCATTCTATCTGCACTGCAAGTGCGCTCTGAATATGTGACTCATAGCTTGTGCCGGGAGTTTAGCGTATTATCGCATATGAACCGCTTAGTCCCCACGAACACATTGCATACTCGTACTGTGCTTGACCAATGCACTGCATATTTATAACTTATGACCTGAGTAATAGTACATGCAGCGTAGTTTGGTGCATGCCCAAAACTATCAAGTGTACTGGGCCGTACTGTGCACATGCCTGCGTACATAAAACTTATACAAAACGATTGAGATCATATTGTGTGTTCGGGTTGGGTATTTTCGTATTGCAGACAGACAGACATTTTATTCCAATATCAAGGTTGTTGGCCCAAAATACAATCTTGGATTAACTTTCACAATCCGCATAAATACATAATACAGAGTCCATGAATTATTGCGATATATTGTGATATGTGTTGGCGTATTGCAATATGTATTGCAATATATTGTGAAAGTGTAACACATGGGTTAAGGTAATGAAATTACTGTTTCCTTTCTTTTGAAACAATGCCACTGGCCACTGCCAGGACTCTGATGTGATTGTACAAGAGATCAATCGAAAATGTTTCCAAATCGCTTAAAGTTTGGGACTTGGGGAAAAAGCGTCTGCAGTGGCGTCTGCCAGTTTGGATTGTTTATTATTACGAGTGCCGGTACTAATCCATTTTTCTTTTCTATATGGTTTAAAAGGTTTAAACATTTTCAAAACTATTAATGTATAATAATATAAAGGAAATAAAAATGTTATTAGTAGTTTTGACTACATCACGAAAATTACCGATTGTATCGGGTGAGCCAGTTCGCGAAAAGTGTACTGCAATACTGGAGTATATCGTATTGTGAATTTCGAATTGCAATATACCGGTTAAACGGTATTATCGCCCACCCTTAATGTGTGTACGACTGCATGTGAAAGAAATGTCAATGCACAACTCATAAGGAATTAGGCTACACAGAAGTGTGACAGGGCCTTTAGTCTAAGTCATGTTGCACTGCAGCCTTAAAGATAAACATTATTCCACTTGCAAAAGACTACAAAAAGGCAAAAGACAAGTGAAAATACATTAGAGGTAGTCCTAACTGACTTCTCAGCATATAAGGGATTAAATTCTCTACTAGTTTTTGATATAAATTTGCTGCACATTGGAATAAAATAAAACTGACAGAAAATATGAACAACTAAATACCTGTGCCTCATTCAAGGAGAAGCAGCTACAAACTCTAAGAACTTGTGAAATAAAGTTTGTCTTTGAAGAAAATGTCTGGTTCAGATGTTTTCACATGGACAGGGTAATCCATGTAAATAACGAAGCATACAACTCTGTGGATAGCAACTGCTGTTTATTACAAAGTCCAATGTCAGTTTGGAAAAAATGTAAGAAACTAGTTTGAAATGTTGCTTTATGCAATAAACATGCAGTTGTTTTGCATAAAGTTGTATGCTTCATTATTTACTCATGAACTTCTTGAATGTAGATTAAACAATTAATCCACATAATGTTTGGGATTCCTATTTGAAAATGATCATTGATAAGTTCATACACAAACCTACAAATCTGATCTTCCAGCTTTCACAGACCAATGAGTTACATAATTATCACCAACATAGATGAATTTGAGCAAATGTATGTCTATCTAACGGCAACTCGTACATATTTTCTGGTAACAAGTTCCAGGAGGAGCCATGAAATTATTATGAAACATAATGCTGATATACAAGATTATTTTGATATTCTGACACTGCAGATACTGATTCAGGGTTTCACACGTGAAGCCTCTTTACTTCATATTTGACTAAAGGAGATAATACATCTAATTACAATATTATTTATTTAACATTTACAACACTTTGACATCTTGAAATGTATTATATTATTTGTAATTGGCCTGTAAGATCTGATAAAAAGAAACAAAACGAGCTTGTCTTAATGCTAGTTTTTAACAGTGTTATAACTGTATAGAAAATAATAGAAGTCTTAAGCATTTGAAGAAAAATGGATTATGTTCTTTATGTGCAACCCATGTAAATCTTAATCAAAATCCATGCTGAAGAGGTGAAACAGTGAACAATATAAATTAATTCTGCATTGACATGATTTAGGTAAAGTTCTACCTTTCTACAATAAAGTTCTGCATGAATGTAAAAGGCCCATTCATGACACAGGCTCCATTCCACCATACAGAGAAGTCCATCAACTTGCCTTTCACACATGTCCCAAACATTAATATCAGGCTGTATAATCGTCCCTTTCAGTTCAGAAAAATCAAATTCTGCATTTGAAAGACTTATTTATGCAAACTGTCCAACCTTGCATAAAATTACACACAAAAATGTATATGCCTCTCTGATGACCGCGGGTTAATATATTAAAAGGCTTAGTCATAAAAGTGGTTTGGCCACAATTGCATTATTGTGAACCTATGTGATCAATGCTGCTGAAACCCATGATTGAAATATATACATTAATTGATCTAAGAGCTTTCATCATTTTTACAAACTGAATACTTTGAAGAGATACTGTTAACCATGGTAACATGAAAACACAATGTTACTATCTATAATTACAATTGTCATTTGTGCAGATTCAGTGATTTCCGTGACTTCAAGTGTGGATTATGTGAGGAATGTCTTTTCTCTTGGGGGGATTTAATCTGATTCCCATCTGCTTTGATAATGGGAGAGTTCATAAGAAGGACAAGGCTTCGGGCCGATACAGAAGGGGAGAATTTACGCTCTCGAGGAGATTCTGCAACAGATGATGTGCGTGGAAATGGCGACATCTGAAAAGATGAGGGTGACCGAGAATTAGGAGAAGGGGTCGACTTGTTTGTTCTTGATGACTGTCGAACTGGCGAGACAAAGGCAGTTGAGGCTTGGGGAGAAGAAATAGTTTTTGATGGTTTGTTTGTCAGTGCTGGACTTGTTTGGAACTTTGGAGAAGATGGTAATTCTTCTTCCTCCTCAGTGTTCACATCAAATCCCTGACTGGATGTACTGGATATGGTATGTTGATCTTGGAGCAATCGTGATATGCTTGGACTAGATCCAAATACAGGGGACTCTGATCTGGGGAAACTGTGGACCTGACTTCTGTTTCTCATTGAGTGAGGGCGAGAGTGTCCAGAAGCTTGACCACTAGAGTCCAGTGCAACACTATGCATCTCCTGGCTGTCACTGGGCAAGAAGACATCATCATTGGTGGCAGAGAAGTAGTCCAAGCCGGAGGACACCACACTGGAATTGGTTTCTGATGGTAGCTGTTCATTTACACTGGGAAGTGAAGTCACTCGCCGATGAAGGCAGTACCGAGTGTCCTTTGAATCTTTAAAAGAAACAGATTCTGACCATGATGTTTTGGATCTTTTACAAGCTGAATACATAGTAGATGAGTCTTGGATGGTCTCAACAAAACTCCTCTTCCTGGATACATTACTAACTTTGTGTTCGGTTGTAGGTTCAGTTCCTGAAACTGTGCTGCCTCTGTCTTCCTTGGCTGGACTGCTGCCTGCATGGAGATTCTCCTTCTGGCAAGGTGGTTGAGTTGGGGATGCCCAACGTCTCTTCCTTCTAGGCCACTTATCAAAAGAGTCCGGTGTTTTCACTTTCGGTTGCTTCTGAGGTGACGGTGTCCTCTGCACTTGCTCTGACTTCGATGCAGGACACGTAACTGCTGGTATATCCAGGTTCAATGAGGTAACAGAACCGTCCATACTCAGAAATGAAATTCGTGTTGATGACTTATCGGACATCTTTCTTTCACCGTGGGTCACAACAACATCGGACTCTCTCTGTTCTGAATTTTCAACATCACAACCATCATCATCAAAGTGTACACGCCTGCATGGAGAACCTCTGTCTGAGGGTGCCCTAACATCCCTGAATAGTTTAGTTCTGGGTGTTACCCTTTCTTTAGGGCTCTTCATAAACAGTGCAGTACATACTGATGTGCGACTTGGGGTGGATCCCTTAGATCGCGTGTTCTGACTGGGAGACTCTGGAACATGTCCTTGCGACAACTTGGGTGTCCTTTGAGGAGTTGAGGGCAGATCCAGAATCCTCTTAGCTGCTGATGACTGCGAAGACTTGAGGATGGATCTCTGGGGGGTGAGTGGAGGACCAGGGGGAGGAGACAGGAGGGAGGGTGTTGATGTATGACGATGAGGTGTTTGTTTTGGAGTGGACGGAATAGGTATGTTGTCAGCAGATACAGGGAAGGCATTGGTATTGTGGTCATGTGTGGAGCCTCTTGACCTGCTGGGAGTGTGCGACCTGGTGTTATGATATGGTGACGCAGCACACAGTACATTCACCTGTCCTTGCTTCTTAGGCGTCCTGTGTCGTTTGCTTGGACTTGTCATCATAATGTCAGAAGACTCGTGTTCATGTACAGGAACCGATGGACGTTTAGGACTATCAAATAAGAGCACTTTTGAAAATTTCTTTGGTGTTTTGGATCTTTTACCCCGAACGGGTGATTCTTGGACCATGTGTTTCGGAGTGGTGGCTGTGTGAGATTTACTTGGCGTCTTGTGTCGTGGGGAAGGGCTGCCCATGAGCTGAGACATGAGAAAGGAGGAACGCGATGGTGATTTGAAACTGGTTTGGGGTCTAGGTTCAGATCCACATTTAGAGACATCCCCAACAGATGCCCGCTGTTGTCGACCAGCAATCTTGTCTGCAAACTGGAAATACTTGGTAAGATTCCGTGACCTGTTCCGTGGCCCTGCTGAGTAGAATGATCTCCGCATCATATTCACCGCATGCTTGTTCCGAGATGGACTCACTTTCTTGAAATTGTCTGCAAGTACATGTGAAAAACATATATTAGGGAAATAAATTGTTGAAATTACTGATTGGCCACATGAGGTTTTCTAAGAGCATATTGGTCAATGCTGAAAAGATTGTGAAAATCATCATTGAAAATGTTAACAAATTACTGGACCTGAATATTTTTAGCCTTCGGGTTAGGAAGGTGTGGCCTCTGAGTGAGGTTTTGGGAACAATCCCTAAAGAGAGGTATGAGTGGCAGTTAAACCTTTGTCTACAGCATGCCAAGCAAACACTTTACCACTAAGCTAAGCCAGCATCCCCACACCGTAAGCAAACTCACTCCTTGTCAGGTGGATGTGAGTGAGTGAGCGAGCTGGGTTTTACACAGCTTTTGGCAATTGCAGCAATATCATGGCGGGGGTACAAAAAGGGGCTTCACACATTGTAGCCATGTGGGAAATCCAACCCAGGTTCACACATTGTAGCCATGTGGGAAATCCAACCCAGGTCTTCATCGTGATGAGTGAATGCCTTAACCACTATGCTATACCCCACTTCCCTCAGATGGTTCTTAACCGCCTCCGTGGTGTAGTGGTTAGAGCGTCCGCCCGGAGAGCGGAAGGTCGCGGGTTCGATCCCCGACCGCGTTATACCAAAAGACGTTAAAATATGGTACTTGTTGGTTCCTGCCTGGCTCTCGGCATTAATGGGTACAACAAGGACTGGTTGGCTCGGAGTCAGTATAATGTGTCTGAGTGGGGTATTCATGCTTCACTGCGGCATGGTATCTCAGTGGGCTAGCACTATAAAACCAGCTTAAGTCTAGGCTAGTACAAGCAGCTGCACAAACAAATACACACGCATGCACGTCGTCATATGAGTGAAATATTCTCAAGTACGACGCTAAACCCAATTTCACCTCACCTCAGATGGTTCTTTATATGTAGAAGAAGCATATAAAACACATGAGGTGGCCCCTTAGACAAGTGTTCGAACTAAGACTGTTTACCTTCTAACGCCTGATAGGCAGCTTCATTTGTACACTCCCCAGGGAGCTGAGAATTTAACATGAGTGCATACTGATCCACTGACCATGGTAATAATGTAGTGTTTTGACCATGCTCTTGGGTGTGGATAATGTGCACATATTATTATACAATACTCAAGGAAAATCAGAAGAATTGTAATCAATCAATGAAAGGTTATCTGTGAAACCCACCTTCACACTGCTTCATGGGGGACTCCATCACTATTTCCACCTCCTCCTCTGTGTTGGTTCGCTTCCGCTTGTTGTCCAGACGATTCCACACAGCATTAGACCGCTGCTTGTGTGCTGGTGTCTCCGCTACTGACCGCCGCTTGACCCCTGGAGACTTGGAGGCTGCAAGTGAGTGGGTGAGTGAGTTTAGTGCAGTGGCAGTCATATCATGGCAGGGAGTGTTCATGCTTCACTGCGGTATGGTATCTCAGTTAGGCTAGCACTATAAAACCAGCTGAGTGAGCTTTAGTATTATGCCACCTCACCTGCTTTAGCAATATTCAAGATATTGCAATATCATGGCAGGGAACACCACAAATGGGCTTCACTTATTGTACCCATGTGGGGAATTGAACCCGGGTTTTCGGCGTGACCAGCGAATGCTTTAAACACTAGGCTACACCACCGCCCCTGAAGGCTAGCATATGTTATATTTCTAGTACTTTTGTTGGGTTGAGTCCCTTCCGGGATTGGAGTCCACACCCTCAGAGTCAGGCACCTAGTCGCCAGCACACAGAGTAATCATCTTAAATGCATTCAAATAAATTATAAACACACTGAATTGGGTCTCAAACATTCACCTTTAGGACTTCTGAAAGAGGTTGATGTGACCTTTTTTCGAGGAGATTTTCTTGTTCTTTCCATCACGGCTACAGATTGCCGTCTCTCCAGCTTGGGCTGGTCGCCTTCAAACAGGTTTCTCCGTACTTTCACCATGTCTACAACACACACAGTAGGCTGGGTTAAATTGTCAACAGGGATTACTGACCAAGAGTGTATTGACTGTATCATAAATATCATAATGACATTACATGATAAGGGGATTATTACCCACATTATTTTTGCTTATATTTTTGAAAACTCAGGTATGGTTGCTAAATGCACATGATATGTTTATATTCCTAATATTAGAATAATCGATGTTTACAACACAGTTTCACTCAGTATAGTAACATTATGAAACCGTGTATGAATACAATGTTTGAGTGAATCACCCTATGTATCAAACAGTGGTAAATGTTTTGAAACCATGTTTGTCTCCAGAAATGGCCACAAATTTCAAATCCCTATCTAACATTAGTTATTGGGAACATTAGTCCATAGCATGAAGGCCCTGTAATCTCCAGATTGTAAATTCTCAGCATCAGTGTAATAACTGGACAACAAGAAGACAAAGTCATCAATATCCCCCTCAAAGGCAAAATATTCTTCATGAATATGTCTACGAGTTATGATTATGTCAAATGTTTTGGCATGTACATAGCTAAGTGTAAGGAGAGTACTGAAAGGTTTCAAAGTTCTGCTCCGGAAAAGAGTACTACCACCAATTTCATTCTAAGTCAAACTTGTTGCCATGAAAACGCAAAAACTATTTTATTCAGAAATCCCAAACTACCAAAAGGCACCAGTAGACCACCATATCTATCTATGTGCCAAGTTTGGTGAAGACACAATGAACAGTTTTAGAGTTCTGCTCCGGAAAAGAGTACTACCACCAATTTCATTCTAAGTCAAACTTGTTGCCATGGAAACGCAAAAACTATTTTATTCAGAAATCCCAAACTACCAAAGGGCACCAGTAGACCACCAGATCTATCTATGTGCCAAGTTTGGTGAAGAAATATTGAACGATTATGGTCCGGAAAGGACAAATGTGCACGGACGAACAGTCAATTTTACACACGCCCCCGGTGGAGTCCACTTTAATACTAAAGTGGGGATAATTATCATATTGGTGTGGATTGGAGATAGGGAACAATGAAAGCTGCCTACAACACACACAGCTGAGCACAAACCATAGCTTCCAGTTGTTGTTACACAGAAATATCTGAATCTGGCACAGTCTCAACCAAACTTACCAACAGATAAGGAAGACATTACTGACAGTTAATGGTATTGCAACATTCATCATCATGGGCAGAAGGTAAAACTGCTACAGATCACTCAGCAGCTTGGCTCATCCTTACATTGTATGTACATGCATAATCTTCCAGAAAGTTCCCGGTTCAGAAAGCAAGAACCTGATTCTCATTACTTGACTGAGATGGAGCCCTCTGCTACTGTACCCCCCCAAAAAGAACAAAAAATCAGAGATAAAGACAACTACCTGATTTTCCCTTGTTTTTCTTGGTCTTAGTTGTAGGCTGTACACTCTTCTGCCTCTTTATTTTCTCCTCCTGAAACAGGGTCAATAATGGACACTTAATCTGCCAAGTCACCAGTTTACCAGCTTTGACTCAAAGAACAAAACATTGGGACCCCCACAATCTTTCACAAGGAACATAAATGCATATTTTTTAACCCACCTTGGGTTTAGCATTGGCAGGCTTCTTGTGGACCATGATCTGCTTTCGGCTACCATAATCCGACAGGCTTGGATGCTGCAGCTTTCTGTTCCTGCAGATATACAATATGTGAAACTGTATAGCAACAAAGCCTCTGTCCCCTAACTGTAATACATTGTTAACTGATCATGGTTATACACCATATACCAGTACACTATACACCCACCTGAGGTTTCTACTGGACTGGGACTGTAAGACATCAGACTGTGAACCAGGTTCAGCTATACTGTCATGGCTCTGGAGAGACTCATTCAGGACTGATGAGTCAGCACTTTTGTTCGGGGAAGCAAACATGGCAAGGGAGTCCGGTAAGGGCTGCATCAGTTCATCATACACACTGACCAACAGTCTTGGCAGCGTTGCAGTGTAACTGGAACACAAAAGGCAACAGCATCTATAGAATATTCACTACCCTTGCAGTACGCACAGAACATCATTTACAATATAATTTATAGCTTACACTGGATAAGTGAGTGAGTGAGCTAAACTTTTACGTCACTAAAGCAATATCTCAGCCATAATGTGATGATTACACTTGAGGTATATGTGGTGGTCATTGACTGATAAACAGTAACTACCTGGAAGGTACTACTTTCAGAGCAACAAACAAGGTAAGCAGGATGAGGTGTAGTCGGGTAAGAGAGAGCCAATATAGATCTTGTTTGTGCACATATACGGCTATTGTGAACTCAAAGTATGACAATGGTGCTAAAAGGCCAAGGATCATTCTAAGGTGAATCTGGGATTCAAAACCATGATCAGCAGACATTATCAAAGTAAAGGGACACAACTCTGAACATATAATTCCAGTGCCCTGCACACAGAGCAGTTATGCCCTTTGCCAACACCTTGTTGAACCTTGTGACATCTCAGTGGTATCTAGTTGTTGTTGCTGTAGCTGATGTATATATTTGTCACAGCCTCACTCACCTGGTAACAATGACATTATTGAGGAACTTGGGTACAAAGCCAGGGTCCGTGATGAATGATAAAGTCCTCAAAAGGTTCACCACCTAACAAGAGCAATAAAGACTTGTTTGTTTGGCAGTTCTTAATTGTGTCTACAAGGAATTGTTTACATGTTTAAGTAATCAAATAAAATGTGTCCCTAAGTATCTATTAAAAACTAAAATGTCTTTTTGTCTTCAATCAACATATATTGCAGCACAATTTTAACTGGTGACAAGTAAAGCAAGAAACTAGTCAAATGACACACCTCGTCCACACACTTCTCTATATGAGAATCCTCGGCACTGAGGACAGCCGACTCCATCTCCAGCAACAACAGAGTCTGCAGCTTGTATCTACACAAACACAAGTCAAACAATTACAAATACAGCATGTTCCTTTAACTAATTTTTCTGAGGCATTCAGCAAAAAATCATGTTGGGATTTTTCTAAATATGTAATTTTTCAAGTAAAATTGATATTTTTATACCTATCCTGACTCATGATCTTTGCTTATCTCCCTTTTCTTTTCGAATGGTAGTGGAACACTTGAATCCCTTGAAGTTCCCGAAGCTGACGTAAAAATACACCGAGTTACCTCCCTTTTGCCCTTTCCCGCGCAAAGTCATGTGACCAGCCTTACTTGTCACTCTCTCCTGATTTTCTGCCTCTGCACTTGGATCTGCTGTGAAATCCGAAGTGTTTCCAACGGAGAGGTTGGGAGGGCTTCTCGTCATGAGTCAGGATAAGCATAAAAATATCAATTTTACTTGAAAAATTACATATTTTTTCTTATCCTGACTCATGATCTTTTGCTTATAGAATCCGATGGATTGGTGGTGGGTCAAGCCACTTCGTGGATTCATCAGCTGTCCTTAGATACGTCCTGTATCCCCCCCATGGGAACTGCGAAATGGCATTTCCGTGATCCTATTCCTTCAACTTCCGTTATAACTCTGGGGGGGGACCACTTTCTTGTCTTACTTCAGTCTCAGACAAGTTCAATCATGTTGATTCATGTGGCTACAGATAAACTAGTATCTTCTTATTACTAGATATCTTATAACAACCCATAGATTATGATAAGATCTTTATCATAAATGAGTTGCGACCCCTTCACGTACAGGTAAGATCTTAACCCGTACAGGATCTTTAATCACTCATGCTAGCCTGTCCTAGACTGTGCGCATGGACTTTCAAACTAATACTTTTCCATAAAAAGTAAAAGTTGTCAACAAGTCAACGTGATAAAGGGTGAGATTTTCCAACTCAGTGCCTTTGAGGAACCGTTAGTTGCTGTGCTACAACGAGAGGCCCAAATTGGTGAATGCCTGAGACGTCTTCAGTGGCTATGTCTCGGAGGTAGTGGTTGGCAAACATCATGTCCCACTTCCAAAAGCAGCCCTCCATAATTGCCAGTGCTCTGACTACATGTGGGTCTGAAGCTCTAGGAGGTTCTAGTCATTCTGCTTTATAGGCTCTCAATATGACGGCTCTCATCCAGAACGGTATCGTCGTTCTTGAGACTTCTGCTGATGTCTCTGTGGATAATGGGATGAACAGGCACTTGAATTTTCGTCTCCTTTGTCTTAGTCTTTTGAAGATATATCTTCAGGGCTCTGACCGGACACAAAGATAAGTCCTGGCTGTCCTCTGGTCCGAGGATTGTAGCTAGCGCTGGTACGTGGAACTACCTAGATGAACTGCAGCATGTTGCCCCACACGTGTAGCTGGAACGCTGTCGGGTTCCTGTGGACTTGCTTGGTGTGCGGATGTATTAGTAGGTTCGGCCAATCTGGTAACTTGATTGTTGGACTTCCGAGATCTTTTATTAGGTCTAGGAACCATACTCTCGATGGCCAGTATGACGCGACCAAAGTCAGTTGTAGCGCCTGTGTCTGTTTGATCTTCAACAGTACTTCCGGTAGTAATATCGGGGGTGGAAACGCATAAGCGTTTAGTCCTTCCAAAGATATGTTCAGTGCATCCATTGTCCAGGCTTGAGGATCTGGAACTGGCGAGACAAATGTCTGTAGTTGTTTGTTGAACCTCGTGGCAAACAGGTCTATGCAAGGGGATCCTATTTCCCTTATGATGAGCCGGAACGCTTCTGGATGGAGCATCCATTCTGTAGGTGACGGGTGCAGTGGTCGGAAGAGAGCGTCTGCAAGTACGTTCTTGGCTCCGGGTATGTGACACGCCTTTATCCAGATGTTTGCTTCCTCCGTGATGTGGAACAACTGGAATGTGAGCTGTACCAGGCTTGGAGACCATGTGGATCCTTGCAGTATCATGGAGAATGCCACTGTAGAGTTGTCCGTGTGGACCATCAGCATTTTTGTTGTTCAGCGAGCTCGACCATAGTTGTAAGGCGTTGATCTCGGCTTTCATCTCCAGCAGATTGATGTGAAGATGCTGCTCTATTTTGGACCAGCTTCCTGATGCAACTTGATTGTTGAGATACGCACCCCAGCCTTGTATCGAAGCTTCTGTGTAGAGATGTGTATCGAAGGCCGGCTCTTGTAAATAGGTCCCTCCGCAAACGTGTCCTGTGTGTCCACCACAGTAGATACCTCTTGAGGTTGTCTGGCAGCAAGATAGGGTCGACGCTGTCTAGATGTTTTATCAGGAACCGTTGCAGCGGTCTTAGTTGTAACCTTCCTGTGCGAGTCAAGTCCTGCGCCGAGGTTAGTAGACCGAGTAGAACTTGCCATCATCGTAGTGTTAATGGAGAGATGACTGCTAGTGGAATCATGGCTTGTATCTTGACCCAATGATCTTCTGGGATGACAATACGATTCTGTGTTGTGCTAAACGTTATCCCCAGAAATTGCAGATCTTGTTTTGGTTCCAACTCTGACTTCATTAGGTTCACAAGCCATCCTAGTTGAGTGAGCAACTTGATCGTGAAGTTCAGCTGTAGTCTGAGTTGACTGGCATCTTGGTGAACCTGAATTCTGTCGTCCAAGTAGAAGGCATTGTGTAGACCTCGATGATGTAGATATGTGACTATAGGCTTGGTTACTCGTGTGAATAGCCACGGGGCCGAAGATATTCCAAACGGTAGGACTTCCATTGGAAGTGCTGCCCTCTGAATAGGAATCGGAGATACTTTCTTGATTCTGGATGTATGGGGATGTGTAGGTATGCATCCTGCAGGTCTATGCTGGCCATGTAATCTGCTTGACGGATGAGTAGTCTGAGTTGAGGTAGGTCGATCATTCTGAACCTGTCTGGTTTCAGTAGATAGTCTTTGTTGAATTTGCACGTTGTAAATCAGTCTGAACTTCTCCTTGGAGTTCTTCTTGGGTACTAGAAAAATTAGGGAGTAGAAGCCTGGAGTGAGATGATGCTTATCTATTATCTCTACCGCCTCCTTCATAAGTAGTGAGTTGATGGCTTCTTGGCAGATTCCACCCTACGCGAATGTCTATCTTGAGAGTCCTCTCTTCGCGAACCTCTATCTGTAGATTCATCTCTTCGCGAACCTCTGTGATTTGAGCTTCCTCTTCGCGAACGTCTGTCGCTAGATGTATCCCTTCGTGAACGTCTGTCGCTAGATGTATCCCTTCGCGAACGTCTGTCACTAGATGTATCCCTTCGCGAACGTCTGTGATGTGAGCCTTCTCTTCGCAAACCTCTGTCTCGTGATGAGTGACTTCGCGAACGTCTGTGAGAGATATGAGATCTCAATCTAGAGCAGCTAGATCTGTAGAAGATGGATCCTTCGATGTTCTCGAACGTTGAGGGTTCGCAGATGTAGAACAATGAGTAGGCATCTCATGTCTTCTATCCTCCTCCAAGATGACAGAGTCGTCCGACTGTTGAGACCTTCGCAAAGGTGTACGTTCGCCAGCGTAGTCTTGAGACGTAGTTCTCTGAGGAGTAGGTTCGCGGTCGGTAGGTCGGTAGGTTGTGCATAGGTATGTAGGTTTGCACACGATGCCGGTAGATGAGAGGCTTCGCCGAGCCCTCGCTTCTTCCTTGAACCTGCGTTCCATCATGGTCATCATCTGGTTGGTGAATTGTCTCATAAATTCACCCAAGTCAAAGTTCTGCGTTGGTTGAAGCTGCTGCGGCGTAAAAGAAGCGTTCGCGAACGCTGATGAGTTGTGTGCCTCGACTTCACTGCGTTGAGAGGTAGGTGGCAGTTCATGAAACAGCTGGCCTGCTGTGACCATTGCAGGATACGATCTAGTAGTCGTGGAAGTCGATTGAGTCGCTGAATCGTAGGTACTTCAGGTAGAAGTAATGGGGGATCATCAAAAACGTCTACTTCATGTGGAGGTAATATCTCTTCGTTGAAGGATTTCTGATGCGTTGACTTACTAGCCCGCGTAGATTTACCCTCCGATCTGGTAACAGAAGCTTTTTTCTGCGATGTAGAAGAGGATGACGTCTTTTTCTTAGCTTGAGTCGGAGTCAACTGCGTTGTAGCCAATCTCTTCTTAGCCCCCGTACCAGCAGACTGCCCCTGCAGCGTACTCAACATAGCACCAGTATTATGAATTTCAGCAGTAGCAAGCAACATACGGTTTGCAGGCTGATCTCCTGTTTTATCAGCCGTGAATTGAGATGACTTCCTCACCCGATCAATGGCACGTCTATAGATATAAGACAAATATTGATTAAATTGTAGATCTGATAAATCAACACAATAAGTACAGCGCAAGCTGGAAGAACATGGTTTTATGTACGAAGGGCATTGGGGGTGAGGATCAGCCACAGATAACCTGTGCCTGCAAACACTGCAAGATTTCATGAAATGTAAACAAAATTACATAACGATGAAATTATGATACAAATACAAATAATCTTTACAATTTTTTTACATATAATACAAAGTAGTTATTGCCAAATCCATACACAGCGTAAGTTTGAAGAATAGGACCTAAATAAAAAGGATATAATACTGTATATGGGACTCCAGTGCTCGCCCAACCATCCACTTGGGGAAAGGGAGAGAGTGACAAGTAAGGCTGGTCACATGACTGTTTGCACGGGAAAGGGCAAAATGGAGGTAACTCGTGGGTGAGTGTATTTATATGTCCGCTGCGGGAACTTCAAGGGAACTGTTCCACTACCATTCGAAAAGAAAAGGGAGATACGCAAAAGATCATGAGTCAGGATAAGAAAAAATGAAAAGTTTACTTTTTAAAAAAAACACTAAATAAAGTGTGTTTTCTTACACCTTCTGTGTAAGAAAAGTCAAGTCAAATAATTTAATCAATGGTTGACAACAGTGTAATCCTTGGCAGTGAATCTAAATCTAAATCTAAACGATAAACGATGCGACTTACTCTGTCATCTTCATGGTCTTGTCCGTGTCGGAGGCCTTACTCTGATACTTCTCCCTCAGTGCCACACTGGACACGCCCACCTCTCGCTGTACCAGCTCCACAGCCTGAACCTGATCACAGTGTTTGATAGGATAAACAAGGGTTCAATAGAGGGATGGAGTTGGATAGAGGAGATTGTGTATGCATGTTCAAATCACAAAAGCGACTTACACAGTGTATGTTCATTGTGAAGATGTGGATCAGATTGTGATGCCTTCATGAAATCTTATACACTGCTGATTAAGAGTACAGAATCTGATTTATTTCCATCTCATGATGTGTACAATATTGACCTACATATAGTATCTGCCCTATCACCCTACACACAGTACTTGCCGTATCACCCTACATATAGTACCTGCCGTATTACCCTACATCCAGTACCTGCTGTATCACCCTACATACGGTACCTGCGGTATTACCCTACATACAGTACCTGCAGTATTACCCTACATGAAGTACTTGCCTTATTACATTACATACAGTACCTGCCGTATTACCCTACATCCAGTACCTGCTGTATCACCCTACATACGGTACCTGCGGTATTACCCTACATACAATACCTGCTGTATCACCCTACATATGGTACCTGCGGTATTACCCTACATACAGTACCTGCCATATTGCCCTACACAGAGTACCTGCCATATTACCTTACATACAGTACCTGCCTTATTACCCTACATACAATACCTGCCGTATTACCCTACATGTACAATACTGCCCTACATACAGTACAGTACTTGCCTTATTACCCTACATACAGTACCTGCTGTATCACCCTATATATGGTACCTGCGGTATTACCCTACATACAGTACCTGCCATATTGCCCTATATACAGAACCTACCATATTACCTTACATATGGTACCTGCGGTATTACCCTACATATGGTACCTGCGGTATTACCCTACATACAGGACCTTTCATATTGCCCTACATACAGTACCTGCCTTATTACCCTACATACAATACCTGCCATATTGCCCTACATACAATACCTACCTTATTACCCTACCTACAGTACCTGTCATACTGCCCTACATACAGAACCTACCTTATTACCCTACATACAGTACCTGCCATATTAATCTACATACAGAACCTGCCATACTGCCCTACATACAGAACCTACCTTATTACCCTACATACAGTACCTGCCATATTGCCCTACATACAGAACCTATCTTATTACCCTACATACAGTACCTGCTGTATCACCCTACATATAGAACCTACCTTATTACCCTACATACAGTAACTGCTGTATCACCACATACAGAACCTACCTTATTACCCTACATACAATATCTGCCACACCGGCTCACCTCTGGATTATCGGCATGTTTCTCCTTCATGAAATGCACGGCCACAGTGACCATCATCTGCACACAGGACTCCAGCCCATCCTCTATGTCCAATGTCCGGTTGTAGAGATCCTTCAGGTACTGACCGACACTCTCCTCCGTCTGCAGGTCTGGGCAACATACCATGACATTTAGTGGAAAAACATACAGGGAAATACCAAGAAAGGTCTTCTCCAGTACTATGATGATAACTCACAGTTTGAATGTGTTGATAGTTGATGCAAACTTATGAACTACAATCACTTTTAAGACATAGCAACGGGCAGATGGAAGTGTACACAAAGTGTAATATTCCTTGTGTGTGCGATAAATTGAACATTTGACTTTTAATTTTTAAATAAAATGTGTAAAATTCAGAAAGGACTAGCAAGTGACATTTTCTTTGGAATATCTGCTAAAATAGGTAGTTTATACTTACTGAAATAGGTAAAAACATCATAAAAATTAAGAAAAGTGCTTAACACCTTTACTGACCAAATATAAGAAAGGTTAGAGTGAATTAGTGTATTGAGTGAGTTCAAGAGAAACATGCAGTACCTAAATTGGTGACATCAATGTTCTGTCTCTCAGTCTGTTTGTCCACCTGAGATGAATCCTCCTCTGTTTTGGTGTTCTTCTTTACAGCTGCCTTGCTTCGACACACCATCATCATCCCGCGGTTCAGCTTGGAATTTCTCGTCTTCCCCTCCTGTCTGTCCACCATCTCATCATCTTGGTCTGCCATCAAACAACAGTCATAAGTGCACTGTTACATTCACAAACAAACACTACACCACTGAAAGCATGCAATAGTGAGTGACATGGTGTCGGGTGACAGTATTTCTTTTTATGGAAATGTAGAAGCCATCAAATTTCTGAATACTATAACCCGTGAAGATGTGGGTTAGAATTGATCTTCAGTAGCCAATGCTATGACTAACGGGATTGGGTGGTCAGGCTTACTGACTTAGTTGACACATGTCATCGTATCCCAATTGTGTAGATCAATGCTCATGCTGTTGATCACTGGATTGTCTGGGCCAGACATAACTATTTACAGATCGCCGCAATATAGCTGGAATATTGCTGAGAGTGGGGTAAAACTAAACTCACTCACTCACTCTGAATCCCATAAAGGGATTTGAACTGCAGGGCCTCTGATCAGAGGTCAGGCTTGTCCACATGACCAAAGACGTTAACCCTGATTTATAGAACAAAGTATGACAACCACATGGTACAACCATCTGAGTAGGGAAGCCTTCAGCCAGGCAGCATATCAAACTAGGGGGGACAACTCTCACCAGAAACTTTTGCCTTACCCCTGATCTACCTGCACCATTCTACATCTGCTACTTACACACTCATCAATATTGCAGAAATGTGAGGTCAACCTGTAGATGCTGAAGTCTGGACCAGATCAGCCAGTGACTGGTATCGAGCAACAACTGTCATTAGGGCATGATGACATGCAATCAGCTACAACAACTCATCTCTAAACCCATCTATTCACCTCTCATGACATAACAGTGAGGGGACCTTCTCATACTTCCACTACTTATAGTAGGCTCTATGTAATGCAATGTGGAATCCTGAGAACCCTTTTCCTGGGAAATAAGTTTATAGCATGAAGAGCCACATACTTATCTAAATTAAAGCAGGATTCTTTACCTTTTTTACAAACTACATTACATTTCGAAGGTCAAGGTGAGGTGAGGTAAATTGGGCTTAACGTCGTGCTTGAGAATATTACGCTCATATGACGTGCATGCGTGTGTATGTGTGTATGTGCGGCTGCTTGTACTAGCCCAGACTAAAGCTGGTTTTATAGTGCCAGCCATGTGAAGTGAAGCAGGAACACCCCACTCAGACACAGTCCTTGTTGTACCCATTAATGCCGAGCGCCAGGCAAGGACCAAGAAGTACCATATTTTAACGTCTTTTGGTATGACGCGGTCGGGGATTGAATCCGCGACCTTCTGCTCTCCGGGCGGATGCTCTAACGACTACACCATGGAGGCTGTCTTCGAAGGTCAAGATGAAAACACTATATATACCTCCAGCTTTTCCTGTCTGCGTAGTGTCTGGCTGTTGTCGTGATCTCTGTATCAAGGCTTGTGGTTGGTTGTCTTTCCGATACATTTTCTGAAGAGCTTTAAGCGTCTCCTTTTCAGCTGATGTTAGAAAATCCAGGTCCTTGAGTCTACAAACAGAAACATGGAGTAAAAGTGCGAACAAATGATATATCTTTGTTGTTTCCTTGATAGTTGCCAGACTAGAAATAAGTCAATACAGAGCAAACACATCATAATAATCTGTGTTTTAATGAATGACACTCCTGGAGTACATTTGGAGACAGTGCCCCTATCTTCCTTCAGATTCATACAAACACATGGCTATGTAATACAGTCAATGCACAGTAAACTTACTGTGAAGCCTCACTGACTCAAAGCCAAGGGTGTGTCAAATATTTGTCAAGTTCAAGACAAGCAAAATGTTTGTAAGTAGTTTGAAACTGTTTCTTTTATGATGAATAAATTGTTTAGCATGGTTTAAGCAAATATTGATATAAAACTATCAATCAATGTAAAAAATCTTAAAATTAATCCAAATTTCAGTATTTCCAAACAACAAACAAATTATTCTTCACAAATCTGCACAGAGATGGAGACTCTCAGTTGGCAGCCCTAAAAAATATATCTGGGTGATGTACATCTTCAGAAACAATACTAAACAAAGCTGAGAGATAATTCTGTTACTGTCACCTGTTGTTGAGTTTATTGATGAGAGCTGGCAGACCTTTGGAGGTGCCAGGGAGATGCCAGGGGTTGGTAACCTGAGGGTTATAACACCCAGGTGTGTCCGCAGTTAGTACCCCTGCAATACACAAATTGTTACAGAACTAATTATAAAAATAATGGGCTTTTCTTTTCAGTGGTAGAGTGAGGTAGAACCTGAGGAAATCTAGACTTGCTTCCTTAGGGCTTCAGCATTGCAGAAAGGGCTAGGCAGTAGGGGAAAATAACGTGGTTCAGGGACCGTGAGACAGACTGGTTAACAGTTTACAGGTTTACATGATGGTTACTGACTTTAACATATATAATTTATCTGGGATTATACTTTCTTAGTAAAGTACCGATTCTAGTACCTTTGTTTGGTCCCCTGCAGGATTCGAACCCACTTTCTAAATGGCATTGTGTAATCATGGCTTTCGGCCGTTGGAGCCATGCTAATTTACACTTATCAGAGGGGTACACAAAGTCCGCAGTCTAGACTACCAGTTGTCCGACTTCCATTTGTGTGGAAATTGTGGTGGCTGAGCAGGTTAGGTGGCTGACTTTGTGTGCTGGCGATTAGGTGCCTGACTCTGAGGGTGTGGGTTCGAATCCCGCATGGGGCTCAACCCAACAAAGTTAATAGAATATATGTTAAATTTGACCACTTTCTAAATGGCATTGTGTAATCATGGTTACTGACTTATGAACAAAAATTGAAATAACATAATTGTTGAGATGTTTTAATTTTAACTTGATCATCAAAAGGTATGGGCATGCTTATTTTATTTTCGCAAAGGTACACATAAATTATATGTCTGGGGCCCTATGGCACCCATAACAATTTTCATTTCTATGCCTGTGGTTAGTCCACTCCAACACCAGTGCCAGTTGATTTGTCCTTGTTTCATCAGCTTCATGTTGAACACCAGGCAGGGACAGAAGTGATACCAACTTGTGAGAGGAGAGGGATTGTTCAGAAAGGAGTCAGAATAAGGTATAAACGCTTCGATAAATGTCATTTAAAACCGCAATTTATTGAAGTGATTATAGGGATAATGAAAACAGTTAGCAGCGCTCAAACCAACTATAATCACTTCCAGAATAAACATTTATCTCATATTCTTTATCTCCTGAGACCTCAACATCAGAAATGATTACCTGACTTTCTGCATTTCCTGTGAGGTCCTCCAGCCGAGATCTTCCCCTTTACAGACTGACATTCCTTCTTCAATGCAGCATGCAGGTTGTGGAGACGACTCTCAGTTTGAACAACATCAGGTGGAGAAGAACACATCTCAGACTTAAATACAAATAGTTACATTTAGCATAAGTTAAACATTTAAACATTTGCCTAGAAAACTATAAAGCAATCACCTTGTCCAGTAATATTGACAGTGTACTACAAGGTTGTATCACAAAATGATGATGTCAGTCTAAGGTATCGTTATTACAGTAATTTGTCATAACAGTTGAGTGAGTGAGTTTAGTTTTACTGTTAGCATTATTCCAGCAATATCACATCTGGGGACAACAGAAATGGACTTCACACATTGTAACCATGTGGGGAATGAAACCTGGGTCTTCGGTGTGACGAGCAAACACTTTAACCACTAGGTTACCCCACCGCCCCTGTCATAACAGAATAACTGGGTAGGACATTTTAACTACAGTCTCAGTAAACAATTGGTTGGGCATTGATGTTGTTTCACCAGAGCAATAATTCCTGAAATCCAAAGTCAACATTAGACCAACAGAAACAAATACAAGGAAGTGTTTATTGGGTGTTGAATAGTATTACTAGTGTAATAGTGACTGAGTTTGGTTTTTACGCCGCTTTTAGCAATAATCTAGCAATATCACAGTGGGGGACAGCAGATATTGGGCTTCACACATTGTACCCATGTGGGAAATCAAACCCAGGATTCGACGTGAAGAGCAAACGCTTTAACCACTAGGCTACCCCACCACCCCAGGAGGGAGTGAGTGAGTGAGTATGGTTTCACGCCGCTTTTAGCAATATTCCAGCAATATCACCCCGGGGGACACCAGAAATGGGTTTTACACATTGTACCCATGTGGGGAATCGAACCCGGGTCTTCGGCGTGACGAGTGAACGCTTTAACCACTAGGCTACCCCACCGCCCTCACCACCCCAGGACTGTACTGAGGGGACATGACCACGATGAGAGACTTCACAGAGTAGCTAACAAGATCCTAGGTGGCTCAGTTAAATCAGCTGACGACACCGAGCATGTCATACCTGTGAGAGACAGGCCTTCTCCACCTGTAGTGTGGCCCCCAGGGGCAGCAGTGTGAGGACAGCTGTGCGGGGAGACACGGTATCCAGTACAGCTAGGAGGGGGGAGGCATGGCCACCAGACTGAACTGTCAGCACCTGGGTAATATCAAGGACATGATTATGTTGTTGATGATCAGGATGAATTACAAACAACTTTGCAGAATATACATTAAGGGGAAACAAAAAACTGCAAGTTTTAAACTATTGAAATATGAAAATGAAAAATAAAAAATAGTCATAGTAATAAAAAATAAAAATATGAAATATGGATCAGCTTTTTCTTTGCAGAATCAATATTTACTGATCGAGTTTTATTTAGATGGGTTTGTGTTCAGCGCTATTCTCACTGCAACTTGAGTGGAAGTGTCCTGAGTCACTGACATAGGTTGGTGGGTTGCTTTGTTGTTTAATGCAACACTCAGCAATATTCCAGCTATATGGCGGCGGTCTGTAAATAATCGAGTCTGGACCGGACAATCCAGTGATCAACAGCATGAGCATTGATCTACGCAATTGGGATACGATGACATGTGTCAACCAAGTCAGCAAGTCTGACCATCCGATTCTGTTAGTCGCCTCTTATGACAAGCATGGGTTGCTGAAGATCAATTCTAACCCAGATCTAACCCGGTTTAAGTCTTTGACATAAATTGGTATCTGATTAAAAATAATAAATATATGATGCCGGCTTGACGACTGAGAGTTAAAGTGTTGTTTCCCCAGGGGAGGTGTATTTGATCTTCACTATGAGTCTCAAGTGGGTGCTAAAGTTTTTTGTAACTTTCTGTATGACAACGCTTATGTTAATGTTTCTATAAACCAAAACAACTAGAAAACACTCACTGGATTTAGAGTATGCACACCACTTTTTTTAAATTCATTCCTCCATAATAGATAATATACTGAAGTCAATTTCTAAATCAAATTTAAAAGCAACAGAACTATAAATGTCTTGGATCCGCATCATATAAAATAGCTATCTATCTATCTATAAAAAACATGCTACTATCATGACTAAGTTGAAAATTTTAATTATAAATTGTACATTTATATACTTATCCTATCTCACGTATTGTACACTCTCTCCTTAATTCGACAAATGAATGGAAACGAAAAAACTTGTGAACTTATCTCGGCTTCTGGTCCAAGCACCCACCCTCCATGTTGTCCTCCTTCCTGGACATCTCGCTCTCTCTCACGAGAGGCATGCATCACGCTCCTACTACCTAGTCACATGACCATTACCAAGTGAGAAGTAAGGTTCAATAATTTATTCTGTACATACAAGGAATCAGCGAAGCATCGATGGATCCAGTCCCATAAGTTATCTGCTTGATGGGCTGGACGACAACTGCTGAGCCAGAACCAAGGGGCTGAATTGGTGTAAACATCGGTGACAGATATGTCTTGAGGTAGTGTGGTGTGGCTTAAAAACGTGTCCAGACTACCAAAAGCATCCTTTCCATAATAATCAAGTAAGGGAGCAGTTACTATATAACGCCATAGTGGAGACTAATGCCCTAGTCGTGGAAGGATTTGATGCAGCCGGCGGTTATAATTCGGCGAACCTGAAAGCCTGCAGGATGGTTGATCGCATCCAAAAGGATAAGGTGGTACGGGATACTTCAGCCCTGGATGCAGTAGATAGAGGGTTGAACAGCTGTTTCCTTAATCTGCGTCGGTCCTGTGATGCAGCTAAGCAGATTCTAATCGCTCTGACTGGACAGAGCGCCAAATCTTCAGTGTTGTTATGATCCAATATAGTGGACAGTGGTGGGATGGTAAACATACGATCCGGCTGTCCAAGAAACTGGTTTTTAGCGACGAAATCCCATCAGAGTCCGAGAAAAACCCTGCCCTGCTTGAATGTCACCCGAGAAACATCCACTGCATGGAGTTCTGATAACCAGGAAGAAGGTCTTGAATGATATGCGTTCAAAGTCTTTATCTTGTAAAGGCTCATACTCGTCTGAGACCAGATGACGTAAAACAACTGATAGATCCCACGCTGGAGGTCGGAACTTCCGAGATTGGTCAGCGAGTCTATAAGAACGCAAAAGGTACTGAAGTTCTGGAGTCGACAAAACCTTTATCCCAGTAGAGGTTGCCAAGTCTGTGTTCATAGCAGCCAGATAAGTAGCCAGCATCGTACCCTTCAATTTCTTATTTGAATGAAGGTGTTGTAAAAACACCGCAACAACCTGAGCAGAGGCAGAAGTAGGTAAAGAAATGCCTCTATTCATACAAAATGCTGCAAATCTTTTCCATTTATCATCATGCAATGAGTGAGTAGAAGTGCGTTGAGCCATCGTAATAGCCGAAGCTTCTCTCTGCGAATATCCCTTACCGAAGAGAGATTTCTGAAGATGGACCATACATGAAGATTTAGGGTTTTTGATGATGTGTGGTGCTGCTCTGTGTGAGGATGAAGTAACAGGTCATTTCGATTAAGGTGGATGGGATGGATTTGGTAGGGCACCCACCAAAATCAGTGCCATCTGTTTATTGGCCGCACCTCTGCAACACTCTGGCAGAAGAGCTGCTGGAGAGAAGGCATTGTATGCCTGCGACCTTCCCATGAGATTGCTAGTGCATCCTGATCCCAAGCCGCATTCGTCCGGAATGGGAGATACAAACTTGGGAAGTTGATGGTTGAATCTCAAGCTGCTAAGTCAATCTGTAGTCTGGGTTCTGTTCACAAGGCGATCAGAAGGCGCTAAGTTGATCGTAACTCCTATACTTTAACATAGACTTACGACTGTCGTGGCGCTACGATCGGCTTGAGGAACGGGGCCCTGGTTAACGGGCAACACATCGTCTGGAATATTGATGGGAGCAACTTCAAATCTGTGGGGGATGGTTGACTGGACCGTGATAGTGTGTCTGCAATGACATTCTTGATCCCCGGAATGTGTCTTGCCCTTACGACGATGTTGAGGGAGTCTATTAGTTTGTAGAACTATAGCGCCCAATCGAGGAGATGTGGTGATGAGATTGTTGATCCCAGATGGTTGATGTAAAAGACCACTGTTGCATTGTCCGACTGAATCAGGAGATTGGTGGACTGTAGATGATTCGACCAATGTTCTATTGCTAGAATTGCTGCTTTGAATTCTAGCTCGATGTGCAGGGTCTGTTCTATGAATGACCACTGCCCTGCCACCTGATGATTGCCCAGATGGGCTCCCCAACCTAGTAGGGAGGCATCTATGAATAGGTGATGTGTCGGAACGAAAGGCTGCAAAGAGACTCCTCCGCAATCATTCTGTTCTTTGAGCCACCACTGCAGGTAAGGGTGGAGTGATGGTGTAGGTTGAATGAATACATTGGTATCTTGAGCTTGTAGGTACGGCCTTATAAAACGTTGAATCGATCGGAGTTGTAGTTGACCCCTGTAAGTGAGTGATTGAGCCAACGTGAGAAGGCCCAGCAGCTCCTGCCATTGGAGAAGAGATCTCCCTTGAGATAAGGCTAGGGGAACCCATCGTTTTATCTTCAACCATCTGTCCTGGGGTACAAACAATTTGCCCTGCTTTGTGTCGAATACTGCTCCTATATACTGTAGTCTCTGGGTCGGTGTTAGTTCCGACTTCTTATCGTTCACTAACCATCCCAACGGCCGAAGTAGTTGAGTTGTGAACTGAAGATGTTGAAGCAGGGTCAATTGGTTTTGTTGTGCCTGGGTACAGTCGTCGATATAAGATTCGAAGGTGATTCCTCAACAGTGGAGGAATCGAGTGATGGGCTTGGTTATCCGAAAAGTGAAAAAGCCACGGTGTACGTAGAAATTCCAAACGGCAGGACTTCCATTGGTAATGTATGCCTTTGAAGATGAACCATAGATATCTGCGATGAATGGGATAAATCGGCACATGTAGGTAGGCGTCTTGGAGATCTAAACTGATGAGATAGTCCCCCTTCTTCAGGATAGTCTGGAGCAAATTGATTGAAACCATCCTGAAGTGGGGCGGAAGTTGAAGGTATATATCGAAAATGAGTCGCAGTTTGTCTGAGTCTTGTCTGGGACAAGGAATATTGGAGAATAAAGCCTCGAGTCATAAGGTGCTGGACCGCTGACTGATTGTTAATTTCTAGCAACGTATCCTATCGGGGTGCGTGAGAAACTGTTAGCTGGCTGTTTGAATAGGTTCGGTAGTAGCTGGTTGGTTGAGAGGCGGTAAAATCGATTAGTGGTAGTCTGTATCCTGTCGCTAGCATATTAATGACAAACGGATCGCTTCAATATTTCCCAGTTAAGCGAATAGTCCCAGTCTTCAACCTACAGGGTGAGAGGATAATCGGCACTTACTGGAGGCAGAAGGTCCCAGTCGCGGCGATGATGTCCTTGAGTTGTCCCAAGCCGGCTCCAGTCCTGGAGACGGTCCTAGGGGGACGACAGGATGAGGTTCCCCAGAATGACTTACGTCCTCTTTGGCGACGAAAAGCCTCCCTCAAGTCCAGGTTAAATGGAGTGAAGTAAGGAGTCTCACGCTTCCAAAGAGCTTCCTACAACTGAGTTTTCTGAAGTTGCATAAGATCCACTGAAACCTGAAATTGGTTTTCTCTGTCCACTGTAAAAGATACCTTGTGGATCTGTCTCGGCGGACCATGGTTGTCGGCAGACCATGGTTGTCTAAAAAGTTCAACCTTGTATCTATCCTCCCATGAAGAATGATTCAATGCACCTCTGCATCTCATGGCTAGCACACACACACAAAAAAAAGAGATATCTGGTCGAAAACAGTAGACAGTTGTTCAATAATCCGGTTCGTCGCACCTCTGATGTAAGCATCCTGGTTAGATACTGCAGTGCCAGTGCATGTAGTGATGTCTCACTCACTGCATCAACAGATGATAAAATACAGTTCAATGCTGGAAGGGTTCGTCGAATGGACGTTTCGATGTGCGCTAGTTCTCTATCTTCAACCAGGAACGGAGAATTATTCATCTTCAGGCATAGTGTATTAATATCTTCATCCATTGTAGGGGCCATGGCAAGACGCGTAAGTCCATGTACATGCGCCGCACTGGTTGGGTATCTTGGTGCAGAGAACCCATCTCGAACGCGCTTAAGATTAATGATGGCCAAATCTAATGATCCTGTCATGCGAGTGATACAGTCTCTTGGTTGTAAAGTAATGGATGACATATCCTGTCCTTTCATGCAGTACGATGAAATACTATCTTCTGCTGAAGTGCTTCTTGGTACTTTCAAATTCTCCACAATCCAAACTAAAACCTGGCCTGCTTCGGCGATATCAAAACTCCCATCAGATCCAGATATTTCGGCCGAATAATTCGGGAACAAAGTCTTGTGTCAACGTATTGGAGTAATAGTCAGTACAGTGGCTGTAGGTACTGGTATCTGGATTGACGTCGTAGGTACAGGAGGTACCGTAGTCGCCGGCTGCTGCATTGCCGACAAGCAGTAGTGAATGCTCGCAACATCATCTCAAAATTAGGTTGTTGATTGGAGATCACATTCCCCGTAGTTACCGTTGACATAGGCAAACTATGTTGCTGAAGTGGTATCTCACTATGACTACACGAATCCATATTCCTAGGCTGAGGTACAATATTCGCCGAATTGCCATCAGGATTCCAACCTGCAATCTGAGGTGCTCCCATTCTCAAAACTACTGGAAGCTCGTCGGCGGTACATCACATGAGCGTTCGCATGACGTGAGTCCGAATGGCGTGAATTCAACGAATGGTGATGGCTCGAATCTGAACGAATAGGAGACATTCGATGACCCTCCATAGATGAAAATCCCTTCGAATGCGACCCCGATGATGAGGAATGGTGAGAACTCCTGCCTGATGATAGCGATCGATCTCTCGATGAATGATGGCTAGTCGATTGTCAATGTCCGACAGAAGTAACTGGAGGTTTCGGTGGCATAAAGATGATCGATGCAACAAATCCACATCTTCATCTCCCAATAAAAGGCGAAGATTCTCTGGTAAATAGGAGTCTGAAGAAGTGTTCAGAAAATCATCCCTAGGTTAAGACGATGGTGTGTGGGATCTCCTTTTTGCTACTTTCTTGGGAAGATCTACTTTAGACTTTTTGGAAGAAGATGGGCCATTCTCTCCTGATGTCTTCCGATAGTCTCTGTCCGCATGCCGGCGGGACCCAACTTTCTTATATTTAGCGAAAGCTTCCTCAGTCAAAGGTTTACAGTAGGAACAACGATTATCCCAAGAACAAAAACCCACACAATCCACACATGATGTATGGGGATCAGCAACAACGAAGATAGTTCTACATTTATTACAAAGTTTCCTCTTTCTAGAGGAAGATGTTTCTTTCTTTCCCATATTCTCATTTGGAAAAAAATTTCGTTCACAAATTAGTGTCTGCACTGCTCGGCGACAAGAGGGAGAAATGATCCCTAAGGAATGGTCATGTGAGAAGGTAGTGGAGCGTGACGCATGCCTCTAGCGAGAGACAGTGAGATGTCCAGGAAGGAGGACAACATTGGACCGGAGGCTGAGATAAGTTCACAAGTTTTTTTGGTTCCACTCATTTGTCGAATTAAAGGTCACATAAACCCTAGGGGGTACAAATACATAAATCACTAACTGGCATCGTTATAAATGAAACCCCGTCATTAAAACTACTCATTTCGACCTTTAATTGACTTAAATCGACCTTTTTGACAACAGTGCACAATTCTCACCCGCGAACGAAATTTCAACCAATCAGAGCGGCGCGCCTCTGTGACGTCATATGAGGAATAGCTTTGAGAGCCGATGCAGAATTCATCTACATTTTAGGGGTAAATTATCGTGTTTACAGGCTTGTATAAACCTGAAATCGTGACAATTGTTGTGGAAAAATGAAAGCTATATGTTCTCACAATCTACTGTCATTTAATTTTGTCTCCTGCTTTGCCTAGTTTCCGAGTTACAACTTGTTTTCATAGACGATTCTGTCAAAATCGATTGGTGTCGTTAGGCCCTATTTGTATAATGACTGATCCAAATTGATCCCATTTCTGTGTTGTTTTACCTCGATATTTAATCATGTCATGTAAAAATCTGTTTGTATTCTCAAAACAGTGTCGACCCATAAGTTTTCACATGCAATACAGCAATTAATACTCCCCTCGTTGTAACCCGTGTTAGGTGGTATAAACCTACACATGTTATTTGTCATCATTCACTTGATGGTCAGTTAATGAATTTAAAACAGGTATAATTAGTGGTAACACACTTAGATTACCCGACAAAGGTTCCCATTTGGCATTTCTTGTGTCTGGAGTAAATATTCAACATTATAAACATCGATCAAAGGATTAACCGATAACACGCTGATTGATTAATTACTTTTATCTTACAGCGGAATTGTCAAAAGGTAGTGTTTATGTATGTAGATTTACTAATCTATAATGAATACACTCTGTCGTGTCGGTGTCTGCGTAAAAACAACGTCCTTCTTTCAAAGGATTAACCGGCAATACATTGATTGATTGCCCATTATTGGCTAACTAAATTACTGTTTTTAAAGAAAGGCGGACATGATGCAATTAGTTGCCAGGTGTGCTATCTTGGGTGACCAATGAGACTATACACCAATACCTGAAAAGATTTATCACTTTTTCGTGATATTAAACTGTTAAAAGACACATCATTTGGAACAGTTTTGTGGATATTGATGGATACATTCCTCGAACAAGGTAATGGCCTGATATTGTTCCTATAACTTTAATCTGTTTTAATTTTAATATTTGCATTTTGTTTTTATTCATTTGTCGTAGCATTCAACAGAGTCATTGTTTTCGCCGTGAAGTGTAATGAGACAGACAACATGCACTAGGTGTGTGCGAATTATGATTCACATTGGCAACTATAAAATGTCTAGATATTACAGTTCTGTTATAAATTCACTATAAGTATCAGCAGATCGCCTGCTTTTTATTTAGTTTCAAAATGCATACAAGTGTGAGATAATAAACTAATTAGGCTTATAAGACCAAATATAAAGACGCATTATTGACTAGTATCTACATACTGGTGAGTGGACATTAACCATGGGAATGTAGCAAGAAATTTATTACGCTAGTATTGTGACTTCGACCCCACCTCGCTTCCATGGAAGAAAACGTTATGTTATAAGTTGTGTCATGCAAAATCCGCTTGTTATGATTCCAATACATATTTAACAACGAGTAGAAAGTAGTCTTGATTTTTAACTTGATGAAAACAAACTATAATCTCATTAATTCTAACAGATTTTTTATTTCTAAAATGGCGGCCCTGTCGGGAACATCCGCCAGTCTGAGGATAAATGGTATTTAGGTTTGTTTTCACCGAAATTACAAAATCAAAACTACTTTCTACTGGTAGTAATATGTATTTTATTGATGGCCAATAGGATTTTTGCATGACATAGCCGTGATATCATAACAATTTCTCTCGTGGCAGCCGAGGTGGGTGTCAATATAATACTACTTACACCCATAATATTATTGTTACTTCCGACCACAACCCTCACTTCCGAGGAAGAAATCGTTATGTTACAAGTTGTGTCATAGAAAATCTTTATGGTCATCAATCATATGCATATTTTACTACAACTAGTAAGTAGTTTTGATTCTTTAACTTCGTGAAGCGATCTGAACACAAGTAAGATATCGTTTCAGGCTTCCACAACGCCGCTAAGACCGCTCACAAACATAACCCATTTAGCACGAACTGCTGGGTCCTCTGGAAATCTGTGCATGGGGACACCATCGCCTCGACCCTAGGAGCAATTGCGACAAAAGCAACGATTCGCATGTCGTCATTGATGTCGAGAAATCATCAAAATGATGAGCGTGCTACACATTTTCTATATACAACTAACTGAAAATCGCTTCCTCATATGACGTCACTGTAGTGCTCTGGCGACAGAGTTACGTAACCTGTCTGTGGTTTCGTTGGCGGGCGAGAGGGAAGCAGGCGACTTTTTGGCCACTTTTAATCGCTCGGTATTAATTAACCACAAGTTTTTAAAGAATAAATTTGGTGTTCCGCATAAGACTAACCACAAATCTGTCATATGTAATGGTTAAAAGAGTAACAAAAAACAAAGTTTAGTGGTTCTTTAAAGAGAGAGAGTACAATATGTGAGATAGGATAAGTTTAAAAATATGACAAATTTTAACTTCATAACTCATTTCATCTCTAAATACAGATAAGAATCTACATACCAAAAGACTGTCCTTTAGTGCTAAACCTTGCAACAGATCTTGAAACAGCCTGCGTGTGTTGTCTGATGAAATTGTCTCCCCTTGACCACACACTGAGGCCCAGAAGCCTGATGCGCCTGCTGTAGAGTGTGTTGAATACATACACTTTGGTATGCAACTGTGAACAGCCAGCTGTAGGTTTCTGGGTAATGAAACACTGTTTGACAGAACGGTCAAGCTGGTCAGTGGAGCATCATCCTTACTGAGATGTACTTTCACCAGCTTCTGATGCGGTTCAGCGACAAACTCCTGAGTACTGGGATATGTGTTCTGTGGACTGCTGAAGACATTACTGTGATAGACAAAAACAACGAATACACCATGGCATTTTGATAGCGGTTAAATGTAACATATGTTATATCTGGAATTACACTTTCTTACTACATACAAAGTACCTTTTGGCCAAAATCCCATCCGGAATTCAGGGTAAGACACCAAATCACCAGCACACAAAGTCAGTAATCTAACCCACTCTACCATCAAGGTTTCTAACCCCAAAGGTACCAGAAATTGTACTTTACTAAGAAAGTGCAATCCTGAAGTGAAAGAAAGGTTGAAAAAAAAAAGAAAGTGTAATCCTAAATATAACATGTCACAAAAAGGAAATTCAAACCCATGATAATTATCATGATATATATGCATTAATCATAACTATTCCATTGGTGAAACTAAAAGTATCTACAACTGTTCAATGCTATATTGCACAAGCATGGCTATTGTAATGTGTGAGTGAGTGAGTTTAGTTTTACGCCACTTTTAGCAATATTCCAGCAATATCGCGGCGGGGGACACCAGAAATGGGCTTTACACATTGTACCCATTTGGGGAATCGAACCCGGGTCTTCAGCGTGACGAGCAAATGCTTTAACCACTAGGCTACACCACCACCCCAGTAATATGTGAGAGTCGTTTAACCTTTAGCATGTTAGTGAGTGAGTGTGGTTTTACGCCGCTTTTAGCTATATTCCAGCAATAACACGGCAGGGTACACCAGAAATGGGCTTCACACATTGTACCCATGTGGGGAATCGAACCTGGGTCTTCGGCGAGACGAGCGATACCACTAGGCTACCCCACTGCCCCCTTTAGCATGTTAAGCATACAGACAAGAACATATTAAATGGTGAAGTCGTGTTATGAGCATGTACACAATGATACAGTATGAGTGATACAAGTGAGTGAGTTTTAGTTTTACGCCGCACTCAGCAATATTCCAGCTATATGACGGCAGTCTGTAAATAATCGAGTCTGGACCAGACAATCCAGTGATCAACAGCATGAGCATGAGTGATACAGATATTATGAATAAATACTATAGGGACACCAAAGGAAACAAAACATTTCATTTTGGCAAAGAAAATGTAATTACTAGTATGAAGGCTAACGGTAATACTTGAACATTTGTTCATATGTTTTAAAACAGACTTTAAAAGTCATTTAAGATAAACAACAACAATAACACTATGTACACATACTTATAAAAATGCTTCTGGTTCCCTAAACTGCTTCCCCATTATTAAGTGAATGGATCAGTTTGCTCTCAAAAGTAATTATCAGCTCCATGAGGAGAGTACAAATGCAAATAGAGATGCAGTTTCCTCCTCATCTCCTGCAGTGCTACTCGTTACACTCAGCAAAGTTACCTTTTCTTGGATTCTGACACAGGCTCCAACTTTAAGTTTACACCTGTCTTCAAACATCAAACAAAGCATTACCCATTTTGTAATGAGTAAAAATGTTACTAGTGGTGTTACACCATTCAGACACAGGCTCCAACTTTAAGTTACTTACACTCTCAGTCCATGATTTTGTCTTCTGGAACATCAAACCAAATGCATTTGTATTTGAAGACGCTGCGTAGAAATAACTGGCCCGTGTGATTACCATGGTAATGAGTAAAAATGTTACTAGTGTTGTTATTTATCAACATTACAGCATTGTATCATGATACAAGCCTCAAGCTACAATACATCTTAATTGATTTTGGTAGGCACAAACTCCTGTATTACAAATACATCTGATTCTTTACATTACAAGCTATACTGAGGTAAAAGCATGTCCAAAAAATGTTTATAAAGAATTTCTAGCATTTGCTGAACGGCTGTAAAAAGCAGAATCTGTTCAGTGCCCTCAAGCTTATGTTTCTCCTCACAATATCTCATTTTTGTTGTCTGAAATTTAAAAACAAATGATTAAGGTTGTGATTCACCTACAAATAGGGAAAGATTATGAACTTATGAAATAAAAGTACTGTATTAAGATACAAATTGCATCACACTCATATTACTGGTGTATGTATCGGATTGCGATGTCAATGTAAGTTACACCCCTAAATATTACAATTTCACGTTAGAAGCACCACTTGAATAAACATGTAACTTTGTGTATTGGGTTTAATTTTAAGTTCATTTCATTGAAATAGTTTATGTAAGATTGATAATATTTCTTCCCATCCCTGCCAGCCACTTCAGTACAACATACTCACCCACTGTCAGCTGCAGACAGGCTGTATGTGAACCTGTGCTTGGTTCACATTGTCTTGTGCTTGGTTCACATTGTCTCTGGCTATCTGCCAGTCCCTGTATCACAGAGTACGATGAGAAGATCGATGCAAGAGACTTGTGGACTGACACATGTGCCTTCTTTGTTTGATCATGGTCAGCACTCTCTTTCGTCTGTGAATCAGATGTTTCACCAGAGAGAAAACCTTCAGCTGAAACTCTTCTTTGCCTTGACTTAACCACAACTTTTGAATAATTTCCATAGGTAGAACCTAGGTTTACAAGGCTATCCACAGTTAGTGCTGTACCCTTGATGTGACTTAAACTTTTTGTGATGATTTCAATACTGTTGGTATCCACTTGATGTTGGTGACAACCAGGCTTTTTATACTGCAACATAAGTATATCATGCATAGTCAACACCAAACTGAAGAACTATTATTCAGAAGACTGAATAACAGAATAGGTAATATTTACAGAATGTGTATTTTGTTGAGTGTGATCTACCTGTAAATGATAATGAAAAAAGTTTTCAAGCCAATTCTACATGATACATTAGATATTCTAATCAAAGGCAAGGAAATCTGAACAAAGATTTCCGACAAACTGATTAACGTGTTATAGTTTGTAATTTAGATTGTTTACTCTGCATTTGTTGGAGGTTAACGGTTTCAGAAGCTGGGTCATAATGAAATTCATTACTGTTTTTCTCATGAATGTGAAGTTTACTTAGCTGACAAGTATGAAAGTCATTGGAGCATGCTAAAGTTGAATGACAAATCAACATAAACATTTTTTCTCTAATAGTTATATTTACTGTCCTGTATTAGGTTGTTGCCATAGTGACCAATAAAGTTTTGATAGAAACACCTTTGTTATACACATACTACAAAGTGATACCAACATAGCTTTTAAATTAACATGATGAATATATGTCATAAGAAGACTCAAATATTAAAATACCTATTGTGAAATGCAATTATATAATTTGTATGAATTCATAAATTATGAAGTATGAACACAGTTCATGTTTGTAGCAGTATAAATGACACTTTGCTCATGGTACTTACACATGGTCTGTTCAGTGATGAAATGTCAATCCAGTACAGAGATAACCTGGCATGATGACAGAACTGATCAAACAGATGTGGTGGCATTATAGCATCAAGAAAAATGTCAGAATCTAAAACGCGTTTGCCTGCAAACATACGCATTTGTTGCGAATTTGTTGGCAAGTCGGAAAACAAAAAAACGATGTTGTGATTTTTAGATTGTTGAGTTTGTTTGGAATACCGTCTTCCCTTCATTGGTGATGCTGTATCTGGCATTTGCCACTGGATGTCTGTGACTATTTCTGTCAAGGCCTTCTGTAGACATTCCGCTGCAGTTACTTTTGTCTTGGTTCCTAATTTTTCAGCCACTGTCTCTTGAATCGTTTCTTTCAGCTTAGCTTCAAACTGTTCAAAATATCTCAGTTTGAAGTCCCTCAGATTAACTTGTTTCGCGGATGACTTGTAAGATCGTGAATTAAAAAACTTGAAACTCCATTTCAATCCGTTCTCTTTATTGGGCTTCTGTTTTCCATCAGACTTCGATTCCTGGAATGACTGCAGACTACATAAAATACGAAATGATGTCAGCACTAAAGCTCGAAACTTTTGTAAACTTTGATTGTCACTCAAAATTTCAGGTCGAAATGTATCGATCAGCAATATTGTCTGAACAACTGTTTGTTTGTTATCCATCTCCGACAGTTTAATTAACCCACCATGTCCAAATAGATAAGTTTAACGTGTATACCGAAGATCTTACTATCCACTTTGTTTACGAGCACTTCGAGGCAATTTGCCGCCGCCATTTTGAATTCTTTCCCATAATGCATCAGTTATTAAAATACGGTCGGTGTTCTATACCGGGACGCACCATTTTCTACTCGACGAAGTCAAGCCTTGTATTGCGTCCGGGACATTTTAACCGACTTGTGATTTATATTTTCTTTCTTTATCAATGAACTAGCAATAAAGATTCATTAAAACAGTTTAAATGGTTTCTGTTACATCCAGATATAGTACAACTATTATTTCCAGTATATATGCTGATGATATCAGTTTCTTCTCTACTATTCGCGGATTACAAGTAGAAATAAACGAATTAGAAAAATACTGTCATGAATGGAAACTAATCTTAAATAGAGATAAGACTAAAATCATTGGTATTATTAGATATATTTATAATTTACGTGACTTGTCACATAAATAATTTTTTAGATTTTTTTTATTCTAGGTTTAGTCCCATACTTCTACATTTGTATATGGTTCTGAGACTTGGGGACTCTAAACATCTCAAACTAGAAAAAGTACACTCGTATGCAATTAAAAGTTTTCTTGGTGAGAAAGTTACTACTTCAAACATTATGGTTTATGGTGAATGTGGTAGGTTTCCATTATTTGTTGAACAAAAAATTAAAGTAATAAAATATTGGATAAAAATGTAAAATATGCCATTTTAATGATTACCCCCAAAATGTTACAATATGATGATTTTGTACGATAGAAATGGAAAAGGTAATTGGATCATAGATGTTAACAAATTACTAGTTTCTTCTGGTTTTTGGTAATATATGGCAAGAATAGTGCATAGACTCGTGCCCAAAGTTTCTCATATCCATTAAACAAAGGTTACAAGATATATATCTCCAGAATTGGCTTGACCAATTATCTGTGTCAAATAAATATTTGTATTGCAGAATGTTTAAGTTATCAATATATAATGAAACCTATTTATCATCTTATAATATAGAATCACGCTTGCAACATTTTGTTGCTCATCCCATGATTTGTAAATAAAAACAGGTATAGATATATTGGAATAAGAAAAGAAGACAGAAAATATGTAAAATGTGGGATTTGAATCTAATTGAAGATGAATATCGTTTTCTTTGTGTCTGTCCAGCCTAACACACTTTGAGAAATAAGTATATTAAGAAACATTACTTTGTACATCATAATATTTACAAATGTATATATCTGTTAACCTATTCTACTAAGGAGCATCTAGAAAAAATGTTTCTGTGTCATGTCTTTCTACACAGAAAAAATGTACTCTCTGCTCCTTATCATATTGTCTGATGTACTATAGGCCTGTGGCCCCTTAAGTGCAAATAAAGATTGAACAGTTGGAGTTTTTCAAGATGTTTTACGTACCACAGGGCACATTAAGAAATACTTTATAACAACACCAAGTCCTGTTAAACGCACAGTGATTTGCTCAATATACACAACAGAAATATAGTACCCATAAAGACTCAATGATTTCAGATTCTGTTTTAAGCAGAACAAACACAATCCCGATGATGTCATGAATTTGTATCCAAAATACCTAGTGATTTCATACCGAAACTAGTTAATTTTAAAGGTAAGCGACTCTGTGGATGTCAACTTCTATATTATATCATGATATGCCGTTTCTGTATACCGTTGTCAAGCAAGAGGGCCGCATGATAATGCAATAAAGAAGATGTCACCCACAGATATCTTGCCTTTATTGTTACTCACCAACTTCTTAATGTCGCCGTCACGATGTGGCTGAAATGTCGCCGATGTGACGTAAAACTCACTCGCTCTAAATGCCAATCAAACAGACCAGTGATTTTACCCTTATTTCACATCTGTTTTAGCGGTATGCATTGTTTTCATTCTGAAGTTCCTTTACTATCATTTTCATATGAACAAAACTAACCTAGGTTCCAGCAATGGCCACACAGTATTAGGTGGTGGCATACAGTGAGGTGAGGTGAAACTGGGTTTAACGTCGTGCTTGAGAATATTTCGCTCATATGACGACGTGCATGCGTGTGTATGTGTATGTGCGGCTGCTTGTACTAGCCCAGACTGAAGCTGGTTTTTATAGTGCTAATCCACTGAGATACCATGCCGCAGTGAAGCATGAATACCCCACTCAGACACATTATACTGACTCCGAGCCGACCAGTCCTTGTTGTACCCATTAATGCCGAGCGCCAGGCAGGGACCAACAAGTACCATATTTTGACGTCTTTGGTATGACGGGGTCGGGGATCGAACACGCGACCTTCCGTTCTCCGGGCGGACGCTCTAACCACTACACCACGGAGGAGGTCCGACATACAGCCTATTGGTAGAGGAACTACCAGGTTCTGGTGTACATGACTGAAGTAAACATAGCGTGCATGTTGACCGGAAGTCAGCACATCTTGTAATTGTCTATGTCTAACTGAGTGAGTTTGGTTTTACGCCGCTTTTAGCAATATTCCAGCAACATCACGGCGGAGGACACCAGAAATGGGCTTCACACATTGTACCCATGTGGGGATTCGAACCCGGGTCTTCGACGTGACGAGCCAACGCTTTAACCACTAGGCTACCCCAACGCCCCTAACTGTCTATGTCACTGTGCATTCTTTGCTTCACCGGGCGGTGAGTTAGCCTGGTGGCTAAAGCGTTCCCCACATGGGTACAATGTGTGTAGTTCCGTGATATTGGTGTCTCACGCCGTGATATTGCCCAGAAGTTGATTAATCAAGCGTGCAACATTCTTGGCCTCGGTAAAGCTTTTCAATTTTTATGGTTGACATGTGCTTGTATTTCTTAATGTGACACATCAATGACAAAGATAATGTCGGATACTATTCCTTATTTTGGACCCGTGAAGATCCAGGTTAGAATATTGATCTTCAGTAACCCATGCTTGTCGTAAGAGGCGACTAACGGGATCGGGTGGTCAGGCTTGCTGACTTGGTTGACATAATTTTATGTCATCGTATCCCAGTTGCGTAGATCGATGTTCATGCTGTTGATCACTGGATTGTCTGTCCATACTCCATTATTTACAGACCACCACCATATAGCTGGAATATTGCTGAGTGTGGCGCAAAACTAAACTCACTCACAAGTGCGACGTTTAGATTCATGTACCGTTGTAAAGAAGGAATACCTCCTTTTAAATTGAAAACTCCAAATCAAAACAACAGTTAATACATGAGACAACTAGATCATAACACAATACGTTGCTGGAGAATAATTTCGACCTTAATCTAACTCATGTCGTAACTTTTCTATTTATCGACTCGCAAACACCTACCGACTGTCCATTCAATTGTTTCCGTCCTGTGTCAGTGCTGGGATGAAGGCTGCATGTAGGGGACAAGTGCAAATTAACAAGAAAGCTGAGCACTAGGTATTAACGATCTTCTTTCTTATATTTCATTTATTAATACCAGAGACCATATAACAGATTATATTATATTGTCTCTGTTAATACACTTTCACGTATTAACGAATAAAGACTTCTTTTTTTTTAATGGCCGAGTTGTCTGTATACAGTAACATACGATTCAATGTTTTGATGTTCTCTGCTGCTTTTACCTGCAGTGCAGTCTGCGTTATGGATTAAAAATCTGCAAATTTGACAACAAATGGTCTTGCTGTATATATTTCTAATTTCCTGAATACCAAAGGAAACAGAACAAGTTAGTTGTTGTTTTTTTAAGACAGGGCTTTTGTTCTTTTCCATACGCAGATTTCCAATATCCACTCCTAAACAGCGAACTAAAGCAGACTCAAACTTACAGATGGTTTTGTCACCTTTCCTGACGTAGACATAAACAAATATAGATTTGTATTTTGTATTAAATTTTTATTGTAAACCGACCGACTGAGTCAACTTTAGACAACGCTGTCTATGTGAAAATCATCAAAACGAATGCTGCCCGTGATAGGAAATATACACAGAAAATGTTATTAACACGTTTCCGGAAGCATGCAAATGCATGTGAAAAAAACGTTTTCAGAAGGTTTTATTGAATATTTTGCAAAAACATGTTCAAAGAAAACATTGGCAAACGTTTCTGGTACTCCACGTGAATAAAACGTTTAAAAAAGACATTTCTGGAACGTTTCACAAAATGTTTGCATCACATTTTCGTGTCAGCTGGGATGTTTCGTAAGTCCGACGTTTCGATACAGAATCATGTGCCGTTGTCAGGAAAGAATGAGAAATCCTTATTCTTTCTTTTAAATGAAAACTCTGAAACAAAATAACAGTTAATCATACGTGAGACCAGTTTCGGAGCATCACTTGACGTTCCTAGAGAATAAGTTAAGCTCATGTCTGGAATGAATTGGCAAATCTACATCGCCTCGTGTCATTGTTCCGGGCTCCAAATGGAATTTGGCTTCTCATTTTGTAGATATATTTGTTTAGATACCATAACCTTATTTCCGCGACTTTAATATTGTTGGTGTAATCTTCGTGCACCATGTGTGACCGAAAGTCGCGATTTACGAATATTAAGCTCCGTGAGAATTTTGCATGAACGGACGACCCACACACAGACTGTCATATCACCCAGGGTGTAATAACTTGACCTGTATTACACCAGTTGCCGGGCTGATATGGTTTGTCAGTGCATTTTGAGTGGGCGATAATAGTCTATATTTCTCAGCCATGGCGGTAGGAAATTGGAGTTACCCCCCTTGGTGCGTCGTCTGCTTGTCAGTCTGCCATACTTTCCTGTGACAGTGTCTTCGCAAGTCAAACTGTACGTTCTGTAACTCACTCGTAAACGGATCCATTTTAAAATTTGATGTTATGGTATAAGCTAAAACGTTTTTTATATGGCATTTGTAATATCAGGATCCCATTCTGCTCTCTCAGTCTGGTCCTTGAACCTGGGATCCGGCTGATGCACGTCTGACCGTCTATCATCGGGTTGATATGGGTTCTAATGTGAAGACTGGCATATAACTTTGAAGTATAGGACCTTTATGTACTGCTCAGCAAGACTGAATGGAAGGTATTGCATTTGGTTA